ATGCAAGCAACTTTTCTGCTGAGATCACTTTCGCTGCAGGGACTGAAGATTGTCTCATCCTGCAAAGTTGTGGAGGTCAAAGGTGCCTCTTCCCCAAAGCCAAGAGTAATCCTCTAGTTAGGATGCAAAAACAATAAAGGCAGGATGCAAATAAATAAATATGTATCCATAAGGGGTGTCTCTTGATGGGGGTGTCCTTAATTCTCTCTGAGCTTGGTGGTTTTCTTGCAGATGTTTCATGACCCAACTAGGGAACACCATCAGTGCTAGAAGGGAGAAGGGTTTGCAGAGAGGAGGAGGAAGAGGAGGAGATTGCAGGGGCCTTGGTGTTCTCTGAGCTTGGTGCTTTTCTTCAGACATTTCATGACCGAAGTAGGGAACATCATCAGTGCTAGAAGGGAGTGGGGTTTGTGGAATGATGGAAGAAGAGGAGGAGGAGGAGGACAACATGGGGCTTTTGATAGTTTCTGAGCCTGGTGGTTTTCTTGCAGATGTTTCATGACCCAGGTAGGGAACATCATCAGTGCTAGAAGGGAGAGGGGTTTTGCAAAGAGGAGGAGAAGAAGAAGGAGAAACAGGAAACAGAGAAGAGGAAAAAAGAACAAGGAGGCAAGGAGGAGAATGATGACTGTGGGGTCTCTGACGATCTCTGAGCTTGGTGGTTTTCTTGCAGACGTTTCATGACCCAACTAGGTAACATCATCAGTGCTAGAAGGGTTTGCAGAGAGGAGGAGGAGGAGGTGTTCTATAGAGTCCTTGCTGCTCTTTGAGCTTGCAATTCTAAAATGATAAAACAATTCAAAAGCATAATAAAAACAATAAGAACATCCACAAAATAAATAAGTATTTATAGAATCCGTGTGTTTCTTTTTCAGGATCCTTTGGTGATGGACCAAAATGCCTTTTCTCTTCCGATGGAGCCCCCAGACACCAGGGCCTTCTCCATGAAATCCATGCTGCAGAGAGAGTTCTCTGAGACTGCCCAAGAAGTGAACAAGAGTGGAGTCCAGAAGCATTTCTGGACCACCTTGGAAATGTTTCCAGTCCAAGAGAATCTGGAGTCACAACGGGAAGGTCCAGGACGGTCTCCACAGAGCGGGTTAGAAGAACCTGATCTTCAGCAAAGGATCAATGTCAGAGGAGAAGACCTCAGGCTCCAAGACACTGTACAGATGGATGCTAATGTACTTCAGGCTGAAAGACCACCAGAGGAGAAGTCACGTTGGCTTCAGGGACCATCAACATCATGTCAAGTTCTTAGGGGACTCCAAAAAGATTCAAATATTCAAGATGTGAAGGATATGCAGTCTGGAGGTCCCCAGGAAAAGAAGCATCTGGAAACCCTATCTAGGAAGGGAGAAGATAATCAGAAGCTGGCTGGTCCTGGACATCTTGAGTTCTCCCAAAAACAAAACGAACACCAGAGAGATCCAGAAATTCTCAGTCTCCCAAAGGAGATATCTCATGAACCTCAAAATATTCCAGAACACTCTGACAAGAAGGAATCTGAAGTTTCCAGTAAAGGAGAAATTGATGGTCTTCAGACCACATCTAAGCCACAGGAGATTCTTGAACGTGCAGGAGCTTTAGAGAAGAGGGAAGAGATTTCTCAACCTTGGAAACCTTGTGGACACCAAGTAGTAAAAGATCTAGAGATCTCCCAGGCTTTAGAAACTCCAGCCATAGACCAGACTCTTCCTGAGAAAAAGGAATGTAATACTCAGGAGGGAAGTTCTCAAGAAGGTCCATTCCATGGATTGACTGTAAATAACTTGCATCATCAGGGAGAGATACTAAGGAGGACAAAGTCTTTGGGGTGCTTAGAAGTTGTAACACCCTGGAGTCTGCTGTTCCAAGGATCAAGAGACCCAGAAACTTCTCTCCAACTATTATCAGAGAATCTGCAGAGAGGTCCTTCCCCAAAAACACAGATGGAAAATATACGTTCCCAACAAAGTTCAAGTAGCCTCCAGACTGTTCTACAGAGTGAAACAGAAGTTGCTCAAACAGATACTAAGATGATAACTCCAGCACCTCACATTTCTTTTCAAGGGAAGCAAAAACCTCAAAAAGAGGTGGACTCACAAGAAGGCGGGAATGAAAAAATGTTCCACACCCAAGGCACACAAATGGCTCAGCCCCAAGACTGGGAGGAACTTGACTTGGTCAGCAATCTCCATGAGGGATCACCAATTTTTCATATTGCAGAAATGAAGAGACCTTCAGAAGATGTTTGTCATCAGGAACAGAAGATCCTAGAATTCTCTTGTTGTCAAGGGCCTCCTCTCAAGAAATCAAACTCACCTGAACTTCAAGAGCTATTGCGAACAAGGGCCAATGAATCCGATGGTTCTTTGGAGATTCCACTGGAAAATAGATACATTCAAGACTCTCAGCATCAGGAATGGGAAAAGATGAAAAGCCAGAACATTTCAGAAAGAGAAGTTTTGAAGTTACCTGATTCGGTAGAGGTTCTCCAGGACCCAAACATTCCAAAATGCAAAGAAGAAGTTGTTGAGATACCAGGACCGTTGCCCAAAATGTCAGAGACACCTATGCTGAAAGAGAAGTTGGATTTTTTGCAAGATGTGGGTGAATCAGAAGAGCTTCATAACTCAGGAGCCACGGAAAGAATTGGTGGAGAAATTCTCCAGTCCCAGAAAGCTCAGCTGGAATGGCCAATTCTTACCTTGAGAGAATCCCTCACACTTCAGCCCCAGAAGTTGGGTTCAGAAAGGCACGAAGACCTTTCTGTGTCCCAGGATTTCAGAAGTTTGGAAAGTCCACCTCTCCTGTGGAGCATCTTATGGCAAAAGGCAAAGTCATTTGAACAAATGAAACCGCGTCTTCTTCTAGGCCCACAGCTAGAACAAACGGCAATCCAGAGAATGACTAAGAAGGAAATGCCCATCCTTCAACTTCCCCAGGAAACAAAGGGAGCATTGATGGTTCAACAGGAAGAAGGATCACTGGTGGAAATGGAACACCAGAAACTCCAGAAGTCCAACATCCTTTATCTCCAGGATTTGAAGCAACAGGAAGTGATGCCCCAAACCCAAACAGAAAAGGTTGTCCTAGCAGAGAAATGCATACAGACTGACCCTCAGGAGTTTCAGCATCAGGGAGAGAAGACACCAGAGGTTCTTCTGGAAATATCAGTAGGACAAGTAAATCTTGGAGAGAAACATCCAGGAGAAACAGGGGAGATGGAGAATGCTTCATCCCATGAAGCTCCACGGAGCAGGCTTCAAAAGCTTCAGAGAGAAGAGATTTCCCAGAGGGAGCTAGAATTTCTGGAACATTCAGGAGCCTTCCTACAGGAAGATCTGAGCGGGACACAGCCCCCCACAAAAGAAATTCTGGGAAAAGTACAGATTCAAAAGAAGGTGTTGCAAAAAGCGGTATTTGTCCAGCAACTCCAGGAACACAGAAGTCCAGATTCTCCTCCTCTTCTGTGGGGGGTCATGGACCTGAAGTCAAAGTCTTTTGAGTTGAGGACATCATGTGACATAGAAGCTCAGGAGCTGAAGGACTCACCAATGGCTCCATTGCGGAGAAGAGCTGACACGGAACCAGAATCTTCTACACTTCAAAAATGTAAAGGTCTTGATGCCACTTCTTCTCAAGACCTAAAGGAAGTTGAGTCTCCTCCAGATAGGTCCAAGATGGGAACCTTTCAGAGTGGGGGAATCCTACCTACATATTCTCAAGAGTCGCAGTCCCCAAAAGTAAATAATTCAGAAATTCCTCAGTCTCAAGAAGGTGGACCCAGGACAATTGTCTCTCCTTCCCCAGGTGAAAGAGAAGTCTTAATGGGTCAAGAAATTAAAGAGATGGGATCATCTCAAACCTGGATAGCTTCACAAGAAAAGCCAAAATCTTCTGAAATACCCCAAGAAGTTGTAGAACTGATAAAGGATCCAGAAATGGCCATTCGAGAACTGGGAGATCAACAGAATTCTGTGCCTTGCAAAATGAAGTGTCTGGAAACACCTTTTCATCCTGAGGAAAGTAGAAGCTTTGGACCTTCTCCTTTGTTGGGAAGAGCCTTAGAAATAAAGGCAAAATCATTTGAGCTAATCAAGTCAAAGACTTTTCAGATGAACTGCTCAGAGGCTGCCTCACCAAGATCTCAGCAGGACTTCCAGGCTTCTCATGTAGAAGAGAGCTCAAAGTTAGAGATGATCCCACCATCAGGAATGCTACAGATGGAACCAGAATCCCAAGGAACCCAGAAGCATGGAACTCCACAGGTGTATCACCCAACAGATCTAGGGGAGCAGATGGTCCCTCAAATCCAAGTTGGGAAATCTGTTTATACCCAGACTCCAGATTCTATTTCAATGCAGTATCTGCTGGAGGAGTCAAAGGACATTCAGATCCTGGAGCTTCAAGAGCTGAGAGATCTAGAAGTTCCTCAAGCCCAGAGTGACAAAGAAGAACTGGAGAAACTAGAAAACTTGAGACCACACGGAAAGAATATCGGGGCCTTAACATCTCAGCCAGCTCCAGAAAGAAAAGCAGAACATCTTCAGCATGCAAGACGCAGTAGTCCAGAAACACCTCCTCTTCTGTGGTGGGTTTTGGAGTTAGCTCATCATGGAATATTATATAATGTTTCTCCTCAACCTCAGGAGTTCAGTTCTTATGTCCCAGGGACGCAAAGACAAGAATGGCCCCAGAATGAGTCAGAGGCACAACATCCACAAAATCAAATTGTGTCTTTGGCTAAGAAAGTGCAGAAACTAGAGGTTCCTCAAGCACAGAAGGAATCATTCCAAGTTGAAGGAAGCAGGACAGCAGATGATCATCTTCAGTCCCAGGAATGCAAAGATCCAGAACCTTCCCAGTCTCATGAAATTGTTCCTCAAGTAGAGATCACTAGCCCTGGAGTTTCAGTCTCAGAAGCATTTCAGTTTCTGGATCAGGAGAAAGCAAAATCATTTCAAGGTCCCAAGAGAAGTCCTCAGGACCTGAGGTCCATCAGTTGAAGGAGAGAGAACCTGTCTCAGTTGAGGAATCTTCAGAAGATGTTCAGAGTAGAAAAGGATCTTCAGTGACACAAAAGACACTTATTCCCATGAAACCTAAGGATTTGGAGTGTCTGGTACAGGAAGAGATGTCCAAGCCATGTGAGTCATATAAAGTAATTCATTCGCATGACCATCAAACTCTGGATACGCTTGGGAACATGGACTCCCTAGACCCCTCACCCTCATCTGTACAACTCCAGAGGTTGAAAACAGATGCAGAACATTGTGGCCTTCTAAATGGATCCCAGGATCTTCACCCAAAGGAACCAGCACATGGTGAGACATTGAAGGGAGTCAAACAGGATGACTTCCCAATTATTGACCCTTCTGAGGAACACAGTAAGATCAAAGTTGACCTGCCCTTGGAAAAACCTCTGGGGAAATCAAAGTCTTTTGACTTAGGGGAGCTTCAAATTTCGAAGACTCAGGAACCACTGAAGAAAGGATCTTCTCAAACTCAAACAACCGAAGTCTTGAAGATTCGGGAAGACCTTCCAAAGAAAAACCAGAAAAAGATAGATTCACAGACCATTTCATCTCAAGAAAAGGGTCACCAGGACACCCCACAACTACTGCAGTCCCATGAATCGGCTTCTAAAAGCCCTTCCATTCTCCAGAATTCATCGACGCAAACATCAGTACTTCCTGAGATGGACCCATGTTCCTTGCAGAGCCAGGAACTCAGAGAAATGATTCAGCCCCAGAGCTCCAAACTCCAAAGAACCACAAACTCCAAGATGCTACAGGGACACCATCAAGCAGAGAACTGTGAACTTGGAGTAGAAGATAGTCACCCTGAAATGCGAGGAAACCTGCAAAGATCTCCTCAGTCTTTCCTTGTCCAAGATATCTTATACCCTCTGGCAGATACGTTCAGGAAATCAAAATCTTTGGAATTGCCCAAAGGAAACATTGGCCTGCTTCAGGGGTTGAAAAGACCAGACATTTCCCGATCTCAAGAAAATGTGAAGGAATGTCCTCAGATCCTTGATGACCAAACATCATCATGGGAGATGAATATGTCTTCACAGGAGAAAAAGAGTAGATGTCCTACACAAAAGGAACTGAAGGACTCACAATCTCAGGAAGAACTTGGCCAAAATAAGCCAACTATTTTAAATCCTGAGGATGATCATACCCAGAAGCTCCAAAGACAGGAAAGAATGGAAGTTCTTCCTTCTCCAGGAGTTCCTCAGGAATGTGTTTTTCTCCAGATCCAGGGGAACCTGCAAAGCCATCCAGAGTATTTTGGATGCGAAGATTTAAACCATCCAGATGTTCTTCAACCTGAAAAACACTCAGCAATACCAGAAACTCTTGAATTTGAGAAACATGGGGAATCCATAACTCAGTTGTCCTTAGTGTCTACAGAGAAAGGAGCTCTATCAGTCTGGTGGCCCCTGGGAAAATCGAAGTCTCTTGACTTTAGAGAACATCAAGTCCCCTCTCTAAAGTCACTTCTGGGGGAGTTGGATTGTTCTAAAACCCAGAAGATGCCTTCAGCCAATCTGTCTCAACCACAAAGAAATCTCCAGGATGAACAACGGAAATGCAGGACTCCGCTGGTCTTCTCCAAAACCCAACCACTTGAGGACCTTAGTTCAAAAGATAAGATTGGCCAACAGGAAGAAAACCATTGTGCCAACCAGAAAACGGAGCACATGGAGCTGGAAGCTGAAAAGTCCCAAGAGCTACTGACGCATGAGAGAGAAATCATGGCTTTCCAGAAACTGGAGGATATCCAGATGTTCTGTTCCAAGGAATACAGAGAATTGGAAGCTCCTCAACTTCAGGTTAATTCCCAGAGCTTGAAGGAGCCTCTTTGTACCGATCAGGGTGTGCAGACAGAATCCAAATCTCAAGGACTAAGAAAGCCACTTAATCACCAGGTTGAAAGAAATCTACAAAGTCCTCCTAGCCTCAGGAACCTGCTGAGGAAGTCCAAGACATTTGGCTATGAGGAACCAACAAGTAGAGTTGATCCTCACATCCAGAATGTCCAAAGGGAAGAAGAACCTGCAGAAAGGCACAGCTTGCATGTCGAGAAGCAGTTGCTGCAGAGATTTGAGGGACCAAAGTCACAAATAATCCAGGAGATAATTAAACCTGAAGTTCTTCAACATCGGGAGATAGCAAACGTTGAAAGCATTGGGGAATCTAGAGGACAACCCAACTGCCCAAAGGAAGCTCACAAAATAGAGATGGGGTCCATAAAATCCAAGATATCTCTACATGCAAACCAGGAACCTCCTCAACAACAAGAAGATACACAACACATAGTTCCACAGGACAGTGTACCCCACGTTGTTCCACCTTGTGACATTCCACAATTTGGTATTAAATTTCTCCAGGAGCTGGGGAGGTTGCATAATGAATTAAGTACCCTCAGACCATCCCAGGAAGTAAAGGATGGGAAGGCCATTTGTCCCCAAAGTGCTAAAGTTTCCAGTCAACCACAGCAGCAAATACCAGCTGAACCCCAAATAAATACAGGTTCTCAGGTTCTCCAGCACCAGAAATGGAGCACAGCAACATCTCCGCAGCCACCACCATCATCACCAGGAGATTTCTCTGAACCTTCTAAGATGCAGCCGCCGTCTCTTCAATCTCCCCAAAGCCAAGGACCTGACCAGATGCCAAGAGTAAAAAGGGAGTTGGCGAGGAACATGGGGTCACCAATGCAGAAGGCACCACAGATGGTCCAATGGCAAGAAGACTTGTCAAAAAAATCAATTGTGGTGTCTGGGATGACAGATCCTCCTTTCCTTCAGTCACTGGAAAATGTGGAAGCAAAGATCTTGGATCTCCAGGAGCCCCTTAATCTTGAAGGGAAAGTGAGAGAGAAAGAGCCAACGGTCAGAGAGTTACGAAAGGATCATCCCTCAAATATGAAAGAACTTTTAATGGCAAAATCAAAATCCCTTGCACCTCAGTCATTATCAAGGACTCGGGAGTTCCAGCATGAGAGAACAAAAACAGTAAAAGGTCTACCTTCCTTGGATAAAGAGATGGCCACTAAACGTAGACCTATTTCCCAAGGACCATTAAACATCCAAGCAGAAGCCATTTCTTCCCAAAACCAGAAATTTCCCACAAAACAGGAAAACCAGAGCATTCTTTTACCTCAGAATCAGAAGGAAGCAATGACCCAACAAGTAGGCCAACATTTTCAGGAGAAGCATAAGAGGTTGAAGCTCCAAGAAGGAAGGAACCTAAAATCATGGAAGGGCCAGGAACTGGAGTCTCTTCAGCTTCAATGGATGGAGGAGAACCAAGCTTTTCAGGAATGGAGAAAGGCAGGAACTCTTCTGGCTGAAGGAACTCAACCAAGGAATCGTTCAACCCGTGAGAAGGGCCTACTGAACCTGGGAGATCTTGAGCCTGAAGATGAGAGCAGAAGACTGGAGAGACTCTGGGAGCAGAAGACCACAGAGACCACAGCTATGACTTTGCTCTCTCCCTCCAGCCCTGGAAAGCCCAGCGAGATGATATGGGAGCCCAGCTCGCTCAACATGGACATTTCCAGAGAGACCTCTTTTGATGCGGCCCAGCCTTCTTCACCATCTTGGGTAAGAAGATCTAACATTTAGCTGAGATGTACTAAACCAGGACAGGGGTGGAGACAGCTTTATTTCAGCTTTAAATTTTAATGTTAAAGAATGAAGGTGGTTTATGAAGGTGATAAACTGGAGATGAGAAGGTTACAAACATCTCCTCTGTCCATAAGTTGACCAGAAACTTCTCTATCTAACAGCGGGTATTTCTTCTCTGTAGATTGACCAGGTTGGGACTCTGAAGTTATCTGAAGACATTTGTTGGCCTGCCCTTAAACTGAGATGTCCACCAATGACCCATGCCAAAAGCCAGACATTGAGATTGGTGGCATTCATGTGCACAAGAGACAGAGTCTTCTGAACTGGTGGCACTGTATCTTTGGAGACAACAGACTGACATGATGTTGCTACCCAAGTCACATACAGATGTAGTCCTTCCATACCTTTTAAGAAAACCTTTAATTGATACCCATGTCAGCATTTTCTGACCTAAAGTTTTCAGGCACGTTAAGCTGCCATTCTCATCCTAGGAGATGTAGCCCAACTTTTAGAAGGAGCTGGATGGGGGACCTTGGGACTCTAAAATATCTTCTGGCTTCTGCTCTGTGAAATTCCATCAGTTGTCTGTTGTTTTGGTTGTTGCTTCAAGGGGGAATTGAAATAATTTCTGACATTTGAAATCAATCAAAGTGTTGTTCAACTTTGAACGGGAGGTATGAGCATCCATTGAGGTTCTCCAGATGATGGTTTCTCCTCAGAGGCCCATTTCTCTACAATTGGGCCAAATCTGGAAGATGGTTTTGGTGTCTTCAGAACAATGGCATACGTAAAATGATATAAGATATTTTTTGCTAGGGAGGGAAGATATCAAAATGAATGAATTCTGGGGAAAGTCCTTCTTGAAACTCACGTGAGGTCAGAAGAGGTAGAGGTACCTCCCACCTATCCACCCAATGACCAGACTGACTGTCCCTTCTTTGAGGGTTTCTGCCTACTTAGTGTTATTTTTTCTTCTTCTTCTCAGGAGATCAATGTCCACATAAGGGTTACCTGTCCTGGGGACTCTCCATCCTTGGAGAAGTCAACTGATCAACCCCAGCCAGGTGAACCCAACCAAAAGGCCATCAGCAGCTTTCCTGGGGAAGGAGTGGATGGACAGGTAAGTGACCAAGTTCTTGGGGTATCGTTCATGGGGTTGCCAATTGTCCGATATTTTCTAGAGCTTCCGCTGCCTGGTTTCAATGGAGGAGTTAGAAAGGACTGGTCCAACCATCCAACAGATAGTTCTTGACTTACAACAGTTCATTTAGTGACCATTCAAAGTTTCAACAGCACTGGAAAAAGTGGCTTATGACCGTTTTCACACTTATGACCGTTGCAGCATCCCCGTGATCACGTGACCCAAAATCAAAAGCTTGGACTCGTATTTATGACGGTCATAATGTCCCAGGATCACGTAATCCTCTTTGGCGAGCTTCTGACAAGCCAAGTCAAAGGGGAAGCTGTTCTGCCCCAGTTACGGACCCTAAAGAACGCAGCACACACAAAGTTTGTACAAAACTTAATTTACTAAAATAACTCAGTCTTTTTCAAAACAAAGGCTGTTAATAAACTTTCTTAACAGCCTACAAGAAACCAAAGATAAAGTAATCACAATCTTACTAAAGTTGGCAGAAAGCCCAGAAGCAATTTGCAGAGAATCCAGACGCGAAGTAGAGTGAACTAAAGTTGTTCCCTACAAATTGCTTCAATCGGTGTTCCTCCTTAAATAGGCTAAGGGGGTGGCCAATTAGCCCCAAGCCTTACTCTCGAGGAGACCTCCTCCTGAGGAGCCACTCCTGTCTTTTGGCAGCTCTGTGCACCCGTGCATTGAGAAGAGGCTCCTCCTCTTCTTCCCCTTCACTTAAAGGAGCTTCTGGAGGTTCTGAAGGCCCTGGCTGAATCCCCGCCTCTGGCACCACATCTTCTCCAGCCTCCTCATTGTCCGACTCGAGTGCCAGCTGCACAGGCTGCTGGCGCAGCACCACACCAGCCTCCTCGCTGTCAGAGTCAGCTACAATCCGCACAGGCCACTGAGGGGCCACAACAGAAGCCGGATTCACTTAACAACTGTGTGACTAACTGAACGACTGCAGTGATTGACTTAACCATGGTGGCAAGGCAGGTGGTAAAATGGGGCAAAGCTCACTTAACAAATATCTCACTTAGCAATGGAAATTTTGGACTCAATTGTCGTCTCCCATCTACAGTACTAAAACTGTTACTCAAACTCCTAGCCACTGTACTAAGAACATTACTCCAAGAAGTCCCACTCCCCTTTGGTGCTGCCATTGTTATTCGGTCCTTCTTGGTCTCACCTGCCTCCTTCTGACCTACCTTTCCTTCACCCACCAGCCCCTGCTCCCCCCTCGGCCGCCCAGCCGGGAGAAGGCCTTCCTCTGGCTCTCCCCACAGGACAAAAAGGAAGCTCTGCAGCGACTGGCAGAAACCCAGGCGGAGGGCGAACGCCGGCACCAGCGGGATAAGGAGCGGCAAGCTCTCCGGGTGAGCATCCTCTGGTCCCCGATCCCTCTTAGACCCAGGAGAAGTGGCCCCCTCTTTTCCGGGAACTGGCGTAACTCTCGCTGATCCGAGAGGCATTTCACAGAATCCTAGAGCTGGAAGGGACCATGGAGGTCTTCTAGTCCAACCCAGGAGATCTTTAAAGCCTCCAAGATTGGAGCGCCCACAACTTCTGGAGCCAAGCCAAGTTCCATTGATGGATTGTTCCCATTGTCAGGAAATTTCTCTTATTTCCAGGTTGGGTCTCTCCCCCCTGCCATTGTCTCTCTCCTTCCTTCCTTCCTTCCTTCCTTCCTTCCTTCCTTCCTTCCTTCCTTCCTTCCTTCCTTCCTTCCTCCCTCCCTCCCTCCCTCCCTCCCTCCCTCATTCACTCACTCACTCACTCACTCACTCACTCACTCACTCTTTCTCCCTTCTTTAGCACTTAGCAATAGCACTTACTTATATACCACTTCACAATCCTTTACAGCCCTCTCTGAATGGTTTACAGAGTCAGCCTCTTGTCCCCAACAATCTGGGTCCTCATTTTACCGACTTCAGAAGGATGGAAGGCTGAGTCAACCTTGAGCCGGTCAGGTTCAAACTCCTGGCAGTCGGCAGAGTCAGCCTGCAATGCTGCATTCTAAACCATTGGGCCACCACGACTCACCAGTAGCAGTCACATCTACACAACCTGTAACATCTGGAACTCCAGGATGTGTGTTTTGTGGCTCCGAGAGTTAGCCACTCCTGCCTGTGTGATGGCTGGGAACATAACCCCAACGAAGAGGGATCTGGGTATTCCAGGTAGAAGGGATGTAGAGACCAGCCTGTCATGGTGGAGGAGACCAATGGACTTCCCAAACATTCTAGAGAGGGGTCTCCAACCTTGGCTACTTTAAGCCTGGTGGACTTCAACTCCCAGAATTCCCCAGCCAGCTGGCTGGGGAATTCTGGGAGTTGAAGCCACCAGGCTTAAAGTTGCCAAAGTTGGTGACCCCTGTTCTAACGTATTGGGGCACATGAGGTGTTCTGGTTTACAGAACCATTGAGGAAGGCATCAGTTGCCTCCAGGAATACTACCCTGTTTCCCCGAAAATAAGACCCAACCAGAAAATAAACCCTAGCATGATTTTTCAGGATACTCGTAATATTAGCCCTACCCCCAAAATAAGCCCCAGTTAAGATCGTCAACCAGACAGAGGCATTAAGTACTGTATTTTCCCCAAAATAAGACCTAACCAGAAAATAAGCCATAATACATCTTTTGGAGCAAAAATTACCATATTTTTCAGAGTATAAGACGCACTTTTTCCCCCCCAAAAAAGAGGGTGAAAATCTGGGTGCGTCTTATACTCTGAATGTAGCCCCACCCAGCTTCTCAAACGGAGGTTTCAGAGGCTGAAAAAAAGCATCAGAACCGAAGCTTCAGAAAAAAAGCCCCCAAACAGAGCTTCAGAGGCTTTTTTTCTGAAGCTCTGTTTCGGAGGCTTTCAGAGGCAGGAAAAAAAGTTTTTTCTGAAACAGTTTCAGAAGTTTCAGAGGCAGGGAAAAAAGCACAAAAAAAAAAAAAGCAAGGCACAGAACTCACAACCAAGGAACCTGTTGCTAAAATTCACCTCTGGGAACAGCTGATTGGGAGTATTCCAGGAGGCCGATCCACCTGCCAATCAGCTTTTTTCTTATTTTCCTCCCCAAAAACTAAGATGCGTCTTATACTCCGAAAAATACGGTAATATAAGACCCGGTTGTCAGCGTCTCAACGCTGACATAGAAAAGGGAGATAAGCCCTGAACTTTTGCCTGCTAAATCCCTTTGAAGCTCGGTCTCCGTGGAAATGAAGAGGGGGGAACATTCCTGTGAAATGACGAGACAAGAAGTCAGGAGAGTGACTTGGAAGATAGCCAATGAGAAGCAGAGAATTGGGGATCGGAAAGGGAGGGATTGGGGGGCAAAAGGTCAGTCTTGTCTGCACGAGTCATGATCCGGTTGCTGTACTCGAATAAAGAGAAGATTTCCTTAAAGATTGGCAGTTTGGAAATTCATTTATTTTGAGATAGCATCGAAGTCTGACACCGGTCTTATTTTGGGGGAAACACAGTATTACACCGCTAAAACTTGCCGAAAGCAACATGGAGAGAAAGATCTTCCTCCCTTAAGTTCCAGGAACGGCTCTCTATAGCCAAACGCCGGAGGTCCACGCAGGATCTTCTGGGAGATGGTCCAGGAGACCGAGGGCCCTGGGCATCAGCAATCTCTGAAGGCCAGGTATGGATTTTCCCATTGGAATAAAATTATTGCGGTAATAAAAATTAACTCCTGGGGGAGAAGGGAGGAAGAGAATTCAAGGTCTTTGGAGCTTTAAGTACTTTACAACAGGGAGTTTGTTCAATGTGTTTGGGTCAGGTATGTTTGTGGTATTGGTGAGTGGTGCGGTGGCATAGAAGTGGAGCTCCCGCCTTAGAATCAGGAGGCTGTGAGTTCGATCCTAGGTAGAGGCAGATATTTCTCTCTCTGGGCACAATGAGAATGTATCTGCTGAACAAAACTCCGCATCGGTGACAGGAAGAGCATCCGGCCAGTAAACACTCAGCTCCTTTTAGTTGCCCAGACTCCACCCCGATGCAAGGGATTATGGGGTCATTAAAGGATGATGATGATGATGATGATGATGTGTTATGTGGTATTGGTAGCATATCTATGAAATTAATTAATTACCAATAGCAGGGAATCTTTGTAGCTCAGGGTTGAACTGTGGGGTCCTTGGTGCTCTCTGAGCTTGTGTGGTTTTCTTGCAGACATTTCATGACCCAACTAGGGAACATCATCAGTGCTAGAAGGGGGTGAGATTTGTGGAGTCGTTTCATGACCTTTGGGAGTTCCAGACCCCCAAAAGAAAAACACTTCCCATGGGCAAATCCATGGGCCTGTTCGCAAAACATAGCAAACCTTTAGCCTTAAAGGTAAAGGTAAAATTCCCCTCGCACCTATGTGCTAGTTGTTCCTGACTCTAGGGGGGTGGTGCTCATCTCCGTTTCAAAGCCGAAGAGCCAGCGCTGTCCGAAGACGTCTCCGTGGTCATGTGGCCGGCATGACTCAACACCAAAGGCGCACGGAGCGCTGTTACTTTCCCACCAAAGGTGGTCCCTATTTTTCTCCTTGCATTTTTTACCTGCTTTCGAACTGCTAGGTTGGCAGAAGCTGGGACAAGGAACGGGAGCTCACCCCGTTACGCGGCACTAGGGATTTGAACCGCTGAACTGCCGACCTTTCGATCGACAAGCTCAGCATCTTAGCCACTGAGCCACCGCGTCCCTATATCCTTTAGCCTTATATCTCTATAAGTCAACTGGAACTGATTAAAAATTCCACCCCTTTACGAACTGATTTTCGTCCACACCATGGAGCAGGCTAAGGCCAGTGAAGCTGGAGGTCTCTTCCCATAGGGTGTGCTATTTTTTGCGCCCATGGGTGGCCAGCTGGGACTAACCCCTGGACTTTCCCATCTGGCAGGATGAAGCTGGGCAGAAAATGGCCGTGAAGACCCATCTGGAGAAGATCAAGAGAGAACGGACCAACATCATGCAGTCCAAGAGAGAGAGGTAGGGGTGTGTCAGGATATGAATGTCTACCTGTGTCGCAGGTTCTTCCATTCCCAATTCCATTGATCCAGATTCAAGAGAGGTGTTAAAATTTCTGGGGATCCTCAACTGGGAGTTTCCTTATATCTTCCCATAAGGCAGAGGCAAAGGGGAGCGATGGCCCCTTTTCGACTTGTGGACTTCAACTCCCAGAGTTCCTGCAAACTGGCTCAGGAATTCTCTGCTCTGCCCCAGCTACGGACCCCAAAGAACGCAGCATACACAAAGTTTGTACAAAACCGAATGTACTAAAATAACTCAGTCTTTTTCAAAACCAAGGCCGTTAATAAACTTTCTTAACAGCCTACAAGAAACCAAAGATAAAGTAATCACAATCTTACTAAGGTTGGCAGAAAGCCCAGAAGCAATTTGCAGAGAATCCAAACGCAAAGGAGAGTGAACTAAAGTTGTTCCCTACAAATTGCTTCAGTCGGTGTTCCTCCTTAAATAGGCTAAGGGAGTGGCCAATTAGCCCCAAGCCTTACTCTCAAGGAGACCTCCTGAGGAGCCACTCCTGCCTTTTGGCAGCTCTGCGCGCCCGTGCATCGAGAAGAGGCTCTTCGTCTTCATCCTCTTCACTTGTGGGAGCTTCTGGAGGTTCTGAAGGCCCTGGCTGAATCCCCGCCTCTGGCACCACATCTTCTCCAGCCTCCTCATTGTCTGACTCGGGTGCCAGCTGTATCACCCGATACTGAGGTACCACTCTCTATATCAGTGTTTCTCAACCTTGGAAGCTTGAAGATGGGCGCTGGCTGGGGGATTCCGGGAGTTGAAGTCCACCCATCTTCAAGCTTCCAAGGTTGAGAAACACTGGTCTATATAAAAAGTAACTTTAGGAAAGCTGAGATGGAACTTTCCTGATGACTGGTGTAGTCCTTAATCCCCTGGAAGCCCTGGCTGCCCCATCTCTGTCTCTCTCCCTCCCACAGGAACACCCTGAAGTTCAAGGAGCTCCTGGACCCACTGGTGGTCCCCAGGGAGGAGAAGCCTACGCCGAGACAAGCAGAGGAGCTTCAGCAGAGGGGAAACCTCTGTCCTTCTGGATCCCCTGGAGACCGAGTGAAGTTGGAGGCTCTTTCTCACATCACCCGTATGATTCCCAAAGAAGAATAAGTGTGGGGAGGAGGAATGGTGGTGGAGGAGGTAGAGTGAAGATGGTGATGGTGGAGGAGGAGGGGAAGAAAAGGAGAACAAGAGAAGGGAGGAGGAGGAGGAGGAGGAGGAGGAGGAGAAGAGGAGGAGGAGGAAGAAGAAGCAGAAGAAGAATCAGAAGGAGGAGGAGGAGGGCAAGAGGAGAGGAGAGGAAAGGTGAGGAGGAAAGAAAGAAAAGAGAAGGAAAAAAAGACAATCATCTTTGGTGGACAATCACAGAAAGACTAAACGGCAGAAGGGTGGTCACAGTTGGGCAAGAATTACCTCGTTGGATTTATAAGCGCAGGAATATTCTTGATGAAAACCTTCCCCTTATTATTAGTTGTGTTGTGTTCGTGTTTGCAAGACATCTTCAGCACATCGTTGTCTCCCGTGGGTGAAAATTCATTTGTCTTTATTCATTGTCCATTCATCCCAACACAGCAATTTCCCTCAGGAGTGGGGAGGGAATGGAGATTTTGCAATATCCTTCCCTCAGGAGTGGGGTGGGAATGGAGATTTTGCAATGTCCTTCCCTTAGGAGTGGGATGGGAATGGAGTTTTTGCAATATCCTTCCCTCAGGAGTAGGGTGGGAATGGAGATTTTGCAACATGCTTCCCTCAGGAGTGGGGTGGGAATGGAGTTTTTGCAATATCCTTCCCTCAGGAGTAGGGAGGGAATGGAGATTTTGCAATATCCTTCCCTCAGGAGTAGGGAGGGAATGGAGATTTTGCAACATGCTTCCCTCAGGAGTGGGGTGGGAATGAATTTTTGCAATATCCTTCCCTCAGGAGTGGGGAGGGAATGGGGATTTTGCAATATCCTTCCCTCAGGAGTGGGGAGGGAATGGAATTTTTGCAATATCCTTCCCCTGGAGTGGGGTGGGAATGGAGATTTTGCAGTATCCCTCCCCTGCCATGCCCACCAAGCCACGCCTACAGAACCGGTGGTTTAAAAAAATTGGATTTCACCACTGGGTTGTAGATTATTTGATCCATGATGTAGCAGACAGTGTTTCTACCGTGTTTCCCTGAAAATAAGACCCTGTCTTATATTTTTTTGAATCCCGAAATAAGTCCTTGGCCTTATTTTTGGGGAGATATTATTTTGGGGCGCGTGGAGTGAGATGGGGCTCCTCTTGCCATCTTACCTGATTTCCAGCTCTGCGTTTAAATATTTTCGGGGGGAGGCTTATTTTAGCACATACGCTCAAAAGCCCGATTGGACTTATTATCCGGGGAGGTCTTATTTTCGGGGAAACAGGGTAATATGTTCTTGTTGCTGTGTGTTGCCGTCTTATTTCACAGAACTGTACAACGTATGGAGTTGGAAATGGTGATTACCAGGAATCCATTAAACCCATGTTTTTTTCAACCTTGCCCGTTTTTAAGATGTGTGGACTTCAATTCCCAGAATTCCTTGGTTCAAAACCCTCAAAACTGACGAAGGAACTAGAAATGGCAGGCTTAATTACGGCCATAATTCAAGGTGGGCCGTTAATGGCTTACGACTGAACTCCCCGCAGGTCATGTGATAAAAATTCAGAGGCTTGGCAACTGGCATGTACTTATGTCGGTTGCAGTGTCCTGGGGTCACATGATCCCTTTTTGCGGCCTTCTGACCAGGATAGTCTATGGCAGTGTTTCTCAACCTTGGCCGCTGGACGATGTGTGGACTTCAACTCCCAGAATTCCCCAGCCAGCTGGCTGGGGAATTCTGGGAGTTGAAGTCCACACATCGTCCAGCGGCCAAGGTTGAGAAACACTGGTCTATGAGGAAGCCAGATTTACTTAACATCCGTGTGCCTTGACTTAAGTCCGTGATTCACTTAACAACTGTGGCAGGCAAGGTCGTAAAATGCGGCAAAACTCCCTTGACAATTGTCTCGCTTAGCAGCAGAAATTTTGAGCTCAATTGTGGTCCTAGGTCAAGGACTACCTACAGCCCCTCATATTGAGTGTACTGCAGTGGTCCAAAAATGCCGAATGCCCATGGATTTAAAACTCCGGAAGAGAGTTTGAAAGCCCATTGAATGACATCAGATGGTGTACATCTGGAGTCCCTCATAGGATGCTACTACTCCTTGGAGCCGGAATTTCCATTGCTAAGGAAAACGGTTCTTCAGTGAGTCACAGACCTCTCCAAGATCCCGGAGAGAGTGAAGCAAGGCCTTTCTTTCCACTGCCCAAGCCTGCCTTGGATGGATGGTTCTAGATCAGGGGTGTCAAACTCAAAGACTGTGGGCCTCATCCGGCCCGCTGGGTGCCCCGGAAACAGCAAAGGACCAGCCCACGGTGCCACTGCCAGTGAAAACAGAGTTTGGGAGGGCCACACACGGGCCTCCCAGGCTCCGTTTTTGGCCCCGACGGCCTCCTGCAGCCCTCTGCAAGCGAAAACGGAGCTCAGGAGTAATGGTGGATTGCCACCAGTTCGCCCCAGATCAGTCAAACCAGTAACAGCAGTGGTGGGAGGTTCTGCCCACCCAAGCCGGACATCTTTGCGCATGTGCAGAAGCATTGCGCGTATGAGTGCGCGCTTACCCACGAGCGAACCGGTAGTGGCGGGATTTGAAACCCACTACTGCTTGGGAGGGCCACATGCGGGCCTCCCCGGCTCTGTTTTTGGCCGCGACGGCCTCCTGCAGCCCTCTGCAAGCGAAAACAGAGCTCGGAACAGTGGTGCGTTGGTTCAGGCGAACCGGTAGTGGCAGGAAGCTCTGCCCACCCGCCTGGATGTCTCTGCGCATGCACAGAAGTGTCACTCGCGCAAGTGTGCATGCCCTGAGCAAACCGGTAGTGGCAGGATTTGAAACCCACTACTACTCAGGAGGGCCACATGTGGGCCTCCCAGGCTCCGTTTTCGCTGGCAGAGGACTGCGGGAGGCCATCGCGGCCAAAAGCAGAGCCTCAATGAGTGACATCAAGCTGGCCACGCCTGCCACGCCCCCGGCCCCCCTGAGGTCAAACACAACCCTGATGCAGCCCTCAATGAAATTGAGTTTTTGACACCCCTGTTCTAGATCATCCTGAAGCCACCTTAGATACCGGCCAAGGAAGGAGACGGGCAGCAAAGTAATCACATAGTCTCGTTTTTTGTTTTTTTTTTGTGAAATTGGCACTCAAAGGGCCACATCCCGAGGATGCAGCAGAGAAAAGGCGCCGTTCTTTCGGAAGAAGCTGTCGGTGCGGGTCTTGGCCGTGGGGGCCACGTGGGAGGCGGCCATTTTCCCTGGAAGACAGAAATCGAGGTGTGAGGAGAGGAAAAATAAGAGGAGGGAGTTGTGTGACCCCTTTGAGGTTAAAGTCCTTCCCCTAAGTGGGCCTGAGAGACCCTAGGCGGACAGGGCTAGGAGAAGACCAAGGAGTGGCTCATAGAATTGTAGAGTCGGAAGGGACCTTAGAGGTCTTCTAGTCCAATCCCCTGCTCAAGGCAGGAGTCCTCACACATGGTTGTCCGGCCCTTGATTGAAAACCTCCAAAGATGACACAATACAACTTCAGGAGGTAAGCTATTGATTAAATGGAAATTAGGAAATTCCTTATTTTCAAGTTGGAACTCCCTTTAATGAACTTCCACCCATTGCTTCTTGTCCTGCCCTCAAGTGCTTTGGAGAATAGGACAACCCCTTCTTCTCTGGGACAGCCCCCCAATTATGAGAAGACAGCTGTCATGTCACTCCTAACCTTTCTTTTAGTTAGGCTAAACCAGGGATCTCCAAACATGGCAACTTTTAACATTGGTTAAATTCTCCAGCTGGCTGGAGAATTCTGAGAGTTGAAGTCCACAAGTCTTAAAAGCTGCCAAGTTTGAAGAGTCCTGGGCTAAGCCTACCTAGTTCCCTTATCTGTTCATCCTGTGTTTTGGCCTCCAGTCCGCTAAAATTATCGGACTCCAGTGTTGGAGCATTCACAACTTCTGGAGGCAGGTTGTTCCACTGATTAATTGTTCTAACTGTCAGGAAATTTCTCCTTAGTTCTAGATTGCTTCTCTCCTTGATTAGTTTCCACCCATTGCTTCTTGTCCTGCCCTCAGGGGCTTTGGAGAATAGCTTGACTGCTGCTTCTTTGGGGCAGCCCCTGAGATTTTGGAAGACTGCTATCCTGTCACCTCTAGTCCTTCTTTTCATTAAACTAGACCTACCCAGTTCCTGCAACCGTTCTTCCTATGTTTTAGCCTCCAGTCCCCTAATCCTCTTTGTTGCTCTTCTCTGCACTCTTTCTAGAGTCTCAACATCTTTTTTACATCGTGGCGACCAAAACTGGATGCCGGATTCCACATGTGGCCTTACCAAGGAATTATAAAGTGGTATCAACACTTCCTGTGATTCTGATTCTATCCCTCTATTAATGCAATTTAGGACTGCCATTGGCTTTTTTGGCATCTGCTAAACCCTGCTGGCTCATATTTAGTATATTTATATTTATATATTCATATTTAGGAGCACCCACGACTTCTGGAGGCAAAAGCTGTTCCACTGGTTAATTGTTCTCACTGTCGGGAAATTTCTCCTTAGTTCTACAAGTATCTTCTCTCCTTGCTTAGTTTCCACCCATTGCTTCTTGTCCTGCCCTCAGGTGCTTTGGAGAATAGCTTGACTCCCTTTTCTTTGTGGCAGCCCCTGAGATATTGGAAGACTGCTATCTTGTCTCCCCTAGTCCTTCTTTTCATTAAACTGGACATACCCAGCTCCTGCCACCATTCTTCATGTTTTAGCTTCTAATCCTCTTTGTTGCTCTTCTCTGCACTCTTTCTAGATTCTCAACATCTTTTTTTACATCGTGGCGACCAAAACTGGATGCAGAAGTCCAAGTGTGGCCTTACCAAGGCCTTGTAAAGTGGTATTAACACTGCATGTGATCTTGATTGCATCCCTCTGTTAATGCAGCCTAGAATTGCATTGGCCTTTTTGGCTGCTGCTGCACATGGCTGGCTCATGTTGAAGTGATTGTCCACCAGGACTCCAAGACCCCTTTCGCAGTTACTACTATTGAGCCAGGTTTCACCTATGCATTTGGTTTTTCTTTCCTAAACGTAGACACCTTCCTTTTTTTCACCACTGAATTTCATTTGGCGAGCCACCTACCATCTATTCTACCTCCGTGCATTTAATTTTACCTGTCTTAAATGCAGAATCTTGTTTTTCTCACCCCTGACCCTTTTTTTAAAAAAATTTGATTCATATGCCGCCCTTCTCCAGAGACTCAGGGCGGCTTACAATGCGTTAAGCAATAGCCTTCATACTTTTGTATATTTATATAAAGTCACTTATTGCCCCCACAAACTGGGTCCTCAATTTACCTACCTTAGAAAGGATGGAAGGCTGAGTCAACCTTGAGCCTGGCGAGATTCGAACCTGCAGTAATTGCAGGCAGCTGGTCTTAATAACCAGCTTAGTAACAGGGTGCCTTAGACCACTGTACTACCAAGGCTCCCTGCATCGTGTTCCCTCCGGATGGATTCTCTTGTCTGTCCACTTACTGTACACGCATACTCCATGCCCCTTGCCCCCTCCGTCCTTCCTGCCCAACCACTCACCCATCTGCCAGCCGTAGGTGAAGTTGGTGGTGATGGGGAAAGTGTATTTCTCCTCCGGCGGGACGAGGAGGCGCAGCTTCAAGTAGTGGTAACGTCCTTCGTCCTCGTGGGAGATACCTTGGTAGAGAAGGTTGCGCACTTCGCGGGGAGCCGGCTTCATCTCCATCTCCAGGAGGGCCTTGTCCAGTCCGGTCAGGTCGCGTTGCCGAGCCAGCGGCTGGATCAGCTTGGGTGGGGGAGGAGGGAGGGGCGGAGGGGGAGAGCTGGGTTTGACCGGGGGCGGGGGGCGGACGGAGGGCAGGCGGAGGGTGGTGTCTTCTGCTTTCTTGCGGCGTTCGCGTAGGCTCTCCTGCTTAGCTTTGACCAAGGCCCCGTACTTCTGGTGCCAGCCAAAACGGAGCATGATCTCCTTCCCATATTCTTCCTTCCAGAAGTTCTGCTGAAGGGTGTCCATGTTGAGTGGACGCGCCATGGCTGAGTTGGACAAGAGCGTAGCCCTGCTTGGCTACCCACGAGACTTATCTGACCGGGACCCCAGATGCCGGCTTCCCTTCCTAAGCTCTTTTCTCGTAGCGGCATAGAGACAATCCGCCAGTTGGTCTTCCTTTCAGCTGTTAAGGGTGGAGCTGGATGTTCTTGAGAGCTTCCAGTGGTGGCCATCAAATTTGGTGAGCTGCTACTTCACACTGCTGTCACAGCCTCTTGTGAGGTCACGTCTTCCCCCTCTTCCTCCAGGAGTGAGACATGAGGCAACCCCACCACCCAGAACCTCAACCGGGAGGGGCCAAAATCATGGCGTCCCCATCACCAGTGGTCTCTTGAATTGGCTCAGGCCGTTTTCCATTCTTGGTAGCCAACCCAACCCAACCCTTTAGTCTGGAATGATATATAAGGCTTCCTGCTTGAGCAAGGAGGTGGATTAGAACGTGTTTCTCAACCTTGGAAGCTTGAAGATGGGTGGACTTCAACTCTTGGAATCCCTGGGAGTTGAAGTCCACCCATCTTCAAGCTACCAAGGTTGAGAAACACTGGATTAGAAGATCTCCAAGGTCCCTCCCAACCCTGTTATTCTATGTTCTAAGCCAGGGATCTCCAAACTTGTCAACTTTAAGACTTGTGGACTTCAACTCCCAGAATTCCTCAGCCAGGAATCTCCAAACTTGACGAGAGGAAGAGGGAGAGAAAAAGAAAAGGGGAAAAAGAAAGAAAGAAGAAAGAAGAGAGACTTCTAAATAAAAACTAATTATCATGCCTACTTTCTTAGCATTAGAAGAAAAAGAAAGGGGATGGGATGGAGAAAGAAAGAAAGAAAGAGAAGAAAGAAAAGAGAGACTACTAAATAAAAACTAATTATCATGCCTACTTTCTTAGCATTAGAAGAAAAAGAAAGGGAAGGGATGGGAGAGAGAAAAAGAAAGAGAAAGAAAGAAGAAAGAAAGAAAAAGAGAAAGAAAGAAAGAAAGAAAGAAAGAAAGAAAGAAAGAAAGAAAGAAAGAAAGAAAGAAAGAAAGAAAGAAACAAAGAAAAAGAAAGAAAGAACCCTTCACCTAGATCCCTCTCTGAATGAGCCAGGTAGCTTATGAATTGAACTAATCGGGAAAACAGCATCAACGCTTTTCAGTCTGAGCTGCTTTGTCATTTTAAGACCACCATGAACCAGAAGCAAACCACGATAAATCCGTCCCAACGGAAGAAACCGATCGATGCGGCCATTCCTGTTCTGCATGAGAGGCTGGTTTGCACGCGGCACCCAGGAAGTGACTCACGAGCGCGTGCCAAGGACGGGCACCGCCAACTTCCCCGTGGGACAGATTGCAGGGAAAGTGTGACCCTACTCCAGCCGGGCTGAAAATAGCTTGCAGAGTCAGAAACACCCATTTTACATCTGAATCGCCTCCCACTTCACCCAAGTTGAGCACTCAAACAGACCGAAATTAAACAGAAATCAGCTTTATTCATTCCTTCCATCCAGTCGGGTTTTGTTTTAACAGGCAAAGTTGCTTCCGAAACCCCAGAAATTGCAACTGCTATTAGATAATCACTTTGTAGGCAGGGTAGGGGAGAAAAGGGGATCACAGTCTCCCAGTTGGGGGGAGCCTAGACCCCAAACATCCCCCCCAGATGGACTGTGTGATGCCACCAGGCCAGGGTTTCTCAATTTGACCACTTTAAGACACAGGGACTTCAACTCCCAGAATTCCCCAGCCAGCAAGTTTGGTTGGGGGATTCTGGGAGTTGAAGTCCACACATCCTAAAGTGGTAAGGATGAGAAACACTGAATTGGATGGTGGAAATTCAACCTTGGCCCCTTGAAGACATATGGACTTCAACTCCCAGAATTCCCCAGTCAGCCTTGTTTAGAACCAGGGAATTCTGGGAGCTGAAGTCCACACGTCTTAAAAGTGGCCGAGGATGAGACACACTGAATTGGACGGTGGAAATTCATTCTTAATTTTGGCAATTTTAAGATGGATGCAACTCCCAGAATTCCCCAGCAAGCCATGCTTAGAACTATGCTGTCTAGGGAATTCTGGGAAATGAAGTCCACGCATGTTAAAGTGGCTACCTTTGTGAAATTATGAATTGGATGGTGGAACTTTGGCCTCTTGAAAATGTATGGACCAGCTCCCAGAATCCCCCACCCAGCCGTGCTTAGAACCCTGCTGGCTGAGGAATTCTGGGAGTTGAAGTCCACACACATCTTCAAGTAGCCAAGGTTGGGAAACTCGACGCTAGGCTGAAGACGACTCAAAATGGTTCATCGGAGAACTTCCTTCTAAACAACCAATTTTCAAGGGGACATCTTGGCCATCGGAAGCAGAATTCCCTTTTGAGGGAAGACAAAAATTAGGGAAAAAATTCATCTGGGTTGCAATATCTCAGGGAAGGAGATGTTTGACTATTGCACTGTAGGAAAAAGACAAACAAACCAGCTTCTCGCAGGCAACAAGCCAGGATATCCCATCTTAACATCAAACCCATTTTGGGGGTTCCATCCTGAAGGAAAGGGTTTAAATAGCAGGAATGAGGAGGACAGGGAGAAGCAGCAGAGGACTTGGGCCAAAGTATCTCTAGATCCACGGTGAGGACCATAACTGGTCATGAAGAACAAGGATTGAAGCAGGAACATGGAATGGCAACTAGGCCAATTCTGGCCTCAGAGAAAATGGGGAACCCAGCCTGGGTCCCGTGGAGAAGATGGGGGTCTCCTCCCAAGAGTCCCAGATGAAGGGGAAGTGGACAACAAGCCACCAGCGTTGAAGTCCACCCGTCTTAAAAGTAGCTGAGACACAATGAATTGGATGGTGGAACTTTACTCTCAACCTTGGCCACCTGAAGACCGGTGGACTTCAACTCCCAGAATTCCCCAGCCAGCCACGCTTAGAACCACGGTTCTTCCGGGTTCCTGGCTCCCATGAGATCAACAGGGTGGGGTGAAGAGCAGCCTGGACGCTCAAAAGGACCAAAGAAGAAGTCTCCAACGAAGACTCGTTCCTTCGCACGACGAGGAGAGAAGGTGAGGGACCACAAGGCAACACAAGGAGAGGGAGGGGTCAAGAAGGGTGGACCGCCGCGAAGCAGAAGCCGGCCCGGGAAGGGTGTGTGGGCTCTCCTGGCCCCGCCTATCGCAAGTCTTCAGCGGTGAACATGCCCCTGGCGCGGCGTAGGATGGAGTCTTTGGAGGCGTCGTAAGGGTGCTCCTTGGAGGGGATCTCCAGCACGGCCGGCAGGGACTTGTTGTGCGCGTCAATGACGTGGCGGATCATCTCCGCGATGAACTGGTTGATGAGGACGATGCCGATGTCCTCACGGGCCAGGAAGCTCCTGCGGGCAGAAGGGAACGGGGAGGAGAGGTCACGAGGGGTCAGCTCTTGGGGGCTCCCCCTGCTGCTACTGGGGCTTTCTCTACTATAGGGGCTCCTGCTGGGCTCCCTCTGCTATTGGAGCTACCACTGGGACTCCCTTTACTACTGGGGCTACTCCATCAGCTCCTTGAGGCTCCCCCTGCTACTACTGGACTCCTTTTACTACAGGGGCTACTACTGGGGCTCTGTCTCCTACTGGGGCTACTCCATCAGTTCCTTGAGGCTCCCCCTGCTACTACTGGGAGTCCCTTTACTACAGGGGCTACTACTGGGAGTCCCTTTACTACAGGGGCTACTACTGGGAGTCCCTTTACTACAGGGGCTACTACTGGGGCTACTCCATCAGTTCCTTGAGGCTCCCCCTCCTACTCCTGGGACTCCCTTTACTACAGGGGCTACCACTGGGACTCCATCTATTCCTGGGGCTACTACTGGGACTCCATCAGCTCCTTGGGGCTGCACTTGCTACTACTATAAGTGGAGGACTACCTGCACAGATTATGGAAATAAAAAATAATTTAGAAGATTAAAACAAGCCAAAGGCAGACTTTCTCTACAGGAAGAAGACGCCATAAAACTTATTCTGGGAAGCAACTTCTGAGTTCACAGAGTTTCCGGTGGAAGAAATTTCCACCATCCAATTCAGTGTTTCTCAACCCTCAGCCACTTTAAGATGGGCGGACTACAACTCCCAGGATTCCCCCAGCCAGCTGGCTTGGGAATCCTGGGAGTTGTAGTCCACCCATCTTAAAGCGGCAGAGATTGAGAAACCAACTGATTTAATTTAATTTCTGAATTAAATGCATGGCCCACCGAGTTCATCCAAATGAGGAATTCCCCGAACCGTGGAAAACTACTCACTACGTACTAATAACGCTGGGCAGGGATCGAATCCTGCCTCCTTTGACTCTCCTCCTCCTCCTCTCTCAAGGTCACACATGACAGTGGGCAGATCCTTCCAAAGTAAACCAAGACCGGCAGAAAGCAGCCAAGGCCGGACTTTGCAAAAGTAGTTTGGTTGTTTATGGGCAAAACATTGGCCCAACACCCAACGCCTTCTCAATTTTGCAAGAGGCGAATACGGGATCTCGTCGGCCAGTTCTAACCAGGATCAACTTAGAAACCCAACAGGGAGGAAATTTAAAGAGGAGGGGGAGGTCTGCATAGAATCCCCCTGAGCTGAAAGCATTTAAAAATGCAGAACCACAGTGGGAAGGGACCTTGGAGGTCATCTAGCCCAACCCCCTGCTCAAACAGGAGAGACCCTGTACTATTTCAGACAGGGTGGCTGTCCAGACTCAACCCATCCTTTCTCCCCAATTCCTCCCCCCTCCCCAATTGAGTTCCTTCTCTTTTCCCCATTAAATGTAATTACTTCCCCCCCCGCCTGGAATGGTTTAGCCTACTTTTTTGCGACCCCCCCCCCGAAAGAGTAGGTGGTCTCTTCCGCCTTGCCGCTTTACATTGGCTTGGTTTCATCCAAACTTCCCCCCCCATGACAAGCAATGGTCCTTTCCCAAATGCAGCGCCCCCCGTTTTCCAAGATCAATGGTCCTTCCCTTGCCGTTTCCCGGGCAACCGCCTCCCGGCTCTTCCCTCTCCTTCGCCACCCCCCCTTTCTCACCGAAAAGCCTCCTCGATCTCGGTCAGCGCCGTTTCTTTCTCCACCACCAGGAAGTTCGGGCGCCGGTGCTTGTCCAGCTCGCCCACGCCGCCCAGCAGAAACCCGGTCACCGTGTCTTCGTCGCCCAGCACGGCGATCAGCTTCCCCCGGCCGGCCATGATCGCTCCAAGGACGGAGAAACAGCCAGCAAAATCAGCTGTCTCGTCGCGCAGGCGCCGTGGCCAGCTGATAAACGCGCCGGGATGCGCATGCGCAGCGTTCCAAGGACCGTGTTTCTGCCTCGGCGCATGCGTTGTTCAAAATAAGCCTTCTATGACATCATCGGAAGCATAGAGATAGGAAATGAAGAAATGAAGAGGGGGGGTGGGGAAACGTGTCCTTGTCTCGACGCATGCGTTGTTGAAAAGCTACCTAAGAAGCCATCGGAATTATAGAGATAAGAAAATGAAGATGCATGTACGGACGTGGACAATACGGGTTCCGCGTATGCCTTTTTCTCCTCATTAATTATCTTGCAAGGATTGGAAAAATCAGGAAGAAGGAGGAGGGGGGAGGAAGAGGAGGGAGGAGAAGGAGAAGAAGAGGAAGGAGAAGGAGGAGGAGAAGAGGAGGAGGAGGATTTAAAAATTTAAATTCAAATTTTTTTAAAAAAAAAGAGGAAGGAGAAGAAGGAGGAGGAGGAGAAGGAGAAGGAGAAGAGGAAGAAGAAAAAGAAGGAGGAGGAGGAGAAGAAGGAGAAGAAGAAGGAGGAGGAGAAGAAGAAGAAGGAGGAGGAGGAGGAGGAGGAGGAGGGGAAGAGGAGGAAGAAGAAGAAGAAGAAGAAGAAGAAGAAGAAGAAGAAGAAGAAGAAGAAGAAGAAGAAGAAGAAGAAGAAGAAGAAGAAGAAGAAGAAGAAGAAGAAGAAGAAGAAGAAGAAGAAGAAGAAGAAGAAGAAGAAGAAGAAGAAACATTCAACATTAAAATGGGTGGACTTCACATTACAGAATTCCTCAAGCCAGCATGCTTTAATGCTGTATAAATGGAATGAATGAATGAGGAATTCTGGGAGTTGAAGTCCAGGGGTCTTAAAATGCTTAAGACTGAGAAACTCTGCTCTAACATCTCTCACAGATAAGCCCTGCCCTTTACAGGAGGATTCCACGCGTGGATGTCCACGAGGCTGCCGAGAAACCCACACGAAACAAAAACTCGGCTGCCAAAACTTGGCTGTGTCTGATTCAAGCTTCGGGCCCACCTGGATAGAGATGGTGGCTGCCTCCTTCCCAATTGTGTTCTAAGATTAAGCTCAGAAGAGCCTTCTCCAAAGTTTTTTATCTCTTAAATTTCTCTGCCGTCCATCACACACTGACAAGTGGCTCTGAAAAGATGCCACTTTGGTTCTAGGGGTTCCCCACGCCTTCCTGCCCCCCAGGATACGAACGATGGCCCTTGATGACCTCTTAGCTGGGTGGTTTTCCAGAAGACGTTTCATGACCCAACTAGGTAACATCATCAGTGCTAGAAGGGAATGGGATTGTGGAGTGGAGTGGAGGAGGAGGAGGAGGACTGTAGGGTCCTTGGTGCTCTCTGAGCTTGTTGGCTTTCTTGCAGACATTTCATGACCCAACTAGGTAACATCATCAGTGCTGAAGGGAGTGGGGTTTAAGGAATGGTTTGTGGAGGGGAGAAGGAGAAGGGAGAGGAGAGGGAGAACTGTGGGGTCCTTGGTGCTCTCTGAGCTTGGTGGTATTCTTACAGACGTTTCATGACCCAACTAAGGAACATCATCAGTGCTAGAAGGAGAGGGGGGTTGCTTTCTGTTTATATACAGCAGTCCACCCTGCTAATTTTGGGGAAGGGTTCATTCATTCATTCATTCATTCATTCATTCATTCATTCATTCATTCGCTAGGCAGTCCTTGGTACTCTCTGAGGTTGGTGGTTTTCTGGCAGATGTTTCATTACCCAACTAGGTAACACCAGCAGTGCTAGAAGGGAGGGGGGTTTGTGGGGTGGTTGTGGTGTGGAGGAGGAGGAGGAGTGCGGGCTTCTTGGTGCTCTCTGAACTTGGTGGGTATTTATTTATTTATCCTTCCTTCCTTCCTTCCTTCCTTCCTTCCTTCCTTCCTTCCTTCCTTTCTTTCTTGTATTTATATGCCGCCCTTCTCCAGAAGGACTCAGGGCGGCGAACACAAGTTAAAAACATGTACAACAAAATCCCATTTTAAAACAAATTAACTAATAAATAATAAATAATAAAACCCAGAATCAGAGTCAGCCTATTTGTTTGAACAGCCAAGTCTTCAGCCAAGTCTTTTTGACGTTACATGACCCAATTAGGTAACATCAGGGCTCAAGGGAATGGGCTTGTGGAGGGGAAAAGATGGATAGGAGGAGATTGAAGATGGTGACTGCGGGATATTTGGCGCTCTCTCAATATCTTTTCTTGCAGACGTTTCATGACCAAACTAGGTAATATCAGCAGTGCTAGAAGAGAGGGGGATTTGTAGGGTGGTTGTGGGGATGAGGAAGAGGAGGAGGTAGTGGTGAAGGACTGCGAGATCCTAGGTGCTCTCTCAGCTCCGTACTTTTCTTGCAGGCATTTCATAACCCAACTTGGTAACATGATCAGTGCTAAACAGGAATAGTGTGTTTTGCAAAGAGGAGGAGGAGGAGGAGGCCCGGGTGCTCTCTGAGTTTTTTTTAATTTGATTTATATGCCGCCCTGCTCCGGAGACTCAGGGCGGCTTACAATGCATTAAGCAATAGCCTTCATCCTTTTGTATATTTTATACAAAGTCAGCTTATTGCCCCACAATCCGGGTCCTCATTTCACCTACCTTAGAAAGGATGGAAGGCTGAGTCAACCTTGAGCCTTGGAGAGATTCGAACCAGCAGAAATTGCAGGCAGCTGTGTTAATAACAGGGTGCACTAAACCCCTGTACTATCAAGGCTCTTTTACTTGCAGTAAAACTTGCAGTAATTGCAAGCAGCAGATGTTAATAACAGTGCTTTAGTCTGCTGCGCCACCAGGGCTCTCAAATAATCAGTTTGATTATTTTCTTGAAGACATTTCATGACCCAACTTGGTAACATCATCAGCCCTAAATACCAACACACACACACACACACACACACACACACACACACACACACACCATGGTTGGAAAAGGAGCCTGGGGGAAAAAAATTGGAGGAGAGCTTTACCCTCCCTTCCCCACCAAAAAAAAAAAAAACCCCAACGGTAAAGTAAAAACCACAATGCTGATTTTTAATTTTTTTTTTTAAAAGCAAGTAAACTTTATTGCTGAGGGGCAGATCGGTTGGGTGCAAGGTCGCTGCTCGGATTTGGCCACAGCTACTAGTGGTAATCCCATCCCAGCCGCAGTGAACACACACAGCCTCAAAACACTTTTTTTTTTAAAAAAGAGAGAGAGCGAGAAAGAGAGAGAGAGAGAGAGAGAGAAAAGCCCCCTCCCCTGCCCACCAGGGCCAAGATCTGTGTTCCCCTTTCCCCTACATTTTTAATATATATTTTTTTCTCCTTCCTCCTTTTCTTAAAAAAAACAACAACACAAAATCTCTTTGGCGTGAGCTAGCCCCTTCACACTTGGCAGTTGTGTTGGCATTCCTCCTAGTTGCAGTGTTTCTCAACCTTGGAAGCTTGAATATGAGTGGACTTCAACTCCCAGAATCCCCCAGCCAGCGCTGCTGGCTGGGGGATTCTGGGAGTTGAAGTCCACTCATCTTCAAGCTACTAAGGTTGAGAAACACTGCACTAGTGCCTTTTAAAGCAGCCTCATCCTTTATTTTTTCTCCTGGGATCCAGCGGCGGCTGTGCGACTCCAGGAAAAGAGGCGGCTGCTTTAAAAAGCTCCAAGCCCTCGCTGTGTTTCAGGAGAGCAGGTGCTGGATTCGAATCCGAAACCCAGCTCCCAGTCTTAACAGGACGCGCTCCAAAAGGCTCTGCTGGGAAATGCAGAGATGCCTTTTGCGTTCTCCTCTCACAGACCCGCGCTCACGCTTATTTTTCTCTTCGCCCCCTCCACTCAACACCCCTTGGTGGCACCTTGAAGAGGAGGGGGGAAGGGGGCGCTTGGGGCCCCCGCTCGGCCCTCCCCCTCAAATTTGGCAGGAGTTTGGGAGCCGCTCCGGGATTCCACTCTTCTTCCTTCGCTTCTTCTTACAACGTCACCAAAGTCGCTTTCCCCAAGTAAAGGCCAGGTAAGGTCATATAGATCGACCCCGCAAGGCAGACTGAGGACTAGCCCCTTTTTTTTTGTGGTTTTGGGTAAATCCAAATTAATGCCAAGCAGGGAGAAACTTCCTGGGCAGGGCCACCACAGCAAAGGTGCCCAAATGTCTCTTGCAAGCGTCCTCGAGTCGTACTACAACTTCCCTTCTTCTCCCCCCTTTCCCAGACTGGCCTCGCTGGGCCCCCTGCACCCTCCCCAGCTCAAAGGGCATTCCCCCCTCCCATCCCCCCTCCCTCTCCCCCTTCCCCTCTCCCCCTCTCCCCCTCCCGGTCCCCGATCCGCCTGGAGAAATCCTCAAACGCCAAAGTCCAACTCAACGAGGCAAGCAAATGTCCAACAGTTGTGCCTTCTCCCTCGCCCCGCCTTGGTCACGGGTGGGCACGTCGAGGGTGCCAGTTCTGGGCAGGGGCGGGTGGGGCCAAGGGAGGGAGGCGGGTGGGGCTCCGTCCCCCCTCCTAGGGCACGCTGACTTGGTAGGGGCTGCCGGGCACGCCCTCGTCTCCCCATTTCACGATGAGGATGTAGTCGCCCTTCTCTTTGACGGTGTAGGTGACGCTGTACACCCGGTTGCCCATGTGCTTGACGTACACTTCGTCGCAGGGGGTCTTGGGCCCGTGGACCCCCACCATCAACATGTTGGTGCCTGCGAGGAATGACAGAATTGCAGAATCACAGAGGCCCCTCAGAGGTCTTCTAGTCCAGCCCCTCCAAGCTCAGGCAGGAAGCCCTGTGCCATTCCAGACAAATGGCCGTCCGATACAGGTGGTTCTCGGCTTACGGCCATTCGTTTAGTGGCCATTCAATGTGGCAACGGCGCTGGAAAAAGTGACTTACGACCGTTTTTCACAGTTACAACCAAAAAAAAAAAGGTCACCAATTCAGACGCTTGGCAACTGTTTCGTATTTATGACATATTTATGTCCCACTCGGGACTCGGCAGCTGACTCAAACTTATGACGGTCGCACTGTCCTGGGGTCACACGATTCCCCTTTTGCGACCTTCTGACAAGCAAACGGGAAGCCCGATTCACTTCACAACCGGGTTGCTCGCTTATCGGCCGCCACGATTCACTTAAACAACCGAGGCAGGAAAGATCGCAAAATGAGGCGAAACTCACTCAGCCAAGGTCTCACTTAGTAACACAAACGTTGAGCACAATTGTGGCCGCAAGTCGAGGACGACCTGTGCTAATGACGGCGGCACCAAATATGCTCCCCGAATCGATGACGTTTTAGAAAACTACTTGGAAAAGAGGTTTTATATGGCCCAGATCTGAAGTTCTGAGCAGGGAGGACACCCATCGTCCTCCCTGCCAGCCCCTCTCCCCTCTCAGCCCGCCTGGCACCAGGATACCCACCTGCCTTGCTGCAGTCCACGGTGAAGGTATTCTTCTGGCCCACGAAGGCCTTGGTTAAGCCAGGCCCACGGGCGACCACCTTGCTGGCATCCGAAGAGAACTTGGGCAGGGCGCTGTAGCTGCCACCCACCGAGGAGGTGGCTTTGGTGACCGTCTCCACCAGCACCGTGGACGTCTCGTGGAGGCTGTGCCCACCGGACAGGCGGGGGCCTGGTGGGGCAGAGAGAAAGGGGGGGAAACCGTCACCCAGGGCCATCTTCACAGGTGGAGACCCCTTAGATGGCAGCTCAAGTCTTAGACTAAGAATTAAGTGGGTCTTTTTAATATCCTTCAGAAAGAGGCGCATAATTATTTCTGAAACAATTCTGTGTTTGTCAACATAACTCCCCAATATTTCACCTTTTTCTCGACCCTAAAAACCAGACTTTTTAGTCAATGCATCACAATCCTGACAGGACAGGTTCTTAATCCACACTGTTGTTTTTCTGTTTGTTTATTTGAAAAACCGCTAAAGCCCCCCCCCCCAACTCATTTAATGTCCTCATCTAGTTGGCTTTCAAGGTGAGACTAGAACTCACCGTCTCCTGGTGTTTGACTCAAAATCACCCAGCTTGCTTTCATGCCTAAGGCAGAACTAGAATTCACTGTCTCCTGGTGATTCGGCCCAAAGTCACCCAGCCAGTTTTCATGCCTAAGGTAGAACTAGAACTCACTATCTCCTAGTGGTTGATCCAAAATCACCCAGCTGGCTTTCATGCCTAAGGCAGAACTAGAATTCACTGTCTCCTAGCGATTGGCCCAAAATCACCCAGCCGGTTTATATGACTAAGGTGGAGCTAGAACTCACTATCTCCTGGTGATTGACTCAAAATCACCCAGCTTGCTTTCATGCCTAAGGCAGAACTAGAATTCACTGTCTCCTGGTGATTCGGCCCAAAGTCACCCAGCCAGTTTTCATGCCTAAGGTAGAACTAGAATTCACTGTCTCCTGGTGATTGATCCAAAATCACCCAGCTGGCTTTCATGTCTAAGGCGGAACTAGAATTCACTGTCTCCTGGTGATTCAGCCAAAGTCACCCAGCCAGTTTTCAGGCCTAAGGCGGAACTAGAACTCACATTCTCCAGGTTTCTAGCCCAGCGCCCCAACTACTAGACCAAAATGGCTGTCAGACATATTCAAGTAATTTATTGGAGACTCACCCTGGCCGTGTCCAAGACCGGAGGTGAAAAACAATGTTCCCCTGGGCATGGACAGAATATCTACCCCCACCCCAAACCGAGACTGGGGTGGTGGGAATGCTGGCTGAGAGGGGTCAGTGTTCTCCCACAGGGGGCCCTGAAACCCTACCCAGGAGACTTCACTCACCCGTGACCTTGGCTTTGAAGGGGCTGCCGACGACGTGCTGGGGACCCCCATACTTGATGGAAATGAGGTAGCTTCCAGGCGCCATGGGCATGTAGGTGACCTTGTGGCCCTCGGGGCACTCCTGGCAGTCCATCTGCACCTTGGAGGGCCCATCGATGGTGACCGAAAGGGCCCCGGAGCCAGCGTTTCGGGTCTTCACGACGAACTCGGAGGAGACCCCTGCCAAGAAAAGAAGGTTTGCGATTAGCCAGGGCCGTCTCTGTTGGTCCCGGGACTGGCACGATGCCCGTCTCTCTTGCAGGAAAAAACCCAGATGGCATTGCCTCTGTATTAACACAATGAGGCCCTTTTACAAGCAACGGAAGGACCTGTGTGCTCTGGGGTCACACAAAGGATTTTTAGGGGAGAATTTGGGGTGGGGGGGGTGTTGGTGCCAAGCCCTGCTCCCTGAAAGCAAGCAAACTCCTTGGAAGGCGGAGCAGAGTTTTACCAAGGATGCCCACAATGCAGGTAGTCTTCCACTTAGGACTATTCATTTAGCGACGGCTCGAAGTTACAAAAAACACTGAAACAGAAGACTTAGGACCACTGACTTATGACTCTGACACAATGGTCAAAAGTTCGGGCACTTGGCAACTGGCTTGTATTTTACAACGGTTGCAGCAATGCGGAGGGAGGGAGGGAAGCAAGGAGGGAGGGAGGGAGGGAGGAAGGAGAGAAGAGAGAAGAAGGCAGAAAGGGAGGGAGGGAGGGAGGAGAGAAGGGAGAGTGGAAGGAAGGAGAAAATAGAGGAAGGAAGGAAGAGAAAAGAGAAGGAAGGAGAGGGGGAGAGAAGAGGAAGGAGAGAAGGGAGGGTGGGAGGAAGGAACGAGAGAATAGAAGGAAGGAAGAGAAAAGGAAGAAGCAGGGGAAGGAGAGTGAGGAAGGAAGAGAAAAGAGAAAGAAGGAGAGGAAAAGGGAAGGGAGGGAGGAGGGAAAAGAGAGAAGAGGGAAGGAGGAAGGAAGGAAGGAGAGTAGAGGAAGAAAGGAAGAGAAAAGAGAAGGAAGGACAGGGAGGGAGGAAGAAGGAGGGGAAGGGAAGAGAACTTGGGGAGGTTCGATTGCCCACCTACCCGCTGTCCCTCTTCCAGAGCCTCCCTGAAGCCCTGCCTGTCTCCCCACCCCACCCCATCTTACCTGTGGTTCCTCCCTCCAGGCCTGGGCCGTAGGCCGTGACGAGCCCGGGGTCTCCCGCTTGGCTCTGCTCCCCCACACGGATGTTGAAGGGGCTGCCCGGGACATGCCGTCCGTTGAACCGGACGTCGATGGAGTGGACCCCGTTCTCATGGGGGATGAAGCGAATGGCGTATTTGTCTGGGGGGAGAAATCCAACAGGTCAAGCTCAGCAATGCAAGTCGACAATGGGGTCTCTGGAAGAAAGCCCCCCTCAGCCGGAAACCTCCCCATGCCTTTCAGTCTCCTGGCCTCCTCAAATCACTCTGACCTCCTGCCAACTACTTTTTAAAGCCCCCTCCCCAATTTAAGGGTGGGCAACTGGCATCGTCCGGGGGCTGGGAAGGCCATTTGGGCACTTTCAGGAGCCTCCAGTTCAAATCTCGCCTCTGCCACATGATTTCCTTAGGTATGTTTTCCTCTGGCGGCTGGCCTACCTTGCAGGGGGAGTGTAAAAATTAAATGTGCCGCGAAACAGTCCCCAAAATGTTGAAAATTATGTGTTATATATCAGGGCTCTCCAACCTTGGCAACTTTAAGACTGGTAGACTTCAACTCCCAGAATTCCTCAGCCAGCTTTGCACTAGGAACAGGAGTGCACGCATGCGAAGAGCTGCCAGAAGGCAAGAGCAGCTAAAGCAAAAAGGACAACTCGGGAGTAAGGCCAGGAGATGATTGGCCCCTCCCAGAAGGCTTAAAAGAGCAGCAAGGACTCTTGGACTCTTTGTCAGAAAACAAGGTTGCTACATTTGTTTCTTGTCAGCATCTCTTGCTTCTGAACCTTAGCCAAGAAAAGCCTTTGGCAGGGTGCCAAAGAAGGCAAAAGTTGGTGATAAGGCCGAAGGACTGTTTATGAAGAATTTGTTTTGGAATTAATTTGGACTAAGCTGAAAATGACGTAATTCTCAGCCGTTCTAATAAAATATTGTTTATTTAGGACTGATTGTGTCTGGTAATAACTACTTGGGTCACAACAGATGGCGAGAAGTGAACGTATTTGGATGGCCTCACTTTGCAACAATGCCCCGACACAGGGCTCCCCAATCCCCATTCCAGTAACTGACACTGGGCCGCAGCATGCCAGAAACTGGTCCATGCAAACCAGGGAAGCTTCATCCGCGGGATGCAGGCAGCACGTGAAACCCCGTCCGCATCGATCCACGGAAAAACCTCTCTTCATGGAACGGGTCCCCAATGCCCCAAAAAGTTGAGGGCCACCAGCCTAAGTTGGCACTCACCGCTGTCCAACTCGGAGACGTAACATTCTTCCACCAAGCCGGAGGGCGTGTGGACCTTGGCATCGATCACACCCCGTGCCCCGTTAAGCTGCACCGCGAACGAAGCCGGCTGGTTCACCTTCAGACCCGTTTCCTGCAGAAACCCCGGAACGTCAGATTCACACAACGTACCAGGCCCCAACCTTCCCCAGCTTCCTGCCAAGATACAGGTAGTCCTCGACATACGTCCATAATTAAGGCCCAATGTTTCTGTTCCTAAGCGAGACGTTTGTGAAGTGAATCTGTCCCATTTTATGACCTTTCTCTCCAATTCCCTTTCCCTTTCTCTTTCTCCTTCTCCTCCACCGCTTCTCCTCCTCCCTCTACTTCTCCTTCCCCTTCACCTCTTGTTCTTCCCCTCCTTCTCTTCCAACCTTTCCGCTTCTCCTCCCCTTCTTCTTCCTCCTCTCTACAGCCCCCGGGCTTTCCTAGCACTGATAATGTTACCTAGCTGGGTCAAGAAACGTCTGCAAGAAAACTACCGAGCTCAGAGAGCACCAAGGAGCCCAGAGTTTAACCGTGAGCTGCAAATGTTCTCTTCCATCGAATACCTGGAGGCTGGTGACCGTCAGGCGTCGGGCATCGTCCGAGAGCGAGGCCACGGGGACCACAAATGGACTGTCCGGGATTTGTTCATCGTTGAATTTGATGGAGACCTCGTAGTCACCTGGCGGAGGAGAGGGGAAGGAAGGAAGGAAGAAGCTGCTGAGCTTTTTGGACATTTTGACTTGGACATTATTTTTAAATTATTGCTGGCACTGATTTTGGCCCTGGCTTGACCCCCAATGCACCCAAATACCTACCTGGTTCTTGGACCACATAGGAGACTCCGCAGGAACCGTCTTTCCGGTCCTCAAAGGCAATCTCGGCCTTGCTGGGCCCCTCCACCGCAATGGAGAGACCCCCAGCGCCAGCCTCCCGGGTCCAAATGCTGAATTCAGCTGGGAAGAGAACACGGAGTCAGCAGACAGTCAGGGAAGAAGGAAGGAAGGAGAAAGGAAGGAAGGAGAAAGAGGGAAGGAGGAAAGAGGGAGGGAGGGAAGAAGTAGACAGGGAGGGGGAGAGAGAGAGGAAAGTGATTGGGAAGGAAGGAAGGAAGGAAGGAAGGAAGGAAGGAAGGAAGGAAGGAAGGAAGGAAGGAAGGAAGGAAGGAGGAAAAAAGGGGAGGAAGGAAGGACACAAAGAGGGGGAGAGAGAGAGGATTGGGAAGGAAGGAAGGAAGGAAGGAAGGAAGGAAGGAAGGAAGGGAAAGAAGGAAGGAGGAAAAAGGGGGAGGAAGGAAGGAGACAAAGGGAGAAAGAGAGAGGATAAGGAAGGAAGGAAGGAAGGAAGGAAGGAGAAAGAGGGAAAGGACAAAGAAGGAGGGAGGGAGGAGAAAGAGGGAAGGAGGAAAAAGGGGGAGGGAAGAAGTAGACAGGGAGGGGGAGGGGGAGAGGAAAGTGATTGGGAAGGAAGGAAGAAAGGAAGGAAGAGAAGGAAGGAGGAAAAAGGGAGGAAGGAAGGAAGGACACAAAGAGAGAGAGAGAGAGAGAGGATTGGGAAGGAAGGAAGGAAGGAAGGGAAAGAAGGAAGGAGGAAAAAGGGAGGAAGGAAGGAGAAAGAGGGAAGCAGAAGAAAGAAGGAGGGCAGGAGGATGGGGAAAGAGGGAAGGAAGGAAAAGGGAGGGAGGGAGGAGGAAGGAAGGAAGGAAGGAAGGAAGGAAGGAAGGAAGGAAGGAAGGAAGGAAGGAAGGAAGGAAGGAAGGAAGGAAGGAAGATTGCTGGGTGACAATTCCCCAACCAGAAAAGAAGGCTGTTAATTAATTCACTCTAATAATGAACCTTTTAAATCTGACAGCCCATTTGAGGGCAGAAGAAATTGGGGGAATCAAACCCCACCCCCAAGTTCAAACGTGGCACCTCTGTTCCTGCCACTGTGAAGTCGCGTCAGAGGCGACCCAGGGAGGGTCAGAAAAGTCACGATGGCGGATGCAGCTGCACAGTAGAAGCCGCCCTCTTTTTTTTTTTACCTGCAACAGGTGCTAAAAAGAGGCAAGTCCTCCGTTCGGCACCCCTGCGTGGTGGGCCTCCCCAAACAGAGAGCGACCGGGTTGGCCATGAGCTTCCAAGCGTTCAGAGATCCAGGATCACAGAGCCAGCATCCTGAATCATGCTGCTCCATTCAAACCAACCAAGCACACTACTAGTCCTCAAGGATGCCGAGACTGGCGGCTTTTTCACTTCCAATTCAGTTGGAGGAAAAGAAGGGGGGTTCAAAGCCACACCCGGCCATGCCGGGGCATGGAGGATGGCGCCACCCTTACCTGGCACGCTGGCCACGGCCCTCTCCAGGCCAGGCCCTCCTGCTCGCACTTTGTGGGAGCCCCCTTCGCCCAACGGCCCCACGGTGAACTGGAAGGGGCTTCCGGGCACGTGTTGCCCCCGATATTTGACGTTCACGGTGTGGGAGCCCATCTCCTGGGGCACGAAGCGCACCGAGTAGGCGCTGTCATCTCCCTCGATGATTTCCGCTTCGGCCAACTTTCCCGAGGGACTAGTAACTTGAGCGGTCATGGCTTGGAGGCCGGCCTCCCCTGCAAAGGACAGATAAGAGTACAGGAGGGTCAGACGGTGAAGCCGGACACCCTTCCCTTCCTCCTCAGCCACCAAACCAGGGCTGCGGGAAAGTGGCCATGCATTCCCTTTCAAACAAAGAAATAAATCATGCTTCTAGTCCTCAAGAAAGCCGAGACTTCAGGGCTTCGGTTTTTTTCAACATCGGTGGAGGGGGGGGGCTTTTTGCTCAGTTCCTGGACCTCCAAGTTTTTTCCACACCCGTCCTTAAATCCGTGTTGAAATACACGTCAAACCATTTCCCGCAAGTGCCAAAAACACACAGGAGCATAAATTAAAGGCATACAAACGTTAGTAGAATTTACTCACAAACAAGAGGCAAACATTTTTTTTTCCTGATTAAATATCTTTTGTTTTTTAGCCACCGTTTAGTAAAAGGGACATTGTTGGACTGAGGGCAAAAACACAGCACTCCAAAAAGCAGCATGCATAGGAGATACAGAATGCAAAATGGCAGAGTCGGAAGGGACCTCAGAGGTCATCTAGTCCAACCCCCTGCTCAGGCAGGAAACCCTATAGCATTCCAGACTTCCAGTCTCTTCTTAAGAAACCTCCAGTGATGGAGGAGCACCTACATCCTATGGTGGCAAGCTGTTCCACTGGTTAATTGTCCTCACTGCTATGGTGACATGACCACGATTTGTGACGGTTTTGCTGTAAAGCAGCATTTTGCTTCCGATTTCTGGCGAAAACTCCACCACGGAGAACATTTCCTTAATCACGGTGGTGCTCACTTCACAACTGCTTCACTCGCTTAACGACCGTCATGAAGAAAGTCATCCAATCAGGTCTGGGGACACGCGTTACAACTGTCACGGCTTATGTACGGTCGTACCTCGAGGACTAACTGTATTTAAAGGGTAAACAATCTGGGTTTTTTTTTAAGCGCTTGTGACATTTCAGCTTGACCATTGGATCAGGTAGAATTGGAAACCAGGTTCGAGCTCCAAATCCATCTTTCTCAATCTTGGCAATTTTCAGCAGCGTGGACTTCAACTCCCAGAATTCTAAAGCTTGCTAGCTATGGAATTCTGGGAGTTGAAGTCTGGAATTCTGGAAGTTGGGAATTCTGGGAGTTGAAATCTGGAATTCTGAGAACAAGTTGGGAATTCTGGGAACTGAAGTCTGGAATTCTGGGAGTTGAAGTCTGGAATTCTGGAAGTTGGGAATTCTGGGAGTTGAAGTCTGGAATTCTGAGTGTTGAAGTCTAGAATTCTGAGAACTGAAGTTGGGAATTCTGGGAACTGAAGTCTGGAATTCTGGGAGTTGAAGTCTAGAATTCTGAGAACAAGTTGGGAATTCTGGGAACTGAAGTCTGGAATTCTGGGAGTTGAAGTTGGGAATTCTGGGAACTGAAGTCTGGAATTCTGGGAGTTGAAGTTGGGAATTCTGGGAGTTGAAGTCCACCCAGCTTAAACTTGTCAAGGTAACATTGCTCAGAATGGACAGATAAAACTCTACTGTGACCCACCCCTCAAATTAACCTCCAGTGGGAAAGCCCCCATGCCAATTCAGCTTCTCTTCCTGCCCTAGTGAGGCGGGCATGCAATTCACACACTGCTGTGCCCCCCGCCCATGCTCCCTGTGGGTGCGAGACACACGGGCGCAAGCGAGCGAGCGCACGGCACACTGGCAAGGCCCACGCACCCTCCTGGGTCCGGGCGATGCTGCCAAAGGAGCCGAGGCTCTCGCGGCCGAGGAACTCGCCGAAGACGTTGTGGAAGGGGTCCCCGCCCACTTGCGTGGACTCTTCCACCCGCACCTCGCGCTTGGTCTCCCCGCCGCGCGTCTTGCTGATCTCCGTCCGCTCGGTGCGCGTGTAAGTGTGGCTGCTGCGCGTGAAAGTGCGAGTCAGACGCTCCTGGGCCGAGACCATCTGGAACCAATTCCCTGCGCCAGCAGCCATGAGGGGGAAGAAGGAGGAAGAAGAAGGAAGGAAGGAAAGAGAAGGAGGGGGGAGAAAGGAAGGGGGGCAGGGGGAGGGGAGGAAGGAGGAGGATAAGGAGATAGGAGGAGGAGGGGGAGGAAGAGGAGGAGGAGGAGGAGGAGGAGAAAGAGGAAGAAAAGGAGGAAGGAAAGAGGAGGAGAAGGGGAAGGATAACAAGAAGGAGGAGGGAGAGGGAGAGGAGGAGAAGAAAGGAAGGGAGGAGGAGGAGGAAGGAGGTGGAGGAGAAAGGAGGAAGAGGAGGAAGAAGAGGAGGAGAAGGAAGAAGGAAAGAGGAGGAGGAAGTGGAGCAGGAAGGAGGACGAGGGGGAGGAAGGAGAGGAGGAGGAAGGAGAAGGAGGAAGAGGAGAAGAAGAAAAGAGGAGGAAGAGGAGGGAGGAAGAGGAAGTGGAGCAGGAAGGAGAAAGAATGAAGGAAGCGGAAGGAGAAACGAAGAGGAGGAAGAGGAGAAGGAGAAGGAAGAGGAGGAAAGAGGAGGAAGTGGAGCAGGAACGAGAAAGAAGGAAGGAAGAGGAAGGAGAAAGGAAGAGGAGGAAGAGGAAGGAGGAGGAAGCCAGTTAGAAAGTGGGACGAAGAGGTGGGGGCTGCACATAGCTTTGGAGCGGGCAACCTTGGACCACCCAGAAGCCTTGAAAAGATTCCCTCCAGGGTGGGGGAACCCCCCAATGCAGCCAGCCTCTCCTGACTTAATGCCAACCTCTGGAGAACCTTTACCTGGGATCTTGAGGTTCAGGTCACAGGTGCTGCCCACGGTGGCGATGGAGGGCGCCTGCCTCCGGCGAGTAATGCTCTCCTTCATCCGTCCCTCTCCGGTCACCTTCACAGTGAAGGGGCTTCCTGAAAGGGCCAGCAAGACTAGTGGTTATCTCAACAGCCTGGAACATCCCCATCCCAGCTGAAGGACCCAGGATTGCTGCAGCCTGGGGAATTCTGGGAGTTGAAGTCCACACCTCTTTAAACTTTTTTTTTAAAAAAACTTTTTTATTTTTTAGACAAACAAAACATTTAATACATCAGTTTTCTCTTCCTTGTGACATCTCGGTGTTATCTTCCAAAGTTCTTTCTTTTTCTGTATCGTTGTCATTACTTCTATCTTGATCCTTATCCAGTCCACAATATCATCACGAACATAATATTCTACTCATCGCATATTTTTACATACTTATATAATTCATCATTTATATCTCTTCTCCAACCCATAATAAAAATCATTCCTTATTTTAAAACATTCTGAGTCTTCTCTATCTTTAATCATCAAAGTTAATCTATTCATTTCTGCATAATCTAAGATTTCTTTTTATTACTTCTCCTTCCAAAAGTATTTTCTCCGCGTTCCAGTTTTGTGCATAAACAATCCTTGCAGCTGTTATTACATGTATTATCAAAATAAACATTTTCCTTGCTAATTTTTTCAGGTAGGATACCCAGTAGGAATAGCTCTGGTTTAAATTCGATACGCTGATGTATCATTTCCTCAACCAAGTCTTAAATTTAATCCAATAGTTTTTAGCTTCCGGACATGTCCACCACATATGATAATATGTTCCTGGTAGCTGATGACTACCACCTCTTTAAACTTACCCGGGTTGAGAAACACTGACCTAATCCCCCCCATCCCCCGCCCCCAGTTTTCAACCTGAGAGCTAGAAACTTGAAATTCGCCCACAAGTTGGACGAGGAAAACAGGGACAGATAGATCGACAGACATACCTGGCACGTGTTTATCAGCAAACTTAATATTGATGATGTAATTTCCGGGCTCAGTAGGCGAGTAGGTGACTTTACAGGTGCCATCTTCCATGTCTTCACAATTGATGTCCACTTTGCTGGGACCTTCGATGGAGAGGCCGAGACCTCCGTAGCCTGGAACCAATAAATCAGTTTATTCTCCTGGCAAGCTTTGAATATCAGCTTGTTGAGAAGGAGTGGCTGAATTTGGGGTGGGGGTGAAAAGAGGAATCAGTCTAGCATCCCTACATAGCCACAAGCAAACTTAAGTTCCACCTCCCTTGGATTCCATGGAGTCTTATCTAACTCCTAGCAGGTGCCGGCTGTTGGTTGAGAATAACAGAATACAGGTTGTCCTTGTTTTACAACAGCTCATTTAGTGACCATTTCGAAGTTACAACGGCACTGGAAAAAAAGGGACCCGACTGTTTTCCACACTTATGACTGTTGCAGCGTGTGGTCAGGTGATCCAAATTGGAGACACTTGGCACACTGACTCATCTTTATGACGGTTGCCGTGTCTCCGGGGGGAGGGGGGTGTCACACAATCCCCTTTTGCAACCTTCTGACCAGCAAAGTCCACGGGGGGAAGCCAGACTCGCTTAACAACCATCTTCCTAACTCAACAACGGCAGCGATTCGCTGAACACCCGTGGTGAGAAAGGTCGTGAGCTGGGGCAAAATTCAGTTCACAACTGTCTCGCTTAGCGACATAAATGATCCACGGTGGTTGTTAGGAAATGATCGTTACCTAACTTGTTGGGTTGGCAATATAGAAAACCTCAATATAGCTTTAAGACTGTATTGCTGTATTGCATCATACTGTGTCCTGATTGGTTAGCTCTGTAGCCAAAGTCCTTAAGAGGGAGCTAGAAACATGGTTTGTTTCTCTCTGCTGATTAATATTACTCTTTGTTGCTCTCTACTGCTCTTTGCTGAAAGTTACTGATCGTTACTGCTATTTACTGCAATTTTGCTACTGTTTGCAACTGTTTATTGTGTATGACTACAACGACTGGTAAGAAGACTTTGTTATTGGATTATCCCTGGACTATTGTTTTACTATCTATTGCTTTATCTGTGTATGACCGTGACTGTTTATTGGACTGTGCCTTATTACTATTTTCCTAAAAATAAACACAATTCAGTGTATCTGTGTGTTGACTGTGATTATTTGCAACTGTTCTCAGTCGCTTTCATGTGCACACCCTTGCTACTCTAGGGTTGCTCTGCTAATTCCTCAACAGTGGTCATAAGTGGAGGACTGCCTATATTAAGTCCATTTTTCCTAGCTCTGAAGGCCCCATCGTTGCCACCAAGTTGTGTACGTTGGTGAAAGGTGTTTTGAAGCCTCACAACCTCTTTTTTCTCACCTGCAGTCCGGGTGTCGACGATGAATTCGGACATCTCGAAGGTGCGTCCTTCTACCAGCCCTTTACCGGAGACTTTAACCTTGCTGGCGTCGCCAATTTCCGACTGTCCCACCATGATCTTAAAGGGGCTGTTGGTGACATGCTTGCCGCTTTTCTTGACGCTCACCACGTGCTCCCCAACCTCCTTGGGGGTGAAGGAGATCCCTGGGGGGGGAGAGACAGAGTGGGAAATGAAGGGGGGGCAGGACAAGGGCTAATGGGGTCTGGGGGCCAGCTGGCAGCCCCAAGGTTTCACCAAAGCCAGGAGCTCTTTCCTCAAAATGCACGGACTGCCAGGGAGGAAGGGAAGGGGACTCCCAAAGAATTCTGGGTAATGAGACACACGAATTCCCACGATGGAAGAACGGAGGGAGAAAGTGATGGAGGGGGAAGAGGCAAAGATTAATTGTCCTAAGTAAAGAGGAGAATTTATCTCATTTTGGAATGGAACGGAACATCCCTAGAACATCTACCCACCATTCCCAAAAGACGATCTAACGGCTAAAAAGAGAACAAAAAAATACCCACAATCAAGGCCCAGGTGAGCAGAGGTTAACCCCAAGGTTAACACTACTAGACCAACAATCAAGCAGTCGGCAATACCCCAATCGAGGAACTTCCAACTCAGACAAACAATCTGAAGGTAAACAACAGCCTAATCGAAGAACTATCAAGACCTCCTCCTCCTCTTCCTCCTGCCCCTCTCCACAAACCCCACTTCCTTCTAGCATTGATGATGTTACCTAGTTGCGTCATTTCACTGCAAGAAAAGAATCAAGTTCAGAGAGCACAAGGACCCCACAATCCTTCTTCCAATCCTCCTTCCAATCTCCCTTCCATTGAGGACCTGTCTACTGCATGAGTCAAAAAGAGGGCTAGGAAAATATCTACATACCCCTCACATCCTGAACATAAATTGTTTCAACTCCTACCCTCAAAACGATGCTATAGAGCACTGCACACCCGAACAACTAGACACAAGGACAGTTTTTTCCCCAACGCCATCACTCTGCTGAACAAATAATTCCCTCAACACTGTCAAACTATTTACAAACTGCACTACTATTAATCTTCTCATCGTTCCCACCACCCATCTCCTCCCACTTATGACTGTATGGCTGTAATTTTATTGCCTGGATCCTTAAGATTTATATTGATATTATTTCCTGATTGCTTATTTTACCCTATGGCTATCATTAAGTGTTGTACCTTATGATTCTCGACGAACTTTTATGTACACTGAGAACGTATGCACCAAGATAAATTCCTTGTGTGTCCAATCACACTTGGCCAATAAAATTCTATTCTATTCTATTCTATTCTATTCTATTCTATTCTATTCTATTCTTCTCCTTCTCCTTCTCCTTCTCCTTCTCCATCTCCTCCTCCTCCTCTTCCTCCTCCTCTCCACAAACCCCACTTCCTTCTAGTATGAAATGTCTGCGAGAAAAAAACCAAGCTCAGAGAGGACTTCACCATTCTCCACTTCCTCCTCCTCTCCTTTTCCTCCTCTTTCTCCTTCCCCCTCCACTCTGCAAACCCCACTCCCACTAGCATTGATGACATTCCCTAGTTTGATAATGAAACGTCTGCAAGAAAACTACCAAGTTCAGAGAGCACCAAGGACCCCGAAACTTTGATCCTGAGCTACAATCATTCTCCTCTGTGACTACTGTCTTTTTAAGTACACCAGATCTGACTGCAGAACTCCAAATGTCCACTAGGAGCAGCAAAGAGCCAGTGGTGGTTTCTTTTTGTCTCTCTGCTGCTCTTCCAGCTTTCCTCCCAATTTTCACAGCTTGTAATGTAAACCCTCTGTCCTCTACAACTTCAGCGGCTATTCCTTGTTGCACGGTTGCGCGTCCGTTCCGAACGAGGCTAAGCGGAAGCGGCAAAAGAGGGCTCACCGATATGGCGGTTGGGCAGGCGCTTGAGCAAACAGGGCTCTTCGTTCCCAGAGGGGGCCCGGATGCTGGCGGTCAAGAGGCTCAAGTCACTCTCGGTGATCTTCAGCGACACGTCGGTGGAAGTGCCCAAGTTCAGCTGGGAGGTGCGCATGGAATCGTCCCCTGGGTCAGAAGAATGGTGATAAGAGAAGCCGTCACGGTTAGGGTTCAAGACTTCTCTAAAGCATTTGAAAGATGTCACAATGACAGAGTTGGAAGGGACCTCGGAGGTCTTCTAACCCAACCCCCTGCTCGAGCAGGAGACCCTACACCAGTGATGGTTAACCTTTTTGCGGTCGCGTGCCCAAAGCGGGGGGAGACCGGAGGTATTGCACACGTGCGTGCCCACACCCATAATTTAATGCCCCTCCCTGCCCAGCCCCCCACGAATGTGTGCATGACTCCCCTCCTGCTCCCTCGTTTTTGTCATGCAACAACAAAAATGTTACTTGTGGGCTTTGTAGGCCCGTTTTTCGCCCTCCCCAGGCTCCAGAGGCTTTCTTGGAGCCTGGGGAGGACGAAAACAGCCTCCCCCACCACCCCGAGGCCCTCCGGAGGCCGGAAACGGCCTGTTTCCCAACTTCCGGTAGGCCTGCAAGGCCCATTTTTTCGCCTTCAGGCTTCAAAGGTTTTCTTGGAGGCTGGGGAGAACGAAAACGGCCTCCCCCCACCCCTAAAGGCCCTCCAGAGGCTGGAAATGGCCCATTTCCCAATTTCCGATGGGTCCGGATGGCCCGAAAATCAGCATGCGCGCGCTGGAGCTGAGCTAGGGCAATGCCCACGTGCCCACAGATATGGCCTACACCGTTCCAGACAAATGGCTGTCCAATCTCTTCTTGAAAACTTCCAGTGTTGGAGTACCCACAACTTCTGGAGGCAAGGAGTTCCACTGGTTAATTATTCTCATTGCCAGGAAATTTCTCCTTCTTTCTGGGTCGGTTCTCTCCTTGATGAGTTTCCCTCCATTGTTTTTTTATCCAGCCTTCTGATGCTTTGGTGCAGGGGTCTCCAACCTTGGCAACTTTTAGCCTGGAGGACTTCAACTCCTAGAATTCCCCAGCCAGCAAGCTGGGGAATTCTGGGACTTGAAGTCCTCCAGGCTAAAAGTTGCCAAGGTTGGAGACCCCTGCTTTGGAGAACAGGTTAACCCCCTCCTCTTTGTGGCAGCCCCTCAAACACTGGAAGGCTGCCCTCCTGTCACCCCTAGTCCTTCTCTTCATTGGACTAGCAATACCCAAATCCTGCAACCGTTCTTCCTATGTTTTATGAAAGTAAAGTAAAATAAAAATAAAAATAAAAAAATAAAATAAAATAAAAAATAAAATAAAATAAAACAAAATAAAATTAATAAAATAAAATAAAAATAAAATAAAATAAAATAATAAAATAATAAAATAATAAAATAATAATAAAATATATAATAAAATAATAAAATAATAATATGTTTTATTCTATGGCTGTTCACCGCCCTGAGTCCTTCGGGAGTAGGTGGTATATAAATTCAATAAAAGAAAGAAAGAAAGAAAGAAAGAAAGAAAGAAAGAAAGAAAGAAAGAAAGAAAGAAAGAAAGAAAGAAAGAAAAGAATAATAAAATAAAGAAATGAAATAAAGAAATGAAATGGAATAAAGAAATGAAATGATAAAATAATGAAATAAAAATAAAAAATTAAATATAAAAAGCAGTTGAGGTTGGGGGGGAGGGAGGAAAGAAGGCCTACCTGTGATCTTCGCAGTGAAGGGGCTGCAAGGAATGTGCTTGTCGTCGAAGCGGACAATAATGTTGTAGTCGCCGGGAGCCGTGGGCAAGTAGGAAACGGTACAGGTGCCGTCTTTATTGTCCTTGCAGGTGATTTCGGCCTTGGACGGGCCCTCCACAGCCAGGGACAGGCCTCCTGTGGGTGGGGGGGAGGGGAGAGGAGAGGAGAGCCTAGTTAGCTTCAAGAGGGAAGATTAGTTTTGGGATGATAGCAACGTTGCTCCTTAGCTTTTTCTGGTGTTGGAGGTGGGGTCAAGTAGGGAATTAGCCTGGAATCATTATGTGAGCACAAGAGGGCAAGATCTGATTCCACTGAATGCCTTTCAACTTTATCTGACCTTTCCCAGGTGAATTTGCCAGTCTGGGAAGATTCCTGTATTATAGGCAGAGAACAACAAAGTACAGGTAATCCTCGACCACAAAATTCCCATTGCTAAGGGAGACCGTTGTTAAGTGACTTTGGCCCTATTTTATGACCGTTCTTACCATAGTCCCTTAGCGAACCGCTGCAGGTATTAAGCTAGTCACATGGTTGTTAAGTGAATCTGGCGTCCCCACTGACTTGGCTGGTCCTAGAAAGTCGCCAAAGGGGGTCAGGTGATCCCGGGGACACGGCAACTGTCATAAGTATGAGTCAGTTGCCAAGTGTCTGAATTTTGGATCATGTGACCCTGAGGATGCTGCAGTGGTTGTAAGTGTGAAAAAAACGGTCATGTCGCTTTTTTTCAGTGCCACGGTAACCTCGAATGGTCACTAAATGAACTATTGTTAAGTCGAGGACTATCTGTATTCTGTTATTCTCAACTGTTGTGGCCCGTCAGCGGCCTGTGCAGATAGTAGCTGATTCCAACAGCGAGGAGGCTGGTGTGGTGCTGCGCCAGCAGCCTGTGCAGCTGGCGCTCGAGTCGGACAGTGAGGAGGCTGGAGAAGATGTGGTGCCAGAGGGGGGGATTCAGCCAGGGCCTTCAGAAGCTCCCTTAAGTGAAGAGGACGAAGAGGAGGAGCCTCTTCTCAATGCACAGGCGCGCAGAGCTGCCAAAAGGCAGGAGTGGCTCCTCAGGAAGAGGTCTCGAGAGTAAGGCTTGGGGCTAATTGGCCACTCCCTTAGTCTATTTAAGGAGGAACGCTAATTGCAGCAAGCTGTAGGGAACAACTTTAGTTCACTCTCCTTCGTGTCTGGATTCTCTGCAAAATAGTTTCTGGGCTTTCTGCCAACTTTAGTAAGACTGTGATGACCTTATCTTAGAATTCTGGTAGACTGTTAAGACAGTTTATTAACAGCCTTTGGTTGATAAAGACTAAGTTATTTGAGTAAAATAAGCTTTGTATAGAGTTTGTTTGTGCTGCGTTCTTTGGGGTCCGTAGGGACGGTCAGTACCTGCTAGGATAGATAAGGCTCCATGGAATTCAAGGGAGGTGGCACTTAATTCACTTGTGACTACGTAGGGATGCTAGGCTGATTCCTCTTTTCACTCCCACCTCAAGTTGATGATCACATATCCCGCCCACCCCCCTCCGGGACACTGCAACCGTCATAAATATGAACCAGTAACCAAGCTGTCCATTCAGTTACCGGAATTGTGATCAGGTGATCATGGAGTATGCCTCAATGGTCATAAGTGTGAAAAACGATCCCAAGTCACTTTTTTCAGTGCCGTTGTAACGTCAAACGGTCACTAAACGAACTGTTGTAAGTCAGGGACTGCCTCGACCCAGTTTGAACTCTACACCTGTGAGTCTGGTGGCTGTTCGCACCCGACACTGGTGTCATTTTGAACCCGTGGATTATGTCCTGACTCTGTGGCATCTTTCAAAGTTTAATTCATTGCCTTTCCTCTTGGGCACACTTCACGACTCTCTGACCACGTTTTTCACACGGGGTACAGGGGGACTCACCTTCGCCGGCGTCCTTGGTGACGATGGTGAAGGTTGCGGGTTTGTTGACCATGCCGTGGCTCAACCCAGGTCCGTAGGCGCTAACGTGGCGGGCGTTGATAGCATCCACGTAAAATTGGAGGGGACTCCCTGGTTGGGGGGGAAAAAAAGCAATGGACTCAGGGGCCATAATCCCATAATCCTGGACAGCTTGCCATCTTCAGACAGGGAGCAAGGAGGAACTCTGGGGAAGCTCATCTTTCTGAAAGTCCTAAAGTTAGAAGGGAGCTTAGAGGTCATCTTGTCTAGCCCCCTGATCAGAGTAGGATCTGGGGCAGCTCCGGCAGACGGCCATCCATATTTCCTCTTCAAGAGGATCTGGTTCTATTTTGTTTAACAAACTGTAGTTTAATAAAGTGGGTTTAGCATAACGTGTGTACCCAGACGTAGTGTGTTTTCGTTCTTCTGGCTGGAGTTTCTCAATGTTGGTCACTTTAAGACAGGAGGACTTCAACTCCCAGAATTCCCCAGGCAGTTTGCTTTAAGGTGGGTGGACTTCAACTCCCAGAATTCCCCAGCCAGCCATTTACTCTCCCCAGGAACCCATCTGACCCCATTCACTCTCTCTTTCTCACCTGGAATGTGGTTGCCGTCGTATTTGATGTCCATCTCATGCAGCCCCTTTTCTGTGGGGGCATATTTCACGGTCACCGTCCCATTCTTATTGTCCGTGATGTGTGGACGTGCCGTCTTGCCTGAAGGCATCCTGACCTCCCCTGCAGAGCAGGAAGAAAACAGGCGGATGAGACCCCCCTCCCAAGCCATGGTGACTTCCACCCCTAAGAATGGGACTAGCCAGGCGTGGGAGACCTCCCCAAACTACAACTCCCAGCATCCCAGTCAGGCCAACAGTGAGGGATCCTGGGAGTTGTAGTTCCATAACATTTCCCACTTCTGGACTGCGAATAGGACTAGCCAGGCATGGGAAACCTCCCCAAACTACAACTCCCAGCAGCCTAGCTTGGCCAAAGTGAGGGATGCTGTGAGTTATAGTTCAGTAACATTTCCCACTTCTAGACTGAGAATAGGACTAGCCAGGCATGGGAAACCTCCCCAAACTACAACTCCCAGCAGCCTAGCTTGGCCAACAGTGAGGGATCCTGGGAGTTGTAGTTCCATAACATTTCCCATTTCTGGACTGAGAATAGGACTAGCCAGGCATGTGAAACCTCCCCAAACTACAACTCCCAGCAGCCTAGCTTGGCCAAAGTGAGGGATGCTGGGAGTTATAGTTCAGTAACATTTCCCACTTCTCTCCTGAGAATGGGACTAGCCAGGTGTGGGGAAACCTCCCCAAACTACAACTCCCAGCATCCCAGTCTGGACAACAGTGAGGGATCCTGGGAGTTGTAGTTCGTTAACATTGCCGACTTCTGGGCTGACTCCAACCCAGAGGTGAAATCCAGCAGGTTCTGACAGGTTCTAGAGAACTGGTAGCAGAAATTTTGAGTAGTTCGGAGAACTGGCAAATGCCACCTCTGGCTGGCCGCAGAGTGGGGAGGGAATGGGGATTTTGCAGTATCCTTCCACTGCCACGCCTACCAAGCTACGCCCACAGAACCGGTAGTAAAAAAATTTGGATTTCACCGCTGGTCCAACCTATCTAGAGTCGAAGCAGAGCTGATGTACAGCAATTGGAAGCTGCAGGTGGTGGGGAGGAGCTAAATCTGGGCGGGGCTAGAGGTGGGTGGGGCTGGCAAGATTTACCTTGCTGTCTGCTTCTGGCTGCCCTGCCTTTTCTCCCCCTCCGAGACCCTCCCCAAAAGGAGTCAGCTCAGAAAGACCCTGCGGCCACAAGATTGCCCCCCACCCCAGAGATTTTTTTTTAAAAAAATAATTTACTCGAGATGCTTTATTCCAAATGCATGATGGGAAAGAATGGAACAACGGAATACAGGTTTTCAACAATGGCACACTGTGCAGTCCCAGAATGCAATTGTGGGAGGAGCAGGGGGGGGAAAAAATCTACAAACTCCACCCCCAAGAACGCAAAGGTAGACTGCCTCTGGGTGTGGAGGTTCTATTGAGCTACCCTAGCAAACAACCACAGATCGAGGCTTCCAACCTCCTTGTTCTCTTTTGGCTCCCCCAGCTCGGATCCGTTTCTTCTCTAGCCCATCTCTCATTTTCCTCTTGGGATTATTAATTTAATCTCTCAAACTGGATTTTCTTGAATCATTTATTTCATTTTAATCCAGCCACCCAAATATGCAAACAGCCCATCCCCTTATAGAGGGGCTTTGTACGGTGCGCAAGTAAAATAGGGAAACCTTTAAAAACAGTACATATATATATGTACTGTTATTTATATATATATATAAATAATATACATTTATTATAATATAATATATATTATTATATATTATATATTATAATATATATTATTATAAATAATAATATATATTTATATATATATTTATATATATATAAATGTCTATGGAGATTCAGTATACAGTATATAAACTTATTTAGATCAACAAGGATGAATTAAAAAATCAATGTTAAAGTTAATTAAAAATCATGGCATCCCGATTCTATGGAAACCTTGGCAGGAAGTGACAAAGCACAAAAAAAATCTTGGTGCTTTCAAAGCGCCCAGTAAAGTTTTTCCCTGCATGCCATCACTCTACTAAACAACTAATTCCCACGACAGTCAAACGATTTACTAAGACTGCATTACTATTGCTCTTCTCATCCTTCCTATTACCAATCTCCTTTCTACTGAGGATTCTAACCTCATTGCTTGTATCTTTACGATTTATATTGTTTTATTTAGTTTCCTAGTATGATTTTGATTGCTTAATTAGTATCCTATGATTATCACTAAAGTGTTGTATCTTATGATTCACGATGAATGTATTTTTATGATGACGATGATCGTGATTGATCACTTTTAGCTTTTATGTACACTGAGAACTTATGCACCAAAGACAAATTCCTTGTGTGTCCAATCAGACTTGGCCAATAAAGAATTCTATTCTATTCTATTCTATTCTATTCTATTCTATTCTATTCTATTCTATTCTATTCTATTCTAATTCTAATTCTAATTCTAATTCTATTCTACCATGTTTCCCCGAAAATAAGACCCTGTCTTATATTTTTTTGAACCCCTCAAAAACCGCTTGGCCTTATTTTCGGGGAGGTCTTATTATTTTGGGGTGCGTGGAGCAAGATGGGGCTCCTCTTGCGGTCTTACCTGATTTCCAGCTCTACCTCTCTAACCCTAACCAGAGGAAATGGTGGGGACCGGCTGCACATGGATTTAAATATTTGGGGGGGGCTTATGTTTTGGGGGGGTGTCTTATTTTAGCGCATGCGCTCAAAAGCCCGATTGGGCTCATTATCAGGGGATGTCTTATTTTCGGGGAAACGTATTCTAAAAATAGGTAAAGGAGTCACTAAACGAACGGTCGCAACTCAAGGACTACCTGTAATGCAGAAACTCAGTAGGGATTCCAAGATGATCTGGCTTGAACCCCTACCCAACCCAAAACTCCAGCTTGTGCTTCCACACCGTGGTTCCCACCCCCCCCTTACACCCCAATCCACAGACGGACGGACGGGCTACCTGTAATCTCTCCCTTCTGCACGGCGAAGGGGATGACCAAGTTGAAGGGCCGCAGCATGGCATCCACGTTCTCCGGCGGGGCGACGGGCTCATCCGTGGCCTGGCGTGGAGGGGAAGAGAGGAAACGGAGGGAGGGGGGGAGGGAAAGAAAGAGAGACTAAGTCCAGATAGAGAAGGAGTGGGAAGGGCGGAGAGAGAGAGCGAAAGAGCGCCCCAAGACGAGGCAAACTGAAAAGAAAGATTCGGAAGGCGAAACAATCTTGGGGTGCAGAGGCTGGAAGAAACGGGGCTGTAAGAAAGAAGGAGACCAATGACACCCCCCCCCCGAAAAAAAAGAAGAAGAGTCCAAGACACCCTGAAAGCGGGTTTGGGGGGCAGCCAGGAATGGCAAAGAGGAGATCCAGGACTGTCCATTGATTGCCCCCGCCCTTGCCAAAACAGCTGGAATTGTACGACTGCATTCAGCTAACCACCGTGCAGGTAGTCCTCGACTTACGACCGCAATCGAGCCCAAATTTTGTGCTGCTAAGCGAGACAGTTGTTACGTGAGCCTTGACCCATTTTATGACCTTTCTTGCCATGGTTGTTAAGTGAAACCCTGCCCTTGTTAGCTTAGTAACATGATCGCTAAACTTTCTTTTTTTAAAAAAAAAAAAGCCTCTGACGATCCCAGCTGAGCCGCGAGATCATCAGAGGCTTTTTTTTTTTACTTTTAAAAGCATTTTTTCGGCCAAAGAGGTTGTAGAAAAAGTGCTTTTAAAAGCCTCTGATGATCCCAGCTGAGCCGCGAGATCATCAGAGGCTTTTTTTTTACTTTTAAAAGCATTTTTTCGGCCGAAGAGGTTGTAGAAAAAATGCTTTTAAAAGCCTCTGATGATCCCAGCTGAGCCGCGAGATAATCAGAGGCTTTTTTTTTAACTCTTAAAAGCATTTTTTCGGCCGAAGAGGCGTGACCCCAAAACACTGCGACCGTCATAAATACGAATCAGTTGCCGAGGGTCTGAATTTTGATCATGTGACCATGGGGGGTGCCACACTGGTCATAAGGGTGTTGCTTTTTTCAGTGCCGTTGTAACTTCAAACGGTCACTAAACAGAAGGTTGTAAATTGAGGACTACCAAGTTATGTCGGCTGGCGACACCCAGGGGGAGGGCCTTTTCTGTGGGAGCCCCAGCCCTGTGGAATGAACTGCCCCCGGAAATACGCAAGATCTCCGACCTCCGAGTGTTTCGTTGCGCACTGAAGACCCTGTTGTTCCGCCAGGCAGGGCTATCAACTTAATAATTTTAATTGGGGTATTTTAAATGTTTGGGGTTTTAAATCGGCCAAATCTATGTAATTATTTTAATTTTTAATTATTGTTGTGTGTTGTGTTTTTAAATTGGCTGTACACCGCCCTGAGTCCTTCGGGAGAAGGGCGGTATAGAAATAAAATTATTTATTTATTTATTTATTTACCCCTCTTTTCAGTTTGCACCACCTACTGAGCCACAAATGACTCACTTGGTGGGCAGGATGACGGGTGAATTTGTCTGGCACAAACCCTGAAGGGACTTCACGGATGCTACCACATTATGCTGAATTCTACAGGTGCTTAACTGCTTAAAAAACTGGAACTGGATTTTCTACAAACTTTCTTGAGCCAACATTTCCACTCTGGGCTTTGAAGAGCTCAAATTTTCCCCTGCAGATAGAATGCACCATTTTAGTAGAGAACGGCTGCCCGTCCCACAAGGAGGTCTGGCCTGGCCGTTTGGGGTCCCAATAATACCTACATTTGGGGGGGGGGGACCAAAGGGACCTAACAGAATAACAGAACTGGAAGGGACCTTAGAGGTCTTCTAGTCCAACCCCCTGCTCAGGCAGGAAGTTATACCAGTTCAGACAAATGATTGTCCAATCTCTTCTTTAAAAACTTCCAGTGATGAAACACCCACAACTTCTGGTGGCAAGGAGTTCCACTGGTTAATTGTCCTCACTGTTAAGGAAGTTTCTCCTTAATTCTAGGTTGCTTCTCTCCTTGATTAGTTTCCATCTGTTGCTTCTTGTCCTGCCTTCTGGTGCTTTGGAGAATAATTTGACCCCCTCTTCTTTGGGGCAGCCCCTCAAATACTGGAGGACTGCTATTATCTCATGCTACCAGGCCTCTGGGAAGGATGGAAGGGGGGCGGGGGAGAAGAGAAATTGTTAGAATATTCATGACTGGGAAGACATGGTAACAAGGTCAGCCAATGAATAGGCATAGCAACTACGTTAGCCAATTGGGAGCTGAGACAGACTGGAGCCAGGGCGTGTCTTAGTCTGCAGCTTCTGAGTCTGTGCAGAGAAACGAAACTGAAACCGGTGAGTGTGAACTTGTCTGCTGATTCGAGCTGAAACGAAACTGTGAATCTGCTATTGGTATTGTAAAATCTACTTCATGTATTATTATGTATATAAAGAAGTTAAGGAATCCAGCTGAATCAGTTCTCTGTGTGTGCTTCTGGATTTGATTTTTGTAAGAAACACTGACAGAAATATCTGAGGAAAATCAAGGTTGGAATTTAGCCTTGGCCAGGGTATCTGCAGGATGTGTCCAAAAAAGTCAAGATGGCAGCTGAAAGAGTGCAATTGAAGCTCTCCATGTTGACCATCCCAAGCTGGCAGAGCTTCAACTGCACATCACGGTCACCTTCTTGATTCCTTCCACCACATCCTGAGGACCCTCTTGGCATTGGTGCATGGGGGCAGGAGGACCCTCCTTTCCGAGACAGAAAGAGAGAGACAGTGAGAGGAGACAAAGGCAAGCAAGGACACAGTCCTGGTACCCAGTGTGGAGGGAAGCCACCAGGGTGGTGCACCGGGAAGGGCTGGTGAAGCTGGTTGGATTCGCAGGGCTCCTCCACCTGAGGAATGGAGTCACAGGCCTGGCGGGAAGCAAGGGAGACGTCAGAGGATGGTCCTGCATGCATGTTGAGAGCCCTCTTCACCCCACAACCTCGCGGTATCAGACGGCTGCTGGGATAGAGCTGAACAGTTGTGGGGTGGCCACCAAACACAACCAGAGGACTCCTTGGTGCTCTCTGAGCTTGGCTGTTTTCATGCAGACCTTCCATGACCCAAACTAGGTAACATCATCAGAAGCCTTCTAGCTCTCCGTCCTAGCACTGATGATGCCACCTAGTTGGGTCATGAAAGGTCTGCAGGAAAACAAGTAAGCTCAGAGAGCACCAAGGAGCCTACAATTTTCCTCCTCCTCCTCCTCCTCCTCCTCCTCCTCCTCCTCCTCCTCCTCCTCCTCCTCCTCCTCCTCCTCCTCCTCTTCCACCACCACCACCACCACCTCCTCTCCACAAAATCCACTCCCTTCTAGCATTGATGATATTCTCTAGTTGGGTCATGAAAGGTCTGCAGGAAAACAAGTAAGCTCAGAGAGTACCAAGAACCCTACAATTTTCCTCCTCCTCCTCCTCCTCCTCCTCCTCCTCCTCCTCCTCCTCCTCCTCCTCCTCCACCACCACTACCACCACCACCACCACCACCTCCTCCTCTCACAAAATCCACTCCCTTTAGCACTGATGATATTCCCTACTTGGATCATGAAAGGTCTCCAGGAAAACAACTAAGCTCAGAGAGCACCAAGGACCCTACAATTTTCCTCCTACAGCACATCCTGTACTCACCACCACGTGAAAGGGGCTGTTGGGGATCTGCTCGCCTCCAAAACGGATGGTGATGACGTATTTGCCAGGCTCGGGAGCCGTGTAATAGATGTCAAAGGTCCCATCGTGGTTCTCCACCACATCGACATCCAGCTCGGCCCCATCGGGCGTGGAGACCTTGCAGGTCACCTTGCCCTTCCCAGCTGCCTTGGCGTCCACCGTGATCACCGTCTCCTCTCCAATCTGGATGGTGGGACCAAGGCATGCTCCTACAAGGAAATGAAGACAATAGTTGCAGCCAAGCCCAGAGACCACGCCTGTGAGCTCTAAAGATTTAAGTCTACAGGTGAAGGTCCCATGGAAGTGACTTCTTACTAAAAGCCTATCATCTTCTTTTAACGACCCCATAATCCCTTGCGAGGTGGAGTCTGGGCAACTGAATGGAGTTAGCAGAGTGTTTGAATGGCCGGAGGCCTTTCCTGTCGCCGATCCAGAGTTTTGTTCAGCAGATCTATTCTCATTGTGCCCAGAGAGAGAAATATCTGCCTCTACGTAGGATCGAACTCACAGCCTCCTGATTGTGAGGTGAGGGCTCTATCCTCTAGGCCACCGCACCACTCCTTCTTACTAAAAGCCTATGTGCACAGGAATCTTCTCAACTAACATTCAGCACCTTGTTGGAGTTAAATAAGGGTTAAGGGCGATTTGACTTAGTTGGCTTGTGACTATGTAGGGATTCTAAACTGATTCCTCTTTTCACGCCACCTCCAGCTTCGGCCATTCCTTCTCCTACATCACGGGATCATTGAGGTAGGGTTAGGTTTGGCGATGGGGTGGGGGGGAATGAAAGAAATGCTCAAGTTAAGAGTCACCAAAAATGGCCTTGGCCCAACTCGGCCAATGTCTCAGTCCAGCAGGTGGATTTAAGATTAAAACTAGGAATAATGAGAATCATAGCCTCAAATAAAGTTTATGGACCTGAATGATAAAAGGATGGAGGAAAAGAAAAATCTCAAGGGGCATCTAGTTAGTGTTTCTCAACCTTGGAAGCTTGAAGATGGGCGGACTTCAACTTCCAGAATCCCCCAGCCAGCGCTGCTGGCTGGGGGTTTCTGGGAGTTGAAGTCCACCCATCTTCAAGCTACCAAGGTTGAGAAACACTGATCTAGATGGAATAAGAAGATTCCCCCAAATCTCCAGGAGGAAGCTGGAACCCATCCTTTGCAAAGAGAACCTCCAGAACTTCAATGTTCCCAAGTAAAAGTGAGCTTCAAAATGTTAGGGCGCATGACGAGACAACTGGGCCATGACAATGTTCTTGCAATCCACGTCAAAGCTTACCCAGTCCGTGGCCTCCGATGGACACTGTAGGCAGAGAGACAGAAAGAGACACGAGCATCCTTGTCAGAAATCGTTCTTGCCCCAAGAAAGTGACACACACACACACACACACACACACACACAGGTAGGAAGAAGAGCAACTGCCTACCTGTCACCAGACACTTGCTGGCATCTCCAGCGGGCAAGGCGTGGATGCGGAAAGGCGAGTAGGGGATTTCATCGCCGCCGTATTTGATGGTGATGGTGTAACGGCCCGTCATGTCTGGAACATAGGAAACTGTGTAGGTCCCATCTCGGTTGTCCCGAATGTTGGCCTTCTTGGGTTTGCCCTCAGGGTCCTGAGGGGGGGATGTAAAAAGAGACAGAGAGTGTAGTCAAAGGTCAGCCTGTAATGGAATGCGAGAATCAACTTGGAAAGCAGACGGGGGTAGGAGGAAGAGATGTAGCCTAGAAAGGATCAGAGAAAAGGAAGATGAGCCCTCAGCTGTACAACGGACAGAGAAAGGAATTTAGAAAGGATCCATCCTAATTAATCAGGCATTAAAAACAGACAGCGGGAGATTTGTATTTTCAGACTTGCAAGATTGTTGGGGTTTTTTTTTTTCAACCTTAGCAACTTCAAGGTGGGTGGACTTCAGAATTTCCCCAGCCAGCATTTGGGCTGACAATCCCAAGCCCCTCTCCCACCACCCACCACCTCCCCAAGGGCATTTCTCTGTTGCCACACTCAGGACTAATAGAAGTCCTCCAAGCCACCCCATAGCTCCCTCCTGGCCCCACCACTTACCAGGATCTGTACGGTGAGCAACCCTTCACCGGCGTCACGGGCATCGATGGTGAACTCCACCGGCAGGCTGGCAGGGATGCCCGAGGCGTTGAGTCCAGGACCGCTGGCCCGCACTTTGCTGGCATCATGAGCAGGAAGGACCCGGATCTTGAAGGGGCTGAAAGAGGCAGAAGCTGGGAGATCAGAGAGGATCTGGCTGGGTCTCTCCTCCCCTCCTTGCAGCCAAGAACCCTTTCAGTTGGGGGGACATATTCATCCATCCATCCATCCATCCATCCATCCATTCATTCATTCATTCATGTCATGTCATGTGAGTTGGGGTTCCTCACAATCCTGAAAGGACCCGAGCACCTCCTTCTGCAGAATCGGAGGCCAGGTCAATCAGACTACAACTCCCATCCCTGATTCTCTGTGGCTGGGAATGCTGGAGATTGTAGTCTGGATCACTCAGAAGGCAACCCAGCTGGGCAATTCTACAGTAGCAAACCCAGGTCTTCAAGAGACTTTACCCAACAGACACTTTCATAAATAAAACCAGAGGAATTTGGTACAGATACTCCTCGGTTTAGGACCGCAATTGAACCCCAAACAGCTGTTGCTAAGCGACACATTTGTGAAGTGAGTTTTGCCCCATTTTACAGCCTTTCTTGCCACAGTTGTTAAGTGAATCACGGGGGCATCAAGAAAGGATCCTCCAGCGATTGTAGGAGAAATTGGCCAGGAGCTTTTAACTCTCTCTCACCTGCGGGGCACCTCTTGCCCGGCGTATTTGACAGAGATGGTGTACGGTCCATCTGTAGCTGGTGTGTATTTCACAGCGTGTGTGCCGTCTCCGTTGTCACGCACCTCCACCGGCTCAGCCACTCCTGGACAGAGAAGGAAGAGAAGAGGAGCATTAGAAGGCATCTAAGGTGGCTTTGGGTCAACTCAAGCCAACTAGGGCAGGACTGACCCATCAAGTTCTTAACAGAATGGCAGAGTGGGAAGGGACCATGGAGGTCTTCTAGTCCAACCTCCTGCTCAGGCAGGAAACCCTACACCATTTCAGATGAAGGGCTGTCCAATCTCTTCTTGAAAATCTCCATTGTTGGAGCACCCACAACTTCTGGAGGCAAGTCGTTCCACTGATTAATTGTTCCCACTCTCAGGAAATTTCTCCTTAGTTCTAGGTTGCTTCTCTCCTTGATTAGTTTCCACCTGTTGCTTCTTGTCCTGCCTTCAGGTGCTTTGGAGAATAGGTGGACCCCCTCCTCTCTGTGGCAACTCCTTAGATATCGGAACATTGCTATCATGTCTCCCTAGTCCTTCTTTTCATTAAACTAGCCATGCCCAGTTCCTGCAACCGTTCTTCGTATATTTTGGTTTCCAGCCCCCTAATCGTCTTTGTTGCTCTTCTCTGCACTCTTTCCAGAGTCTCAACATCTTTTTTTACATCGTGGCGACCAAAACTGGATGCAAATATTCCAAGTGAGGCCTTCTCAAGAGAGTAAACCAAAAGGCAAGCTCTCTAACCTTTAACCCCTCTCATCGGAGCTAGGCCATCAAGAGGAGACATTGTTGGGGGTCAACTGTGTGCCCTGCCTCCAAGATAACAGGATAGCAGGGATGGAAGGGACATTGGAGGTCTTCTAGTCCAACCCACAAGTCAAGATGGAGACCCTATATCATTTCAGACCAACGGTTGTCCAATGTCTTCTTGAAGATCTAGGCATTGACCTCTGTCCTCTTTGAGGCCCTTCTTCCCATCCCGTAATCCATTCTGAATCAATGCTCCACCCCACAAATCACCATACCTGAAGGTCCCAGCACCTTCACCTCCAGGGGGGCCAGCCCAGCCTTGCTGCAATCAACGGTGAAGGTCTGAGGGACCCGGGCTCTCACACCGGCCCCCAATCCGGGTCCCGAGCATTTGACTTTGCTGGGATCGACCACGTCTTTGACAGGAACACGGAAGGGGCTCCCTGGGAAGAGAGATCCACCATGAGTGCCCAGCGGAAGATCATCCGTTGTGTTCTGAGCCAGCTCCCCAAAGACGACAAACCCTCCGAAGTCAACTCAAAGATTCCTTTATTAGGAGCGCTGGCAGCACCGGCAAAAACTCTCTCTTTCTCCGCAGGCTAACAAGTCCGTCCGGCAGGAAGTGAATTGTTGTCTCCCACATCTATTCATCTCCGCCCCCTGCCTTTTATCCCCAGAGCTAGGGTGGGGCTTCGCTAGCAGCGGTGGCTCTTCCGTCCCAAGGACCGGCCCATAGATTTCCACTGCTCTCCTCTCCTCTGCCTTCTGCGCATCAGTCACTAGACCCAGCTGTTCCTCCTCTTCCTCATCAGCCACCTCCAGACCTGGGGACTGTTGACTCTCCATCTGAGAGCTGATGGACGGCCCAGGCTCTCCCTCTCTCTCTCTCTCTCCCTCCCTCCCTCTCTCTCTCTCTCTCTCTCCCTCCCTCCCTCCCTCCTCCCTCCCTCTCTCTCTCTCTCTCTCTCTCTGACAGTTCTTCCCTCTTCCCCCTCGGAGCTCCCAAATTGCCCTGATGTAGACCTTGACTCCCTCATCTCCTCCTCCTCCTCTGAGTCAGCTGTTGGGGGGGCCAGGGGTCAACAGGCCACAACTCTTTGGCCTCTTGGAGCACATCTGGTTGCTCATCCAGGCTTTCTTGGAGGAACTTTGAGAAGAAGGCCTAGAACTGGGCCATACCACCCATCACAAGGTGGACCATTCCCAGGAAAGCCCATTCTCATCTATGCAATTCTTAGGAAGAGGGTTCTCAGATAAGGTTGCTCCCAGGAGAACGAGAATGAGATCTATAGGGAACAGGGGCTACTCCAACAACCCCCCCACCCTCAGGACTCTCTTCCTGAAGATCTAGAGAACCTGAAGGGGCCTCCACAAAAGAGTTCCTGGATCTAGAACAATACAGGTAGTCCTCGACTTACGACCACAATCGAGCCCAACATTTCTGACGCTCAGCGAGACATTTGTTAAGTGAGTTTTGCCGCATGTTACACCCTTTCTTGCCACAGGTGTTAAGTGAATTCCTGCAGTGGTTAAGTTAGGAGCATGGTTGTTAAGTGAATCCAGTGCCCGTATTGGTTTTGCTTGTCGCAAAAGAGGATCATGTGACCCCGGGACACTGCAACCGTCATAAATACGAGTCAGTTGCCAATCCTCCGAATTTTGATCATATGACTGTGGGGATGTTGCAATGTGGCCATTTGAAGTTACGGCGTCACTGAAAAAAAGGACTTAGGACCATCGTAAGTGTGAAAAATGCTCCTAAGTCCCTTTTTTCAGTGACGCCGTAACTTCAAATGGTCACTAAACGAACATTCGTAAGTGGAGGACTACCTGTATTGGGCAACCAAGCTGCCCAATGGTAAGATGGGCGACCAATAAATGTTACAAACAAATGAACAAAATAATAAATAAATGCTTTCAACCGTCGGCACTCATCAGTCACTGTTTTCAGTGCCGTTCCCTTTGAATGGTCACTAAACGAACTGTCGTAAGTTGAGGACTACCTGTCCCTTCCCTCCTCCCCTCCTCCCATCTTCGTACGTGTCTTGGCGAGCCCCCTTTCCTCCCCCATCCTCCTCACCCACCTGGGATGGGGCGTCCACCAAAGGTGATGTTGACATCGTAGTCCCCGGGCGTGAAGGGGATGTATTCCACGCTGCAGCTTCCATCTTTGTTGTCCTTGCAGGACATCTTGGCCTCCGAGGGGCCTTCGATAGCCAAGCCGAGACCCCCGGTCCCTGCGCCCCTGGGAAGAAGAGGGAGCCCTTTAAAGAACCCCACCCAAAAATAGGACCTGTGGCCAAAGCCACCGGGAACAAACAAATCCAACATTCCTACAAGAAGTTCAACTCCGTTTGGTGAATTAAAACCACAGGAAAATGTGGATGCAAATGAAATTATTAGGGTTGCATGCAGAAGACCCCAGACCTAATAAAGGTCCTACGTAACCTGGGGTCCAAAGGTCAGCGAACCTCCAAAAATGCTGCAGCATAAACAGATCAAGGGATCTTCACGGTCTTGAATTTCATCCCAATATTTAGGGTGATGATTGATTGATTTCTTGCTTTGAATCTGCCTCCCTCTGTTTTTTGAACTTTGTAATTGTCTTTTTTTGTTTTAATCTGGTTTTTAACTTGTTTTTTTAAAAAAAAAAACTGTAGCTGTTATATCATTTTATTGTTTTATCTGTAAACTGCCTGGAGGCATGCCAATGAAATGGGCGATATAGATATACACTCGGTAGGTAGGTGGGTAGGTAGGTGAAAGAGAGAGAGGGAGATAGATAGATAGGATTAATCTAATGTAATCTATCTATCTAATCTATATCTCAGTATCTAATTAGATAGATAGATAGATGATAGATAGCTAGATAGATAGATATTAGATAAATTAATCTAATGTAATCTATCTATCTAATCTATATCTACAGTATCTATTTAGATAGATAGATATAGATATAGATAGATTAGATAAATTAATCTAATGTAATCTATCTATCTAATCTATATCTCAGTATCTAATTAGATAGATAGATAGATAGATAGATAGATAGATAGATAGATATTAGATAAATTAATCTAATGTAATCTATCTATCTAATCTATATCTACAGTATCTATTTAGATAGATAGATATAGATATAGATAGATTAGATAAATTAATCTAATGTAATCTATCTAATCTATATCTCAGTATCTAATTAGATAGATTAGATAGATAGATATTAGATAAATTAATCTAATGTAATCTATCTATCTAATCTATATCTATCTACAGTATCTAAATAGATAGATAGATAGATAGATAGATAGATAGATATAGATATAGATAGTTTAGATAAATTAATCTAATGTAATCTATCTAATCTATATCTCAGTATCTAATTAGATAGATAGATAGATAGATAGATAGATAGATAGATAGATAGATAGATATTAGATAAATTAATCTAATGTAATCTATCTACCTAATCTATATCTATCTACAGTATCTAAATAGATAGATAGATAGATAGATAGATAGATAGATAGATAGATAGATAGATAGATAGATATAGATATAGATAGTTTAGATAAATTAATCTAATGTAATCTATCTAATCTATATCTCAGTATCTAATTAGGTAGATAGATAGATAGATAGATATTAGATACATTAATCTAATGTAATCTATCTACCTAATCTATATCTATCTACAGTATCTAAATAGATAGATAGATAGATAGATAGATAGATAGATAGATAGATAGATAGATATAGATATAGATAGTTTAGATAAATTAATCTAATGTAATCTATCTATATCTATCTACAGTATCTTTCTATCTATCTAGACAGACAGACAGACAGTTAGATGATAAATAGAGACCATAGACAGAGGGGAAGGATGGATGAATGGATGGATACAGATAGATTGATAGATATAGATAGATGGATGGATAGATAGATAGATGTACTCACAACAAGAACTGCAATTCTTTGGTTTAGTTTCCAGTACTTCTCACCCTTTGCAAATTTTCCTTTCTCGATTGTGATACAGTTTATATCAGTTTTCAGACTTGGCCAGACTTTTAGATGGACGGACTTCAATTCCCCAGCCAGCCATGGGGAATTCTGGGAGTTGCAGCCCTCCCATCTTAAAATGGCCGGCTTTGAAACACACCGGTTTAGATCCCGTTCCACCTGCAAAGATCCTCACCCTCCAACTCGGTTTGCCTCTGAGAGAGGCAGGGGAGACTCACCTGGTTTCCACGGTGAAGCGGTTCGACTTGTTCACCAGGCCCCCTTCGAGACCGGGGCCGTAGGCACGGACGCGGCTGGGGTCGCAGCCTTCGGTGACGCCCACCCGGAAGGGGCTCTTGGGCACCGGCACGTCATCGTATGTCACCTCCACCAGATGCATACCTGTGAGACGAAGAGTTCACATGAGCCTTCATCCCCTGTGCAGGGCAAACAATCACTGCCCCCTTACCTGTGGCGGTGGGGGTCTCTGCATTTCCCTTCCATTATTATAACGCTCCCAACATCACCATCTTCTTTTAACGACCCCATAATAATCCCTTGCATCGGGGTGGAATCTGGGCAACTGAATGAAGCCGAGTGTTTACTGGCCGGATGCCCTTCCTGTTGCCAACGCAGAGTTTTATTCAGCAGATATATTATATTCTCAGTGTGCCCGGAGAGAGAAATATCTGCCTCTACCTAGGATCGAACTCACAGCCTCCTGATTGTGAGGCGAGAGCTCCACCCTCTAGGCCACCGTTGCAAGGAGGAAAACCCCAGTTGCTAACTTTGATTTATTGAATTGTACTTTTTGCATCCAAGGGTCCGAGAAGGGCTTAAATTGAAGCGGGGTGGGGTGGGGGGGAGAGTAGTGGGAGGGGGCACATCAGGGAAGACTTACCATCCTCAAAGGGGGTGTACTGGACTCGGTAGGTGCCGTCCCCGTTGTCGGTGATATAGGTGTCCGTCTTGGCCCCCGAAGGGTTAATGACTTGCACTTGGATGTGGTTGCCCCCCGTTTTGGTGAGAGAGCGGGCGTCTACCGTGAACTCTGTGGTGACCTCACGCAGGACCCCTGGGGAGAACAGCGAAGGAGTGAGCAATAATGAGCACCCCGCTTGGATCTGGGGGGCACCCCAAAAATTTACTTCTGCTTTATTAAATTTATTTGCTGCTTGTTTGGTCATGGGACGACCCTCAGTGGTTTACAACAGTAAAAACAGAGGAATACAGACAGTCCTTGACTTACAACAGCTCATTTAGTGGCTGTTCAAAGATACGACGGCACTAAAAAATGTGACTTACGACTGTTTTTCACATTTACGACAGTTGCAGCCTCCCCCACGGTCAAGTGATCAGAATTCAGACGCTTGGACAACTGACTCGTATTTATGACGGTTGCAACGTCCCAGAGTATGTGATCCCCTTTTGTGACCTTCTGACAAGGAAAATCAGTGGGGAGTTTTGCCCCACTTTACGACTTTTCTTGCCGCAGTTGTTAAGTGAATCACTGCAATTCTTAAGTTAGGAATACGGTTGTTAAGTGAATCTGCCTTCCCCTTTGACTTTGCTTGTCGGAAGTTCGCAAAAGGGGGATCGCGTGATGCCAAGACACTGCAACCGTCATAAATATGAGTCGGGTACCAAGCGTGAACCCGAATTTTGATCACATGATCATAGGGATACTGCACAGGTCATAACTATGAAAAATGGTTATAAGTAACTTTTTTCAGAGCCATTGTAACTTTGAACCATCACTAAATGAAGTCGAGCTGTATGAATATTATTGCAAGCTTATGCTCTCTACAAGAATCTGGCCAACTGACTGTTAAGGGAAAATGAGCGGGAGATAAGAAAGGCATTCAAGGTGGGCTCGACTTAGATTTCTTGCGGGCACCCAGGGATTCATGATTTATGACCCGTTTGACCCCTCCCTCAGGTTCAGCCTTGTCACCTCCTACAGGATGGTTCTTAATTTCATAATATATTTTCCCCACTTTGGGACTCGGCCTTTTCGTCCTGCCGAAGTAAAATGGCCGTCGAACGCCCTGTTCGCCACAACCTACCTCGAGGTTCCACGCCAGGCCCAAAGACTTTGACGTTGCTGGTGTCCACGGCGGGATCCACGTTGACCCGAGCTGGGAATTTGGGCACGTGGTGCCCGCCGTATTTGATGGTGATGGTGTAGGTGCCCGGGAAGGAAGGAGTGTACGTGATGCTGTAGGTGCCGTCGCTGTTGTTCTGGATCAGCACCTCGGCTTTGACGCCCGAATCGGAGATGATCTCGATGGTCAGCTCGGCATCACCCGCCTTGGAGCAGTCCACGGTGAAGGTGGCCACCTCTCCCACCTTGCCACGCTCCAGACCAGGCCCGCTGGCCGTCACCTTGGTCGGGTCGAAGACGGGCTTGATGTCCGCCTTGAAGGGGGACCCCGGGATGTGAGTCTCGGCGAAGAGGATGTTGATGCTATATTCGCCGCGCTCTGTGGGCAAGTAGGAGACCGAGCAGGAGCCATCGCCATTGTCCTGGCACTCAATCTTGGCTTCGCAGGGACCTTCCACGGTCAAGCCCAGCCCGCCTGTCCCGGCTCCTTTGGTGTCGATGGTGAAAGGGGCAGGTTTGCCCACAAAGCCCCCCTTCAGGCCAGGCCCATAGGCACACACCTAGCAGAGAATAAGTGTTAGGTTTACTTGCTTTTCAATTCATTCGTTCATTCGTTCATTCGTTCATTCGTTCATTCGTTCATTCGTTCATTCGTTCATTCGTTCATTCGTTCATTCGTTCATTCGTTTCATTCGTTCATTCGTGGGTTGTCTGTTTGAACTAGAACTCCCCGTCTCCTGGTGATTGGCCCAAATCACTCAGCTGGCTTTCATGCCCCAGGAAGGACTAGAACTCATCATCTCCTAGTGATTGGCCCAACGTCACCCATCTGGTTTTCATGCCACAGGTGGGACTAGAACTTCCTGTCTCCTAGTGATTGGCCCAAAGTCACCCAGGCACTTTTCATTCCTAAGGCAGGACTAGAACTCCCCATCTCCTGGTGATTGGCTATTTTTTTCTGCAGTTTGGGCTTCATTCTCATTTTGTTTCTCCTTCTTACTCTCTCTCTCACTCTCTCTCTCTCTCTCTCTCTCTCTCTCTCTCTCTCTCTCTCTCTTTCTTTCTTCCCATCTTTCTTCCCATCTGTTACTCCTTCTTACTCTCTGATTCTTTCTTTCTTTCTTTCTTCCCATCTTTCTTCCCATCTGTTACTCCTTCTTACTCTCTGATTCTTTCTTTCTTTCTTTCTTTCTTTCTTTCTTTCTTTCTTTCTTTCTTTCTTTCTTTCTTTCTTTCTTCCCATCTTTCTTCCCATCTGTTACTCCTTCTTACTCTCTGATTCTTTCTTTCTTCTTTCTTTCTTTCTTTCTTTCTTTCTTTCTTTCCTTTCTTTCTTCCCTTCTTTCTTCCCATCTGTTACTCTTTCTTACTCTCTGATTCTTTCTTTCTTTCTTTCTTTCTTTCTTTCTTTCTTCCCATCTTTCGTCCCTCTTCTTTTTCTGTATGTCCTTTCTCTTTCTTCTTTCTTCGTCTCTCCTTCCTGCCTTTCCTTCCTCTTTCCTCTTTCTTTTTCTCACCTCAATTAAGAGTCCCTGTTCATTTTTATCTCTCTTCCTTAAAAGTTTAATAAAGTTATCCTTAAAAAGCAAGACACTGCAGGAGGGCATCAGGATCCTTACCCAGTTCCCACCCCCCAAGGCAATCTCGCCCCCTCCCCTTCCGACATCCCGCAGCACTGAACATCCGGCTGGAGCTGACCTTGGTTGGGTCTGGGGGCATCACCGCCTCGACGGCAAAGGGGCTTCCGGGCACAGGATTCCCGTCGTAGGTGACGTCCACCTTATACTGGCCCTCTTCAGGTGGCATGTACTTGACCGAGTGGACGTCGTTGGTGGCCCCGGTCTCCATCTTGCAAGGAATGGGCCGGCGGGAGGGCGAACTGATCTTCACGTCCAGCTGTCCCTGGCCACCGGCTCCTCGCGTGTTGACCGTAAATTCTTGATCTTGACCCACATTGACCTCTGCACGTGGACAGAACACGAGAGGTAAACCCATTGAATTCTGTCAAGATGAGCCCTGGTGGTGCAGAGGTTGGAACGGCAGTATTGCAGGCTGACTCTGCGCACGGCCAGGAGTTCGATCCTGACCGGCTCAAAGTTGACTCCATCCTTCCAAGGTGGGTCAAATGAGGACCCAGATGGTTGAGGTCAAGGGGCTGCCTCTGTAAACCACTTAGAGAGGGCTGTGAAGCACTATGAAGTGGTATATAAGTCAAAGTGCTAATGCTAAGTGGGAAGGGAGGGAGGGAGGGAGGAAAGAGAAGGGGAGGAGGGGGAGACAGGGAAAGAGAGAGAGGAGGAGAAGGAAGGGAGGAAGGAAGGGAGGAAGGAAGGAGGGAGGGAGGGAAAGACGGAAGGAAAAAAGAGGAGGAAGAGAAAGAGGAGGAGAAGGAAGGGAGGAAGGAAGGAAGGAAAAGGAAAAGGAAAAAAGGGGAAGAAAAAAAGGAAGGAAGGAAGGAAAAAAGGGGAAGGATGGAAGGGAGGAAGGGAGGGAGGAAGGAAGGAAGGAAAGAAGGAAGGAAGGAAGGACCCTGGTGGTGCAGAGGTTGGAATGCAGTATTGCAGGCTGACTCTGCCGACTGCCAGGTGTTCGATCCTGACCAGCTCAAGGTTGACTCAGCCTTCCATCCTTCCAAGGTGGGTAAAATGCGGACCCAGATCGTTGGGGGCAAGAGGCTGGCTCTGTAAACCACTTAGAGAGCAGGGGTGAAATCCAACAGGTTCTGACAGGTTCTGGAGAACCGGTAGTGGAAATTTTGAGCAGTTTGGAGAACCAGCAAATACCACCTCTGGCTGGCCCCAGAGTGGGTTGGGAATGGAGATTTTTCAGTATCCTTCCCCTCCCATGCCCACCAAGCCACGCCCACCAAGCCACGCCCACAGAACCGGTAGTAAAAATATTTGGATTTCACCACTGTTAGAGAGGGCTGGAAAGCACCGTGAAGTGGTATATAAGTGCTAAAGAAGGAAGGGAAGGGAAGGGAAGGGAAGGGAAGGGAAGGGAAGGGAAGGGAAGGAAGGAAGGAAGGAAGGAAGGAAGGAAGGAAGGAAGGAAGGAAGGAAGGAAGGAAGGAAGGAAGGAAGGAAGGAAGGACCATGGTGGCGCAGTGGTTAGAATGCAGTATTGCAAACTAATTCTTCCAACTGTCAGCAGTTTGATCCTGACCGGCTCAAGGTTGACTCAGCCTTTTATCCCCCCCAGGTCAGTAAAACGAGGTCCCAGATGGTTGGGGGCAAGAGGCTGACTCTGTCAACACTGTCAAGCCAAATTGGCCCCAGATAAGAGTCAACGGACTTCAAGGGGAGGGGGCTGGGCTTAAGTTTCTTCTTTCATCACCCCAAACTGATGACCCCACCCTCGGCTTCAACTTGGTCCTCTCCTACCACAACCCAGCGCTCCAATTCTCGCCATCCTTTCAACTCAACTGCACGCAACGAGTAGACCAAAGTTCAAACTTACTGTTGTTGAGTCCTTGCACTTTGACCTTGCCAAGGTCGAGAGGGGGCGCCACGTACACCGGGAAGGGGCTCTTGGGGATGGCGTCACCCCCATAGGTCACCGTCACTGCCATGTTTCCCTGGTTAGTGAGGACAGGAATATTTATTTATTTATTTTATTTTATTAAATTTCTATACCGCCCTTCTCCCGAAGGACTCAGGGCGGTGAACAGCCAGAAGATAAAACACAGGAAATACAAAATCTAAAATAAATTAAAACAAATTAAATAATTTAGGCTGAATTTTAAAATATCCCATAATTATATATTATGTAAGGTCCCGCAAAACCTGCAGGTGGGTGGGGGATTCCCAGGACAGGCGCAGGTTGACTAGAGAGATTGTCTCCGCCCCCTGCCTTTTATCCTCAAGAGCTAGGTGGGACTTCGCTAGCAGCGGTGGCTCTTCCGTCCCAAGGACCGGCCCATAGATTTCCACTGCTCTCCTCTCCTCTGCTTTCTGCATATTCATGTGTCAGGCACCGGACCCAGCTGTTCCTCCTCTTCCTCATCAGCCACCTCCAGACCTGGGGGCTGTTGACTCTCCATCGGAGGGCTGATGGACAGCCCAGGCTCTGCCTCTGTCTCTCTCTTTCTGCCAGTTCCATTCCCTCTTCCCCCTCAGAGCTCTCAGGCTGCCTTGTTGCTGACCTTGACTCCCACACCTCCTCCTCCTCCTCTGATTCGGTTGCTGGAGGGGCCGGTGGCCGATAGGCCACAACACCACCAGAAATAAGGACAAGAACAGCAGGCCCTTGCTCACCTGTTGCACAGCTGTGTACTTGACCGTGTAGGAGTAATCGTGATTGTCGATGATCTCAAAGTCACGCACCGCCTCGCCCTTGGTGGCACCGGCAAAGTGGACGTCCAGCTTGGCTTTGCCCGCTCCCTTGGTGAAAACGGTGAAGTGAGTGGGCTTCCCAACCTCCACGCCTGGGGAGGAAACACCAAGAAGGAGGAATCAGATTTCACCTTTGCCTGGCTTGCAGGACACACGGCGTAGTGGCCACGTCTCCAGGGGACCCGGCTTGGAGGGGTTAGGTTTGCAATTGGTTCCTTGACGGATACCACCCCCCCATCTGCGGAAAAGTCATTGGAACCATAAAAAAAAACCTTGGCTTTTCCCCAGAGCCAAAATTTGCACCCTCTTTCAAAGAGGGGGGATATAATAGCAGTGTTCCAATAGTTAAGTATTCTAAAAAGAACAGAGCAGAACAGAATAACGGAAGGGACCTTAGAGGTCTTCTAGTCCAACCCCCTGCTCAGGTAGGAAACTCTACACCATTTTAGACAAAAATGGTTGTCCAATCTCTTCTTAAAAACTTCCAGTGTTGGAGCAGCTATAACTTCTGGTGGCCAGATGTTCCATTGGTTAATTGTTCTAACCGTCAGGAAATTTCTTCTTAGTTCTAAGTTGCTTCTCTCGTTGATTTGTTTCCATCCATTGCTTCTTCTCCTGCCTTCAGGTGCTTTGGAGAATAGCTTGACTGCTTCTTCTTTGGGGCAGCCCCTCAAATATTGGAAGACTCGCTGTCATGTCACCCCAAGTCCTCCTTTTCATTAAAAGAGGGGGTCAACCTGTTCTCCAAAGCACCAGAAGGCAAGGCAAGAAGCAATGGATGGAAACTCACCAAGGAGAGAAGCAACCTGGAATTAAGGAGAAACTTTGTAATAGTGAGGACAATTAAGCAACGGAACGACTTGCTTGCAGAAATTGTAGGTACTCCATTATTGGAGGTTTCCAAGAAGAGACTGGACAGCCACTTGTCTGGAACGGTATATAGGATCTCCTGCTTGAGCAAGGAGCTGGACTAGAAGACCTCTAAGGGTGCCTTACAACTCTGTTATTCTAATTATCACTGGAGGCTTTCAAGAAGATCATGGACAACCATTTGTCTCGAATGGTCTAGGACAGAGGTCTTCAAACTTGGCAGCTTGAAGACTTGTGGACTTCAACTCCTAGAATTCTGGGAGTTGAAGTCCACAAGTCTTCAAGCTGCCAAGTTTGGGGACCCCTGGTATAGCATCTCCTGCTTGACCAAGGGGCTGGACTAGAAGATCTCCAGGGTGCCTTTCAACTCTGTTATTCTAATTATCACTGGAGGCTTTCAAGAAGATGGTGGAGAACCATTTCTCTGGAATGGTAGACGGTCTCCTGCTTGGCCGGTGGGGTTGGAGACCTCCAAGGTCCCTTCCAAGTTGTTATTTTTGTCAAGAGGATATGCACAATTTCCTTTGGGGGAGGGTCACTCACCCGTCCGATTGAGGCCAGGCCCCTCGGCCTTCACTTTGCTGGCGTCGTGCGAGGGATCCACCTTGATGTGGAAAGGGCTTATGGGGATTTCCTGCAGGGATCCAGTAGAAAAGAGGAATCAGGAAGAGGGGGGGGATTGGGCCGGACACATAACCTTAAACGGGAGGATCTTATATTCCTTGGTTCATCTGTTCTTTTTCCATGGGTAATGGATCAGGAAGACCATACATGAAGTTGCAGTGTAGAAGATTTATTGCTCATGCCTGCACACAAGAATCTGGTCAACTCAAGTTCAATGCTAAATTGGCGCCAGATAAGGATCAACGGAATTCAAGAGGGGCTGGATTTCGAATATTTGTGGGAACCCAACAATTCTATGTTGATGATGCACTTAATTCCACCTTCCAGCTCTGCTCTCTCTTCTCCTACAGCTCTAAAATAAATATATGGCCCGAAATCACCCAACTGCCTTTCATGGCTAAGGTGGAACTGGAACTCCCCCTCTCCCAGTGATTGGCCCAAGGTTACCCAGCCAGTTTTCATGCGTAAAACAGGACTAGAATTCACCGTCTCCTAGTGACTGGCCCAAAGTCACCCAGCTGGCTTTCATGCCTAAGGTGGAACTAGAATTCACTGTCTCCTGGTTTGGCCCAAGGTCACCCAGCTTGCTGTCATGCCTAAGGTGGGACTAGAACTCACCATCTCTTAGTGACTGGCCCAAAGTCACCCAGCTGGCTTTCATGCCTAAGGTGGAACTAGAATTCACTATGTCCTGATAGCTCACGGTCACCCAGCTCGCTCTCATGCCTAAGGCGGGACTAGAACTCACCATCTCTTAGTGACTGGCCCAAAGTCACCCAGCTAACCTTTATGCCTAAGGTGGAATTAGAAGGAACTCTCGCCCAGTTTTAGCTTGGCGCCATAACCACTAGACCAGGGGCCTGCAAGACTCCAAGAGCCATTTGGACTCGTTTCCCACAGAAAAGAAAACACCGGGAGCCACAAAACCCTTCCCGTGCCTGACTGTTTCTTGAGTGGCCCAAAAACTAGCATACATAGTTGAATTAAACGTTCTGTTTACTTCTGAAACTTTTCTTTTCTTGGATTTATTCATGGTTGGCCTACCGGGGGTTGAACAGCTCAATAAATTGCGTGCCAGTGAGTGTCGCACATTGGCGGCTGTGACGCATATTTTGAGCAACAGGGAACCGCAGCAGAGGGGTGAAAGAGCCACATGCGGCTCCAGAGCAACAGGTTGCTGACCCCTGCCCTAGACCAAACTGGCCATGAAGTCGTGCAACTTGGCAATGGAGAAGCAGAAGAACCCTCAGGGACCCAAAAGTTTTGATCCAGATCACGGGTCCTAAGGCCACATCTGGCATAGCTACAGGCTCCCAGGCTGGGCAGCCCCATGGCGACATGAACCTTACCTGAGTGGCGAAGAGCACCATGATGGTGTAACGCCCAGGACCTGGAGGTGTGTATTTCACCGTGAAGGTATCGTTGTCATTCTTGATGATGTCGAAATCGATGTCGGCTTCTGCTGGGCCCACCACCCCAGGGGCACACTTGATCCCGATGCTCACGTCTCCTGCAAAGCCAAAATGGGATTAAGGGTCTAGAGAGTTTGGGGACCAGACTTGGTCATCTCTAACTCCAAGCTCAGCATCATCTTGGAGGGTCTCCGCACCCAACAGGATGAAGCTTCTCCCTGAGATTCTTCTGGACAAGCCAACATCCGATTGTCCAGCCAGAAAGCCTGGCTGATGGAACTCCATCAGAAGGCTGGAAGACATCAGAAGGTCTTCCCCAACTGAATAGCATCCAGATTGCTGCTGGGGATGATGGGCAATTTAGTCAGACGAATCTGGAAGGGTGCACAACATCCGTGTCTTCCTATAAAGCCACTTTAAGATGGGTGGACTTCAACTCCCAGAATTCCCGTGCCAGAAAACCTAACGCTAACCGTTGCTAGCTGGGGAATTCTGGGAGTTGAAGTCCACCCATCTTAAAGTGGCCCAGGGGGAGAAACACTGCTATGAGCCCCACCAGAATCCAACAAAAAGGATTGTCTTAGCAATAGGATGTGGTTGAAGGATCAGCATTCAAAAGTGGGATGTCTTCTCCAGAATGGACACCTTGGGAGGTGTTTCAACCCAACAACAGTTGGACTAGAAGACCTCCAAGGTCCCTTCAGCTCTGCTCTTCTGTTTAATGTTTGTGGTTAGCTTTCATCTCATAGCCTCCCCCCTGGATCTCAGGAGCACCTTGGCCAGCCTCGCTGCAGTCCACGGTGAAGTAGGTGGGTTCGTTGGCCTTCAGCCCAGTTTTCTCAACTCCAGGACCGTACACCTTGACTTTATTGGGGTGGCTTCCTTCTCCGACACTCACCTGTGATGAGGAAGAAAAGCAGAGGGACGTATGAAGAGCAAAATAGAATTATGGAATCAGGTAGTCCATGGCTTATAACCGTTCGTTTAATGACCATTCATAGTTACAATGGCACCGTAAAAAAGGGACCAACAATTGTTCCTCACACTGACAAGGACTGCAGCATCTTCATAGTCATGCGATCAATGTTGTTGTTTTTTAAATATATTGATCAGGATTCAACCAGGGAGGACATTTGATGTGTACAGGTGGACCTCAACGTACAACAGTTTGGTTAGTGACTGAATGGCCCTAAACCAGATGAGTGTGATGGTAAGAAGAAGCTGGAAGAGTTGATTGCCTCCATAGGCTTAGACTGAGACCTTCCCATCTCTAAGCTTCAGTAGAAGACTGGCCAGGGATCTCCTACCTGTCCATGGGTGGGTGGACACACTGCTCCCCGCTCTCCAAAGGACCATTGGCAGAAGATGGCCAAGAACCCCCCCTCAACTGTTCTGACCCAGCTCCCCATTCCCTCTTCCCCCTCGGAGCTCTCAGGTTGCCCTAATGCTGACCCTGATTCCCACACCTCCTCCTCCTCCTCTGATTCGGCTGCTGGAGGGACCGGTGGCCGACAGCCACAACACAACACACTTCTCCATCCCAGAGGTACTCACCCGGAATGGACTCTTGGGGATGTTGACGCCTCCCCAACTGATGATGATGGTGTGCTTGATGGCCTTGGTGGGGACGTAGACACAGGAGAAGGTCCCATTGCCATTGTCCTTGACTTTGATGTCAATGGGGACGCCTTCGGCATCCTAGGAAGAAAAGTACCTTTAGTGAAAACCAACTCCTCAGTTACTCCCAGATGGTCAAAGAAGTCCTTGGGCGCATCCTGAGAGTCCCAAGTAGAGGTGGCTTCGTTGCTCAGGCTGAAGTGTCATCACTTCAGGCAGGGCGCTTGGGAGCGATCCTGGGCTCCCTTCCTCAAGCAAGAGAGCCAGCTTGGTCTAGGAGTGAAGGCAGCAGGCTAGAAACTGGGAGACGGTGAGTTCTAGTCCCGCTTTAGGAATGAAAGCCGTCTGGGTGACTTTGGGCCAATCACCAGGAGACAGTGAGTTCTAGTCCTGCCTTAGGTATTGAAAGGCGGCTGGGTGACTTTGGGCTAATCACCAGGAGACTGGGAGTTCTAGTCCTGCCTTAGGCATTGAAAGGCGGCTGGGTGACTTTGGCCCAATCACCAGGAGACGGGGAGTTCTAGTCCTGCCTTAGGCATTGAAAGGCGGCTGGGTGACTTTGGGCCAATCACCAGGAGACTGGGAGTTCTAGTCCTGCCTTAGGCATTGAAAGGCGGCTGGGTGACTTTGGGCTGATCACCAGGAGACAGTGAGTTCTAGTCCCACTTTAGGCATGAAACCTGTCTGGGTAAAATTTTGGCCCAATCACCAGGAGACAGTGAGTTCTAGTCCTGCCTTAGGCACGAAAGCCAGCTGGGTGACCTGGGGCCAATCCCTCTCTTTCTCAGCCTAACCCACCTCACAGGGCTGTTGTCGTGGGGGAAAATACAAGGGAGGTGTATGAGATACGTTCACCACCTTGAGCTGCTTATAAAAATAATACACTCAGAATGTAAATAAAATAAAATAAAATAAAATAAAATAAAATAAAAAGTAAAAAAACAATAAAAATAAAATAAAAAATAAAATAAATGAAAATTAAATATTAAATTAGAAATTTTAAAATTTTAAAAAATAAATAATAAAACAAAACAAAATAAAATTTATAATATAAAATATAAATAATACAATAAAAAATTTTAAAAATGAAAATAAAACATCAAAATAACAAAAACAAAGAAGAGGCTTTCAGGCCTCCAGACTTCGACAACCCCCCCCCCACAAACTGACCTGAGCATAGATCTTGAGGGCTGCTTTCCCAGCCCCTCGGGCATCGATGGTGAACTCGGCCGGTTTGTTCACGATGCAGCCCACTGGCTCCAACCCGGGACCGAACGCTTTGACCTGCAAAAGGGGGAGGGGATTGGGACCAGCCTTAGCCCAGCAGCCCAACAACGCTTGAACCCCCACCCCATCCGTCCCCCTGACGGAGACCCGGTGGGCCAGGAGAGGCTCACCTTCTCGGGGAAATACTCGTTGGTGGCCGGCAGGATGTGGGCGATGAAGGGGCTGTCCTGAATGTCCTCGTCATCGCAAATCACGTGGACGGCGTACTCGCCCGGTTCGGTGGGCCAGTATCGCACGTCGCACGAACCGTCTCCTTTGTCGTCGCACTCGATCTTGGCTTGCGAGGGACCCTCGATGGAGAACCCTGCAGGGCGGTGGGGAGGCCAAAGGATTAGGAAACGGGGTGGGGGAGTCAATGGGGAAGCCAGATTCACTTAACAACCGTGTGACTCAGTTAACAACTGCAGTGATTCGCTTAACAACGGTGGCAAGGAAGGTCCTAAAAGGGGGCAAAACTCACTGAACAACTCTCTCGCTGAAGGACAAAAATCGTTGGCCATCCGTCAAAGACTACAGGTAGTCCTCGATTTACAACCATTCGTTTAGTGACCGTTTCAAAGTTACAACGGCACTGAAAAAAACAAGTCAGGACCGTTTTTCACACTTACGACGGTTGCAACATCCCCATGGTCAGGCAATCAAAATTCAAATGTTTGGCAGCAGACTTGTATTTATGACAATTGGGGTGTCCCTGGGTCCCCTTTTGCGGGGGGAAACGGGCAAACCCGATCCACTTAACAACCGTGTTACTCACTCCACAACTGCTGTGATGGCCTTAACAGCTGTGGCCAGAAAGTTAGCAAAATGGGATAACATTCACATAACAACGGTCTTGCTTAGCAATGGATGTCTCGGTTCAATTGTGGTCGTAAGTCGAGGAAAACCTGCATTTCTCTAGACTGGCCAAACCCAAATCCTGCATATTCCCTTCGTTGTACGTTTTAGTCTCCGGGTCTTTGATCCTCTTCATTGCTCTTCTTTGTGCTTTTTGAAATCTCATCGAAGGCAAATTCAGGAATTTTGAACGGGAGGAGAATTTGATATTTCTCCTTGGGTCCACCAGTTAAGCCCACTGTTCCCCCCCCACCTCCGCCAGTCTCCCGTCCCCAGCACTCCTTTCACGTACCCAGCGTGCCCACTTCGGTGCCAATCGCCTCCACAACGAAGTCCGCAGATTTGCCCACCATGCCGGTTTCCAGGCCGGGGCCCCAGGCCCGTACCTTCTGCAGCCCAGCTTCAGGTGCCACCTGCACTTCAAAGGGACTGGAAAGAAGAAAGGAAGAACGGGGGTTAAAGCATCGGGCTAGAAACGCAGGCGACGGTGAGTTCTAGTCCCGTCTTAAGCACAAAAGATGGGTAGGTGACTTTGCAGCAATCACCAGGAGTCTGTGAGTTCCAGTCCCTGCTTCAGTATGAAAGCCGGCTGGGTGACTTTGGGCAATCACCAGGAGACGGTGAGTTCTAGTATTGTTTTAAGGGATGAAAGCTGACTGGGTGAGTTTGGGCCAATCATCAGGAGATGGTGAGTTCTAGTATTGTTTTAAGGCAGGAAAGCAGGCTGGGTGACTTTGGGCCAATCACCAGGAGATGGTGAGTTCTAATCCCGCTTTAGGCATGAAAGCTGGCTGGGTGACTTTGGGCAATCACCAGGAGACGGTGAGTTCTAGTATTGTTTTAAGGGATGAAAGCTGACTGGGCCAATCACCAGGAGATGGTGAGTTCTAATCCCACTTTAGGCAGGAAAGCCGGCTTGGTGACTTTAGCTCAATCACTAGGAGACGGTGAGTTCTAGTCCCGTCTTAACCATGAAAGCCAGCTGGGTGACTTTGGGCCAATCACCAGGAGACGGTGAGTTCTAGTATTGTATTGTCTTAAGACACAAAAGCTGGCTGGGTGACATTGGGCCAGTCACCAGGAGACGGTGAGTTCTAGTATTGTCTTAAGGGATGAAAGCTGACTGGGTGAGTTTGGGCCAATCACCAGGAGATGGTGAGTTCTAGTCCTGCTTTAGACAAAAAAGCCATCAGGGTGAATTTGGGCCAGTCTCTTTCCCTGAGCCCAGCTCAGGTTGTTGTGAAGAAAATAGGAGAAAAGAATATTGGATATGTTCACCGCCTTATTTATCAGGATAATAAAGACAAGATAAAAATAAACAAATAAGCAGATTCTAGATACATCCAGCAAACCGGAAACTCCCTCTCTGAATTCGTCCAGAGGCTTCTGTCCAGTTGCATCCCCAGAAGCCCTTTGGATCAGCTTCTGCATCAGTTGACATTCTCTGAGCATCGCCTGTGGAACTCACTGCCACTGGGACGGAGTTTCTCGACTTCGGCAGCTTTAGCACGAGCGGATCTCAACTCCCAGAATTCTTGGCGGCTGGGGAATTCTGGGAGTTGAAGCCCACCCTTCTTAAAACTGGCCAAGGTGGAGAAAGACCAAGCAGAAGAACGAAAACTACTTTACGTCTGAGCGCAGACATGAGGCTCAACCCTGTTTACTAAACTATCATTTGTTCAATCAAAACAGGCCTGATTGGAGCCACGTGCCCTTGAGGTGGAAATGTGGATGGTCAGAGCTGCTCCACCAGATCTTATTCTGATCGGGTGGGGGGGTGAGGGGGGCTAGACTAGATGACCTCTAAGCTCCCTCCCAACTCTGGGAAGGTTGAGGAACCCTGCACTAGAAGCGTAAGGCGAAGGGGGTGGGGCTTCAAAAGTGTGGAGGTTCTTAAAGGGCCACGTTTCCCAACCCTTATCCGCCGTTGAGTGGCCTACCTCCTCGGAATGGCGTGGCCGCCCCACGTAATCGACACCATGTATTTTCCAGGCACTTTGGGGTAATATTCACACTCGTAAACCCCATCGCCGACATCTCGTACCTTCACCGGCTCCTCGGTTCCTTCTGGGGTGGAAAAAAAAGAAACAACAACTTTCTTTTACCATCTCTTTGTACAAACGAGCGAGCCTGAGGATTCCTTTTGAAGCATCGCTAGGAAAGGAAAGGAGACCACTAGGAGATTCCCCAGCAGAGGAGTAAGCTTCTGGGTCTTCATAGCAAGTTACAAAAGCAGCTGTAGCTTTTTTTTTTTTCCAGCTTAAAAAACAACAACAACACATGGCTTTACAATAATTTGGCTAAGTTCGCTTAGTGACCGTTTGAAGTGACAACAGCACTAGAAAAAGTGACTTAGGACCACTTTTCAGAGTTACGACCTGGGTAGAATCCCCAGGATCGTGGGATCGAAATTCAGGTGCTTGGCAACTGCTTCGCCCTTATGACCGTTGCTGTCTCCCAAGGCCACGTGATCCCCTTTTGCGACCACCAACAAAGTCAATTGGGGAAGGCAGCTTCGCTTAACAACGGTGTGACTAATTTCACAGCTGTGGCCATTCACTTAACAATGGTGGCCAGAAAAGTCGCAAAACAGGGCAAAACCCACCTCCCACGTCTCGCATAGCCACATAAATTTTGGGATCAATTTTGGCCGTACGTCGAGGACTACCAAGTACATTTCTTGCAACTCGGAGACCAGTATTAGATTTCTTCTAAGATAAGGAGGGGAAAAAACTCGTAACTTACTTGGTCCCTTGACTGTGACTTTGAGTTCGCCCGTGCCGGCTCCCTTGGTGTAAACCTTGAAGTCCGCCACCTCCTTCACGCGCACCCCCTTCGGCTGGAGACCCCGGCCCATGGCCCGGCAGGCGTTCGGGCTGCAGGCTGTCAAGGGGACAAAAAGCATCTCTCAGAAGAAGAGGAGAGGAGAAGAGAGAAGAGAGGAGGAGAGGAATGGAGAGGATAGATGAAAAGAGAAGAAAAGAAAAGAAAAGAAAAGAAAAGAAAAGAAAAGAGGAGAAGAGAGGAGAAGAGAGGAGAAGAGAGGAGAAGAGTGGAGAAGAGAGGAGAGGAGAGGAGAAAAGAGAGAGGAGAAGAGGAGAGGAAAAGAAAAGAAAAGAAGAAAAGAGAGGAGGAGAGAAGAAAAGAGGGAAGAGAAGAGGAGAGGAGAGGAGAGGAGAGGAGAGGAGAGGAGAGGAGAGGAGAGAAGAGAGAGAAGAGGAGAGGAGAGAAAAAGAAAAGAGAAGAAAAGAGAGGAGGAGAGAAGAAAAGAGAAGAAAAAAGAGAAGAGGAGAGGAGAGAAGAGGAGAGGAGAGGAGAGGAGAAGAGGAGAAGAGGAGGGAAGAGAAGAGAAGAGAAGAAGAGAAGAGAAAAGAGAAGAGAAAAGAGAAGAGAAGAGAAGAGAAGAGAAGAGGAGAGGAGAAGAAAAGAAAAGAAGAAAAAAGAAGAAAAAAGAGGAGAAGAGGAGGGAAGAGAAGAGAAGAGAAGAGAAGAAGAGAAGAGATTGGATCACACATGGATGGATGGAGAGGAAGGAAACGCCAAAAATCCTGCATGTGCCCAGGATTTACCCGGCACCACAAAGAGACTTGGAAGAACCAAACCGAAATTCGCACCCAGGGCCAAGGAGCAGGTTCCCCCCCACAGGTCCCCATGCACCCCACCTGATAGGCAAGCAACCTTAGGAGAAGGAGGGGGCAGACAGAAAGAAGAGAGGCGGCCTTCCAGCACAAAGGACTTAAATGACTGGAAGGCAGGCAGTTCGGGACTTATTCCCTCCATTCACTTAGTGACCGTTTGAAGTTACAACTGATCACTGTTTTTCCCACGATCATTGCAACGGTCACATGATCCAAATTCAGACTCTTGGCAACTGACTCATCTTTATTAGGGTCGCCATGTCCTGGGATCACATGATCCCTTTTTGTGATCTTCTGAGAAGCAAAGTCAAGGGGGAAGACAGATTCACTGCAGATTAAGAATGGCAGCCATTCAATTAACAACTAGGGCAAGAGAGGGAGGAAAGAATGGGAAGGAAGGAAGGAAAGAAAGAAGGAGGAGAGAATGGGAAGGAGGGAGGGAAGGAAGAAAGGAAGGAAAGGAAGAAGGAAGGAAGGAAGGAAAGGAAGGAAAGGAAGGAAGGAAGGAAAGGAGGAAGGAGGAAAGAATGGGAAGGAAGGAAGGAAAGAAAGAAGGAGGAGAGAATGGGAAGGAGGGAGGGAAGGAAGAAAGGAAGGAAAGGAAGAAGGAAGGAAGGAAGGAAAGGAAGGAAAGGAAGGAAGGAAGGAAAGGAGGAAGGAGGAAAGAATGGGAAGGAGGGAGGAAGAGATAAGAAAGGAAGGAAGGAAGGAAGGAAGGAAAGAAGGAAGGAAGGAAGGAAGGAAGGAAGGAAAGGAGGGAGGGAAGGAAGGAAGGAAGGAAGGAAGGAGGGAGGGCGGGAGGGAGGGAAGGAAGGAAGGAGGAAAATGGGAAGGAGGGAGGGAAGGAAGGAAGGAAGGAAGGGAAGGAGGGAGGGCGGGAGGGAGGAAAGGAAGGAAGGAAGGAGATGGGGAAGGATTTTTCCAGCCCCCCCCAAAAAAAAGAAAAAAGAAAAAGAGAGGGATGGAAAGTTATGATTGGATTAGCAATTATTGAGGGTTAGAGAAGGACTGAGAAGGTGAGAAAGAGAACTAGAGGAGGGCAAAGCAGGCCAAAGGAGCGGGCCCCTCCCACCCCCAAGGGGTCGGCCCCCAAAGATGGCGGGTCTGCTGTGCACCATGCCAGGGTTGGGGGGGGGTTCCTCAGCTCATGCCATGCAGGGCACGAAGTCACACGACCAGCCAAGAGCACAACGCAAGCGTGCCAGGGAAACGCCCCTTGTTGCATTCCACCCCCTAAACAGGCAGCGAGGTCGAATCATGCCAGCCCCCCCTCCTTTTTCCAAGCAAAGCCACCAGGACACAGAGAGTCCTCGACTTACGACCACAATCGAGCCCAAAATTTCTGTTGCAAAGTGAGACGGTCGTTAAGCGACTGTCGTCCCCTTTCACGACCTTCCTTGCCGGAGTCGTTAAGCGAATCCCTGCCGTTGTTAAATGAGCCGAGCGGTTGTTAAGCAAATCTGGCGTGAATCCGTGGATTTCGCTCGTCAGGAGTTCTCAAAAGGGGATCACGTGATCCCGGGGACACGGCCACCGTCATAAAGACGAGTCTGTGGCCAAGACAGTCCAAATTTTGACTACGTGATCACAGGGGATGCTGCAACGGTCGTAAGTGTGAAAAAAGGTCCCGAATCACTTTTTCCAGTGCCGTTGTAACCTTTGAATGCTCACTAAAGGAACGGTCATAAGTCAAGGACTACCTGTATTGCAAGCTGCCCATGGAAGGTTACCAAAGTCGATTTTTTCCATCCTCCCATCATTCTGACCTGGCAGGACTCCGCTTCCCATGCGGGCACAGCTCTTCCCGTCAAGGAAATGGGCTTTTTGGGCCCTGATCTAGGATCCTTTAAGCCAGCGGCCCCCAATTTTGGCAAACCGGCGCGGTGAGGGGAAGGGGCGTGGCGCGAGCGGCAGCCGTGTGCGTGAGTGCGCAAAACTCCATTTCTGTGTGAGCACCTGCCACGCCTGTAAATGGAGCTTTGCACGCGTGTGTGAGCACCCGCTACTCGTACAAGTGAAGCTGTGCAATGGTTCCAAAATGGGCCGCAGCCTGAAAATGGGGACCCTGCTTTAAGCAACTTTTAAGACTTGTGGACTTCAACTCCCAGAATTCCCCAGGAATTCCCCAGGAATGGGGAATTCTGGGAGTTGAAGTCTGCCCATCTCAGAGTGAGGATGTCCGGATCGTGCAAACATTTCCCAACATCTCAAACTCTGCCAGGGTTAAACATCTGTTTTAAAAACACCAGGCAACCTTTGCATCTAACCCCGGTTCACCATCCTGGCTAGGAAGCGTCGGAAGGAAAACCAGGATCGCCGGAAAACTCACCCATGCCATGCTCTCATCGGATCGACCCATGCCAAGGACGCTCAAATGCAGAAGGTAAGCTGAGTGGGTTTATACTAACTTGGTTTGTGCGGCTTGGGCAGAGTGGGGGGTGGCATTTTCTTGGCATCGGCGGGCGGGGTACAGACGGACTGAGGGATGATCTGAATGGGGGAGACGCCGGGCGGGGGGGCAGGAGGCCGCGCTGCAGGGGCCGGAGGGAAGAGAGAAGGGTTAGTAAGGGGGGGAGTGAATGAGCCCCAGGGGGGCAAGGAAGCCCAGGGGGATTGTGGCCAGAAGCTAGTTTGGGGAGCAGAGAACGGAGACCCCCCCACAAAAGAAGAAGGGCTCAGCCGGAAGGGGAGGCACTAATCTCCGGCCTCAGTTTGCCCATTTGTGAAATGGGAACGCTGATTTCCCTAAAGTCTGCATAGAACCGCTCCCCTCCCCCAAACTTATTAGGTTTGTGGACCGGCAGGTGGGAAGGGAGAAGGAAGGTTTACACGCGAACGACGGACGAGCCTGGGTGCACACGCAGCTCTGTTTGCACGAGTAATGTGGACACGTGTGCCCGCCGTTCGCAAAAGTGAAGCTGTGAGCGTGCGCGCACTTGCTCACCACTTGCACAAGCTCACCCATCGCTTCCACGCAGGGGTGAGATCACAGGTTCTCACAGGTTCTGCAGAACCGGCTGCGGAAATTTTGAGTAGTTCAGAGAACCAGCAAATACCAACTCTGGCTGGCCCCCGAGTGGGGTGGGAATGGGGCAGTGGTGAAATGTAAAATTTGTTACTACCGGTTCTGTGGGCGTGGCTTGGTGGGGGGGGTAATGTGACTGGGTGGGCGTGGCCAACTTTTTTTTTTTTTTACTTTTAAAAGCATTTTTTCTACAACCTCTTCGGCCGAAGAGGTTGTAGAAAAAATGCTTTTAAAAGTAAAAAAAAAAGCCTCTGATGATCGTGCAGCTCAGCTGGGCATGGGGGGGGCAAGGATTTTTGCTACCGGTTCTCCGAACCACCCGCCACCATCGCTATCAGATCGGGTGTTTCACTCCTGGAATGGGGATTTTGCAATATCCTTTCCCTGGGAATGGGGAGGGAATGGAGATTTTGCAGTATCCTTCCCCTGCCACACCCACCAAACCACGCCCACAGAACCGGTAGTAAAAAAAATTGAATTTCACCACTGCTTCCACGGCCCAGTTTCAAACAGGCCAGGGCCCGTAATTGGGACGCGGCTCCTGGATTGGGGACTCCTGTCATAGAAGTCCTTTCAGCTGATTCTAAGCTTAGGGTTGCCTCTGAGCATGTATAGAGGGATTTTCTTCAGCTAGGTGTAAGCTGCTCCAAGTTTATTTTCACAAAACTTCTTGCTACATGAACCTCTTACATGAGAAATGCATTTTACACCCGGACAAAAACTGCACACCAACTGAGATTTTCCACTGGACTCCCAAAGAAGAAGGGTGATCTTGACTTACGGCCGCAAGGGAGTCTGCCCGTCATTAAGTGAATCCGGCTATCCTCTTTGCTCATCAGAAAGATCGCAAAAAGGAATTTGGATCGCGTGACCGCGTGGGAGGCTGCAACGGTGGTGTCAAAAATCGGTCCTAAGGCACTTTTTTTCAGCCCCGTTTAGTGACTCCGAACGGTCACTAAATGAAGCGTTGGAAGTCGAGGACTGCCTGTAATTTGGGGAAATGTTTTGCAAGCGATAAAACGGACGTGAAAAACAGCGGCTTTGAATGTACGCCGAGCTGTTTCCGGGAGAAAGCTTGGAAATCTAGGAAAAATATTTGTGCAGGGTGGAGTCGCAGGATGCAGGAAGCAGCCATGTGTCAGCGGTTCCTGTTTTTCCCTGCAGGAAAGCAGGGGATGATGGGCCGCTCTCGGGTCCATCCCCAGCCCCCGAGAAAGTCCCAGGATGTGTGGGGGGGGGGGGCAGCAAAGCAGAGCTAAAATTGCTCCCCCACTCGGATCACAAAGACCAAAATCTTGCAGCCGGGGATGAAGGTGTCTGAAGTCCAGTATTCGGGGACAACGGAGAGGGCCAGAAGAATGGATTAGGAAGAGGATGAGTAGTCCTCGATTTACGACAGTTCACTTAGTGTCCATTCAACATTACAACGTGACTTACGACCGTTTTTCCATGCTTATGACCGTTGCAGCATTCCTCCGTGATCCCGCGATTGAAATTCAAATGCTTTGCAACTGTCTCACCTTTATGACGGTCGCGGTGTCCCCAGGGAGGGGGTCATGTGATTCCCCCTTTTGCAACCTTCTACCGGGCAAAGTCCCCAGGGAAGCCGGATTCGCTTAACGACCTTGTTTCTAATTTAACCACTGAAGGGATTCATTGAACAACAGTGGCAAGGAAGGTCGTAAAACGGGGCAAAATTCACTTCACAGACGTCTCACTTAGCAACAGAAATTTGGGGCTCAGTTGTGGTCGTAAGGCGAGGACTACCTCAATTGCTGCACAAATTCACACACAGCCTTTTTAAACTCCTCTGAATCGGTCTTTCTCAGGTTCGACAACGTGAAAGTGTGTGGACTTCAACTCCCAGAATTCCCCAGCCAGCTTCCCCATAAGTCCAACCCTGAGCCACAAACATAGGAAGTCCTCGAGTTACGATCACAATCGAGCCCAAGTTGGCCGTGGCTAAGCAAGGCAAACTGTTAACGTGAGTTTCGCCCCATTTTATGACCTTCTCTTGCCACAGTTTTTAAGCGAATCGCTTCAATGGTGAAGTCAGTAAAATGGTTGTTAAGTGAATCGCTTCAATGGTGAAGTCAGTAACGCGGTTCTTGAGTGAATCTGGATTCCCCGTGGACTTTGCTGGTCAGATGGTCGCAAAAGTGGATCACGTGACCTCAGGACCGTCATAAATACGAACCCCGTTGCCAACCGTCGGAATTTTGAACAGGTGGGTCACGGGGACGCTGCAACCATCGTAAGCGTGAAAAAACGGTCATGTCCCCTTTTTCAGTGCCGTTGTAACTTTGAATGGTCACTAAACGAACCGTCGTAAGTTGAGGACTACCTGCATTCTCTTTTATCAGTAGGATGGGTCTCCGTCATGCTAAGAAATCTCCTTTCTTCTCCAGCATGGAAACAGGGGGGAAGAGGGGGGCGGGCAGAGGTGGGGTTTCAGCAGGTTCTGACCAGTTCTGGCGAACTGGTAGCGGAAATTTTAAGTAGTTCGGAGAACCGGTAGTAAAAATTCTGACTGGCCCCGCCCACATCTATTCTCCGCCTCCCGAGTCCCAGCTGATCGGGAGGAAATGGGGATTTTGCAGTAACCTTCCCCTGGATTGGAGAGGGAATGGAGATTTTGCAGTATCCTTCCCCTGCCACGCCCACCAAGCCACACCCACCAAGCCACGCCCACAGAACTGGTAGTAAAAAAATTTGAAACCCACCACTGGGTGGGGGGGGGCTTAGTTTTGAAAGAGATCCACAACCCCGGGCCGTGTCCTGTTCCGAATGGGGCTGCCGAAGCCAGCAGCGTGTGCAGCTGCACTTTCCTAAGCAATGGGCAACTATGTGCGCGCGCAAAGTTCCGTTTGTGCGAGCCGTGGACGTCCACGCACACCACTCGCACAAATGGAGCTGCCGTTCGCGTGGAAACCATCCCCTCTCCCCAAACCAAACCCGTCTGCAAAACCGGAAACGTTAACCGCTGTGTTAAGATAACGGTGCACTTCTGTGTCTGGCAACCATCCACACTCATGTCGCACCTTCTCCCCAAGCCAGGGATCTGCAACCTTCAACACTCCAAGAGCCATTTCCCACAGAAAAGAAAACACCGGGAGCCACAAAACCCTTCCCGTGCCTGACTGTTTCTTAGAGCGGCCACGAAACTAGCATACGTAGTTGAATTAAAGGTTCTGTTTTCTTCTGAAACTTTTCTTTTCTTGGATTTATCCATGGTTGGCCTACTGGGGTTTGAAAAGCTCAATAAATCGCGTGCCGGCGGGTGTTGCACATTGGCGGTTGTGACGCATATTTTGAGTGACAGAGAGCCGCAGCAGAGGGGTGAAAGAGCCACATGCGGCTCCAGAGCTGCAGGTTGCAGACCCCTGCCCCAAGCGAAGCAGAGGGTCTCCCTCGAAAAACAACAACTCTGCGAGGTAGATTTGGCAGAGAGGCGTCAACCGGATCCGTTTAGCCGCCTGAGTCAGCCTCCTGTTTGGACCTGGGACTTCACCCAGAAGATCTGGAGATCTTCTAACGGCCACCTCTAGCCGTTTGCTTGGATAAGCTTGGCCGGAGGTCTCCACGGGAGAAGGAGGTGGGGGGGCTGCTGGTTTAGTGGTCAGGAGGTCATTAGAGATGGCAAACAAGCACGGCGGGGAAGGGTCAGTGGGAAGAGAAAGGAGACAGTGGGGAGGAAGAGGGAACCCCAGAAGAGCTGGGGAGGGGAGCAGGGGTGGTGGTCTTACCTTCTGCCACATTGACTGTGAAGGGGCTTTTGGGGATCTGAGCCCCCGCAAAGGTCACGTAGATGGTGTGAGGACCCTCCAGGATGGGCCGATAAGTGCAGCGGAAAATGTTGTCGCCTTTGTCTTCCAAGACCACTTCCACGGTGTCACGGCGTCCCTGGGGGTCCACGATCACCACCCCCACATCACCGGCCCCTGCCCCTGCAGACGGAAGACCCCCCATTAGCTGCCTGAATTTATTTTTTGTCTTTTAATGAACCCGTAACCCCTTGTGGGGTGGAGTTGGGGGAACTGAATGGAGCTGAATGGTTACTGGCCGGATGCCTTTCCTGTCACCAATGCAGAGTTCACAGCAGATTTATTCTCATTGTGCCCAGAGAGAGAGAAATACCTGCATCTACCTAGGATCAAACTCACAGCCTCCTGCTTGTGAGGCGAGAGCTCCACCTCTAGGCCACCGCATCACTCGTTAGCTGCCTGAATTGCTTATGAGATTTCATTTGAACCCCCCCCCCTAAAATATATACAGGTAATCCTCGACTTACGACCACAAGGGAAACCAGAATTTAAATTGCTAAGCAAGGAAGTGGTTAAGTAAGTCGCACCTGATTTTGTGACCGTTTTTGCCACCGTCGTTAAGGGAATCACTGCAGCGGTTACAAGACTCCGCTGGTCGTTAAGCAAATCCAGCTTCCCTTACTGAATTTTCTTGTCGGAAGCCGGCTGGAGAGGTTGCAAAAGGCGATCACGTGACCCCCGGATATGATAACCCTCATAAATACATGCCAATGATCAACACGCCCGAATTTTGTTCACGTGACTGTAGGGATGGTCATAAGTTTGAGGACTGGTTATTAGTGGCTTCAAACGATTGCTAATTGAATTGTTGTATGTCGAGGAGTACCTGTATCATGCAAAGCGATGTGCCCTCTTTCTGCTTGCCCTACCCGATTGAACTCCCCTTACCTGCGGTGTAGATGTCAAAATAAGTGGGTTTGTTAGCCACGTTTCCCACGGGTTCCAGGCCTGGTCCACGGGCAGTCACCTTGCTGGCATCCCCGAGCGCCATGCCCACGTTGACTTCAAAGGGGCTCCGGTCGATATTTTGGCCCGCAAACAGGACAGTGACCTGGGGGAGAACAGCAAAGGGAAAAATCAGGACAACCCAGCAAAGAGTGAGAAACTGACTTGGACTTTCCCGGTTGCAAGATCGGGAAAACCACATCCTCTTACGACCGTCATGGGGCCTGCCCATCGTGGGCGTAAATCATGACTGTTATAAATCGAGACTCGCGGCTGACCAACCTGATTTTTACGACCTTTTCTGCATTGGCCATTAAGCAAAACCTGCGGTCGTTAAATGGACTAATGGTTCTCTAGGGGATGGTTTGGCTGAAAACTGGAAATAAATACCACTTTTCGACAAAGCTGCTGTAAAAAGCAGCCACAATGACATCTCAGAGGGGAGTGTATATACCCTGCTTCCCCGAAAATAAGGCCCAATCGGAAAATAAGCCCTAGCATGAATTTTCAGGATGCTCGTAATAGAAGCCCTACCCCAAAAATAAGCCACAGCGGCCTGTGCAGCTAGCAGCTGATTCAGACAGCGAGGAGGCTGGTGTGGTGCTGCGCCAACAGCCTGTGCAGCTGGCGCTCGAGTCGGACAATGAGGAGGCTGGAGAAAATGTGGTGCCAGAGGCGGGGATTCAGCCAGGGCCTTCAGAACCTCCAGAAGCTTCCATGGGTGAAGAGGAAGAAGAGGAGGAGCCTCTTCTTGATGCACGGGCGTGCAGAGGAGTGCACAGGAGTGGCTCCTCAGGAGGAGGTCTCCTCGAGAGTAAGGCTTGGGACTAATTGGCCACTCCCTCAGCCTATTTAAGGAAGGACGACGACTGATGCAATTTGCAGGAAACAACTTCGTTCACATTCCTTCGCATCTCGATTCCAGAAACATTTGATTCTTGTTTCTCTCTCGTCAGTTTTCCTGCAAATTGCTTCTGGGCATTCTGCCAACCACACATTAAGATGACGGTTACCTGAAAGACTGTGCCTCAGAATTTAGTTATTATTCTTTGGATTCTTGTCAGCTGTTAATGAAGTTAAGTGAACAGCCCTTGTTCAGAAAAGACTGATTTAAACTGCACTTGTGTTCGAACAACTACTAAGAAAGCTCATTAGTAGTCCTTCATTAGTAAACTAAGGTTTGTACGGACTTTGTGTGGGCTGCGTTCTTTGGGGTCCGTAGCTGGGGCAGAACACACAGTTAAAATCGTCAGCCAGAGGGATGCAGTGAGTAACGTATTTCCCCCCAAATAAGACCTATCTGGAAAATAAGCCCTAATGAGTCTTTTGGAGCAAAAAAAAATAATGAAAACTGCTCATCAATCACTTTTTTTCCCTGTACCGTTGTAACATTGAATGGACATTCAACGGAATGTTGGCTGACCTGCATTATGTGGTCTGGGTTTTTTTAAGGGGAGAGATCGTTCTGCAGAGGTCACCCCGTCCCTCCCGCCACCCCACCTGCCCCGGGACAGTCCTCTCACCTTGTGTAAGCCAGCCACCTTGGGCACGTAGGAGACCGAATAAGTCCGATTCTTGTCGTTGTTGGCAACCACTTTGGCCTGGGGGGGGAAGGAAAGAAACAGGGAAGGGGCTTTAACCCAGCCGTGCCAGCGGCTTGTGCCGACAGCTGCCGTCTGTCGCTCAGCACAAGCTTCTTCACGCCTTCGCCCTAGATGCCTGCAGAGTCACGGCCCAGGTGGATGCCAGCGTCACCCGGCGGTGCCAGTCGGAGCAGCTGAGGGTCTCAAACCCAGCCTAGCAGGGAGGGAGGAGGGTGCCCTTTTCCTTGGGCATGGCGGGGAACGGGGATCTGCCATGCCATTCGGGATTAGAGGGAGGAGAGGAGAAGGGAAGGACGGGAGTCTTTGAATGTCAGAACAATTAGCCCATGGAACAGCTTGCCACCAGAAGTTGTGAGTGCTCCAACACTGGAGGTTCTTGAGAAGAGATTGGACAGCTATTTGACTGGGGTGGTCTTACGCTTTCCTGCTTGAGGAGGGGGTTAGACTACAAGACCTCCAAGCTCCCTTCCAACTCTGTGATTTTGTTACTCGGTGCATCTTCCTACCAGCTGGCCATGCCAGACAGCCCGTAGCAGCTTCCAACTCTTGGAGCCCTCAGTGGGAAGGGATGGATTGAATTAAAACCCATTTTATTTATTTCAAATCCAAAGAGGAGATTTTTGCACAGGGCAGGAGGCAGACTGATAGCATTGTGATTAACTCCAGCTGCCTGCAATTACTGCAAGTTCGAATCTCCCCAGGCTCAAGGTTGACTCAGCCTTCCATCCTTTCTAAGGTAGGTAAAATGAGGACCCAGTTTGTGGGGGCAATAAGCTGACTTTGTACAAATATACAAAAGGATGAAGGCTATTGCTTAACGCATTGTAAGCCGCCCTGAGTCTCCGGAGAAGGGCGGCATATAAATCAAAATTAAAAAATTAAAAAAAAAAGATCTCCAAGGAAAAATGGGTAGGCCACGAGCAGAATAACAGAATAGCAGAATGACAACAGAAGAACAATAGGAGAGTTGGATGGGACCTTGGAGGTCTTCTAGTCCAACCCCCTGCTTAAACAGGAGACCCTTTCATACAGAATACCAGAATACCAGAATAACAGTAACAGAATAGTAGCAGAACAAGAACTATAACAGATAATATTAACAATAACAGAATAACAAAATATCAGACTATTAGAATAACAAGAAGAACAGAAGAACAATAGCAGAATAAAAGAATAGAGCCTTGATAGTACAGTGGTTTAGTGCACCCTGTTATTAACACAGCTGCCTACAATTACTGCTGGTTCGAATCTCTCCAAGGCTCAAGGTTGACTCAGCCTTCCATCCTTTCTAAGGTAGGTAAAAGGAGGACCCGATTGTGGGGGCAATAAGCTGATTTGTATAAAACATACAAAAGGATGAAGGCTATTGCTTAACGCATTGTAAGCCGCCCTGAGTCTCCGGAGAAGGGCGGCATATAAATCAAATTAAAAAAAAAAATAATAATAGAGTAACACAGTTGGAAGAGACCCTTGAGGTCTTCTAGTCCAGCCCCTTACTCAAGCAGGAGATCCTATATCATTCCAGACAAATGGCTGTCCAGTCTCTGCTTGAAAACCTCCAGTGAGGAAGCACCCACAAATTCTGGTGGCAAGCAGTTCCACCGGTTAATTGTTCTTTGCAGCTTTGAGAGCGGTTAGACTCCCTGGCTGGGCAGAAGCTGTAGGGCCTTTTGGGAAGGGGGGCTGGGGAAGTTGAGGACGGCCCTGCCTGGGGCACACTCTGGGTGCTGGGGAGTGGGTGGCATACCTCTTCCGTGTGTCCCTCGGGGTCTTCAATGTACACCAGCACCTCTCCCAAGCCAGCCTCAACCGTCTCGACTGTGAAATGGGCTGGTTTCAGCACCGTGTTTCCGTGGGGTTCGATACCTAGGGGAAGGTGAGAAAAGTGGGTGAAGGGCAACCTTGGCTCCAGAAGAGGGGGAGAAGAAGGGAGGGAGGGAGGGGAAGGGGAGGAGGAGGAGGAGGAAGAAGGGGAAGGAGAAATGAAGAAGAAGGAATGGGAGCAGAAGAAGAAGAAGGGGGAAGGGAGGCAGGAAAGAGGGAGGAAGAAGAAGGGAAAGGAAGGAAAAAGAAGAGGAAAGGGGGAAGGAGAAATGAAGAAGAAGGAATGGGAGCAGAAGAAGGGGAAGGGAGGCAGGAAAGAGGGGGGAGGAAGAAGAAGGGAAAGGAAAGGAAAAGAAGAGGAAAAGGGGAAGAAGAAAGGAAGGGAAAGGGAAGCAGGAAAGGAAGAGGAAGAGGAGGAAGGGAAGGGATAAAGGGAGGTGAGAGGGAGAGAAAGAAGGAAGGAGGGAGAGAAGGAAAGAAGGAGGGAGGAAAGGGAAGGGAAGGGGAAAAAAGAAGGGAGGAAGGAAGGTGAGAGGGAGAAGGGAGGGAGAGAAGGAAGGAAGGAGAGAGAGGAGGAAAGAAAGAAGGAAAGAAAGAAGGAAAGAAGAAAGGGGAAGGGAGGGAAGGGAATACTGGAATTTGGAACTTGGCTCATTGACTTGCTAAAACAGCAAGACGACAAAGCGAGGGAGGGAGGGAGGGAGGGAGGGAGAGAGGAGGCAACTATTCCCCCCCATCATTTGACCCTTCTTGGCTCTGGGACCCTCAACCCCCCCCTCCCCCCCGAGGGCTGCTTACCAGGCCCGTAGGCCTTGGCCTTCTTGGGGTAGACTTGCTTGGAGTTCAGGGGGGCTCCGGGTTTGAGTTTCGCTTTGGGGAACTGCGAGAGGTAGGTCATGACCGAATGCTCATCCACGTTGGGGTCCACAATCTCTTCGGGGGCAATCACCTGCAAAGAGAACACGAATCGGTTTCAGGGGATTCGGAGAGGGCAGCCCGTTTTTCCCAGCAAGCGTGATATATGGTTAGCTGAGAGGCTGAACCTGTTGGATTTCCACCTGCTTCTTGCAAAGCTCCCAGGAGCACTGCCTGCAGACGGGCTCCGGCTGTCCCCCCCCCTCCCTCCCTGCTGGTTTCCCTGGGAGTTTCCCCTTCCTGGTGCCAGGATGTTCTGCCCCCCACCCACCCCCAGCCAGCCAGCCAGCCCCCCCTCCCTGATCTCCAAGGGGTACCTGAGGGACCCCCAGCCAGTCGTCCGCCTGCTGCATGGCTTCACGGGCATTCTCCACCGGCTGCCTCGGATCCCACGCCTCCCAGTCTGGGCACAGACCTGGAAGGGAAAGAAAAGGGGAGGGTCAGAGGGGCAAGGAGGCAGAGACCCCCATCAACTGGGGTCCTTCTGCAAGGATGCAGGATGCGGCCAGCAAGGGACCCTGGCGTGAAGTTGGGTGTGTGTGGTATGAGAACCAACAGGGATTAGGTTCTGGGTTCAAATCCACCTGCAACCCTGGAAATTGGTTGACTCTAAAGCGAGTCCTTCTCTCTCAGCCCAGCCTACCTTACAGGGTCCTGGTTCAGGACAAAAATCGGAGGGCTGCACCCTGAGTCAACTAAGGGCCAAATGTTTGGGTCTCCCGCCCTTTGGTTAAATGAGCTGCTCCTTTGCTGAAGAATGGCAGAGACAGGAAAGAAAGAAAGGAAGGAAGGAAGGAAGGAAGGAAGGAAGGAAGGAAGGAAGGAAGGAAGGAAGGAAGGAAGGAAGGAAGGAAGGGGGAGGGAGGAAAGAAAAAGAAAAGAAAAAGTGAGAAAGAGAAAGTGAGAAAGTGAGAGTGAAGAGGGGTGGAAGGAAGGGAGGAAAAAGGAAGGAAGGAAGGAAGGAAGAAGAAAGAAAGAAAGAAAGAAAGAAAGAAAGAAAGAAAGAAAGAAAGGAAGGAAGGAAGGAAGGAAGGAAGGAAGGAAGGAAGGAAGGAAGGAAGGAAGGAAGGAAGAGAGAGAGGGAGGGAAGAAAAAGAGACAGAAAAAGTGAGAAAGAGAAAGTGAGAATGAAGAGGGGTGGAAGGAAGGAAAAAGGAAGGAAGGAAGGAAGGAAGGAAGAAAGGAAGGGAGGGAGGGAGGAAGAAAGAAAGAAAGAAAGAAAGAAAGAAAGAAAGAAAGAAAGAAAGAAAGAAAGAAAGAAAGAAAGAAAGAAGAGGGAGGGAAGAAAAAGAGACAGAAAAAGTGAGAAAGAGAGTGAGAAAGTGAGCGTGAAGAGGGGTGGAAAGAAGGGAGGAAAAAGGAAGGGAGGAAGGAAGGAAGAAAAAAGAAAGAAAGAAAGAAAGGAGACAGAAAAAGTGAGAAAGAACAAGTGAGAGTGAAGAGAAAGAAAGAGAAAGGAAGAAAGGAAGAAAGGAAGAAAGAAAGAAAGAAAGAAAGAAAGAAAGAAAGAAAGAAAGAAAGGAGGGAGGGAGGAAAGAGGGAAAGAAAGGAGGGAGGGAGGGGTACATTTTCTGACCCCCCTCCCCCCAAGGACCCCTCTGTACTGGAAGGTGGAGAAAAACTTTCGAAGTGGCTCTATTTTAGCCAGGCTCTTTCTGCACACACACCGATCCAGCGAAGCCTCTGAGCATGTCCAAATTTGGCCAGCCTTCCAAACTCAGTGCTCTGTGTGTGTGTGTGTCCATGTGTGCAAATCCTCCAGGGCTATAAATCTGCTTCCAGATTGTTTAGGTTAGGAAGGCCAGGGCCGGCCACCCGTGCAGCCAGAGGGGAGAGGAAGGAAGGAAGGAAGGAAGGAAAGGGCAGGAAAAACGACAAAAGAACAAACAAAAGGCAAGAGAAGGGCAAAACTCTTCTGCTTGCCGGGTCCAGGATGGACCGATGGACAGTCCCCTGCCAACAAACCGGGTTTGCGTCCAAACCTGGCAGATTTCAACCGAAGAGAGTATTTCTGGCTCAGGGTTGAACTGTGGGGTCCTTGGTGGTCTCTGAGCTTGGTGGTTTTCTTGCAGACGTTTCATGACCCAACTAGGCAACATTATCAGTGCTAGAAGGAAGTGGCATTTGTGGAGAGGAGGAGGGGGAGTGGGAGGAGGAGGAAGAGGAGGAGGAGGAAGAGGAGAAGAACTGTGGGGTCCTTGGTGGTCTCTGAGCTTGGTGGTTTTCTTGCAGACGTTTCATGACCCAACTAGGCAACATCATCAGTGCTAGAAGGAAGTGGCATTTGTGGAGAGGAGGAGGGGGAGTGGGAGGAGGAGGAAGAGGAGGAGGAGGAAGAGGAGAAGAACTGGGGGGTCCTTGGTGGTCTCTGAGCTTGGTGGTTTTCTTGCAGACATTTCATGACCCAACTAGGTAATATTATCAGTGCTAGAAGGGAGTGGGGATTGTGTACGGAGGGGAGGAGGAGGAGGAGAATAACAGAGTCGAAAGGAACTTTGGAGGTCTTCTAGTCCAACCCCCTGCTCAGGCAGGAAACCCCATACAATTTCAGACAAATGGTTGTCCAATTTCTTAAAAACTTCCACTGGAGGAGAAGGAGAAGGTAGAGAAGGAAAAGGAGACGAAAGAGAAGAAGGAGAGAAGGAGAAAGAGGATGACAATAATAGTGGGGGGGGTCCTTGGTGCTCTGGGAGCTTGGTGGTTTTCTTGGGGACCTTTCATGACCCAGCTAGGGAACATCATCAGTGTTAGAAGGGGGGAGTTTTCTGGAGAGGAGGAAGAGAAGATGGAGGGTGGGGTCCTTCGTGGACGCTGAGCTTGGTGGTTTTCTTACAGACAGACAAGTTGCATCAAAGTCCTTGGAAAACCAGCATTGGACCAGGAGAAAATGGCAACTGAACCTGGACAGCGGCAAAAATGAATTCAGGGGCACTTGCTGGGGGGAAGGGGGTCAAAAAAGTCAAGATGGCCACCGGCACTGTGCAATTAAAGCCCATCTCACAGTTTAAACGTCAGCGTTTCTCACTCTGGACAACTTTATGAGGGGAGGGGACTTCAACTCCCAGAATGCCCAGCTGTGCTGTCTGGGAATTCTGGGAGTTGAAGTCCCTCCCCCCCCCTTCATAAAGTTATCCAGAGTGAGAAATACTGATTTAAATCATCTCAGCAGCAGCTACCAGCAAACCCTGAAGTCAGCAAATTCCAGAGCGGGATATGTAAATCCTTGCCTGGATGTGTGGAGGAAAAATACCCTTTTTTAAAAAAAAATCTCCCTGGGCTTTGTTTCTAACGTCACCGGAGAAGCATCTGGTCCCTTCCAGAATTTTCCACACCAACGGGATTTTATAAGCCTTCTTATCGATTTTCTTTCTTGTCAAGCTAAGGAAGGGCTGAAACCACTTATTTATTACTATTATTATTTTGTTTGTTTGTTTGTTTATAAAATGTATAGGGTATCTCTGGGCAGCTTACAATACAGGTGGTCCATTTATTTAGTGACTGTTCGGAGTTACAATGGCACTGAAAAAAATGACTTAAGACTCTTTTGGATGGATGATAAGGAAGGAAGAGCTGGAGAGAGAGAGAGAGGGAGGGAAGGAGAGGGAGGGAGAGAGGGAGGGTGGATAGATGGATGAGGAAGGAAAGAAGAAAGGAAGGAAGGGGAGAAGGAAGAATGGAAGGAAGGAAGGAGAGAAGGAAGAATGGAGGGGAGGAAGGGAAGGAAAGAAGGGGAGAAGGAAGGAAGGGAGGGAGGAAGAATGGAGGGGAGGGAGAAAGGAAGGAAGGGAGGGAGGGAGGGAGGAAGGAAGGAAGGGGAGAAGGAAGAATGGAAGGAAGGAAGAATGGAGGGGAGGAAGGGAAGGAAGGAAGGGGAGAAGGAAGGAAGGAAGAATGGAGGGGAGGAAGGAAGGGGAGATGGAAGAATGGAAGGAAGGAAGGGGAGAAGGAAGAATGGAGGGGAGGAAGGGAAGGAAAGAAGGGGAGAAGGGAGGGAGGGTGGGAGAAGATGGAAGGGAGGGAGGAAGGAAGGAAGGGGAGAAGGAAGAATGGAAGGAAGGAAGGAAGAATGGAGGGGAGGAAAGGAAGGAAGGAAGGGGAGGAAGAAAGGAAGGGGAGGAAGGAAGGGAGGAAAAAGGAAGGGGAGGAAGGAAGGAAGGAAGGAAGGAAGGAAGGAAGGAAGGAAGGGAGGAGAAGGGAAGGAAGGATGGATGACAAATGGCTATATCCTTTATGGCTAAATATATTGCAAACCTCTCCAGATTCGATCAATCATTCAATCAATCTGCAGGGCATCGGGTCCAGTAAGGCTCTCCTGGGGGGGGTGTCATCCTGTGCTTCCCCCCCCTCCCTTCCCCCTCTCCCCCACCCCACCCCCACCCCCGTACGCTCACCCGGGGCGCAGTTGTCCACCAGGGCCCCCAGGGCTTTGCCGTCCTGCCAGTCGCGGTTGAAGTTGGTGATGGGCAGCTGGGGCACCTTGTTCTGGATCCATCCCAGGAGCCGCTGCTTGGGCGTCTGCTTCTTGGCGTCCTCCTCGTCCTCATCCTCCCACATGGGCATGGAGATGGAGTAGTGGAGGATGAGGGTCCAGATCAGCCCCAGGATGAGCTTCAGGTTGCCGTCCACGATGGCTTTGCTGTCTGCAGGGGGGGGAAGAGAAGGGGAAGCGCTCAGGACCTCCTCCACACACCGCCAATGCCCCCATCGCCCCCGGTTCCGGTCACCAAAAAGACGCTGAGACTTTGGGAAAAGGTGCAGAGAAGAGCAACGGAGAGGATCAGAGGCCTGGAGGCTAAAACACATGAAGAACGACAGCAGGATTTGGGCGTGGCCAGTCTAGAGGAAAGAAGGACATGATAGCAGCTTTCCAATATCTGAGGGGCTGCCACGAAGAAGAGAGGGGGTCCACCTATTCTCCAAAGCATTGGAAGGAAAGACAAGACATAACTGCAGTAGTTCACTTAACTGTGGCAAGAAAGGTCGCAAAACGGGGCAAACCTCACTTAACAACTGTCTCACTGGGCAACAGAAATGTGTTGGGACTACCTGAATAAAAATGTAGATAGATAGACAGATAGGGGAGAGAGAGAGAGAGAGAGAGAGAGAGAGAGGAGAGAGAGAGAGAGAGAGAGAGAGAGAGAGAGAGAGAGAGATGATAGATAGATAGATGATAGATAGATAGATAGATAGATAGATAGATAGATAGATAGATAGATAGATAGAAAGAAAAGCAGGCAAGCAGATGATAGAGGTGGATGGATGGATGGATGAATAGAGGAAGACAGATGATAGATGGATGGAAAGAAAGAAAGAAAGAAAGAAAGAAAGAAAGAAAGAAAGAAAGAAAGAAAGAAAGAAAGAAAGAAAGAAAGAAAGAAGAAAGGCAGGCAAGCAGATGATAGAGATGGATGGATGGATGAATAGAGGATAGACAGATAGACAGATGATAGATGGATGGATGGATGGATGGAAAGAAAGAAAGAAAGAAAGAAAGAAAGAAAGAAAGAAAGAAAGAAAGAAAGAAAAAGAAAGAAAAGCAGGCAAGCAGATGATAGAGATGGATGGATGGATGGATGGATGGATGGATGGATGGATGGATGGATAGAGGATAGACAGATAGACAGATGATAGATGGATGGATGATGGAAAGAAAGAAAGGAAAGAAAGAAAGAAAAAAAGGAAAGAAAGAAAGGAAAGAAAGAAAGAAAGAAAGAAAGAAAGAAAGAAAGAAAGAAAGAAAGAAAGAAAAGCAGGCAAGCAGGTGATAGAGATGGATGGATGGATGGATGAATAGAGAATAGACAGATAGATGGATGGATAGATGGAGAAAGAGAGAAAGAAAGAAAAAGGAAGAAAGGAAGAGAAAGAGAAAGAGAAACAGAAAGAGAAAGAGGAAGGAAGGAAGAAGGAAAGAAAGAAAGAAAGAAAGAAAGGAAGGAAGGAAGGAAGAAGGAAGGAAGGAAGGCAGGTAGATGATAGAGATGGATGGGTGGATGGATAGAGGATAGATAGACAGACAGATGATAGATGGATGGATGGATGGATGGATGGGAGGACAGACGGATGAACAGACAGACAGACAGACAAATTGAGAGGCTTTCCCGGAATCCAACCTTTTCAACTCCCAACCTTAGTCTCAAACCAAAGTCATTCCCTGAAAGACCAAAAGCTGAGGTTTGGCACCCCGCTTGCTTGTTTTCTCCCCCCATAAAAAAAAGGAGGGGGAAGGAACAGAGGAAAGAGGGGGGTCACCCTTTCCCCAAAGCGTGCAAACGTTCACAATCCTTCACACGCACAAACTTCACCAGGGGAAAAAGCAGCCGGTGAGCCCCCCGCCCGCTTTCTGGATGGAGCCCAGGAAGGAAATGGGCTACAGATGTTTGCAGCAGCCCGTGCACGGCGACACCCGCTCCCCTCCCAGGGTCAGATGCCTCTCCGGATGCCAGGAGGAGAGGGGATCCCCCCCCAATGGGGGCAGCAGAGGAGCCTCTCCTGTCCCCCAGACCCTTCCCCATTTCACAGGGTCGGCCGGTCTCTCAAGAATTTCATCCTTTCTGCAAATTGTCTCATCTGTAACCTCAGGACCAGCCCTTTGGGGAAGAGAGGAGGACCACCCAGCGGCCCAGCAAAGGCCCTCTGCACATGCTCAGGAATTATCTTTTTTTAATGAACGCGTCCGGTTATTCATCAGAAGGTCCCCCGAAGGAGGTCACACGACCTTGGGACGTAAATATGAGCCAGTCGCCGAGTTAATTTTGACCAGGTGACCACGGAGAAGCTGTAAGGATGGTAAGTGTGGGAAAATGGCCATAAATGCCTTTTTCCCAGGGCCGGCGTCACGCCGAACGGTCACTAAACGAACCGTTATAAGTCGGGGACGGCCTGCGATGTCTTTTAGTGGCCTTCTCATCCTCTGAGCGCACAAAACACACCCGCTCTGCAATCTGAGACAACGACAAGATTTTCCCTTCCTTGCCAACGATCGTAAGCCCCTATTTCCAGCACCCGGTCACTAAACGAACCATTGTAAGTCGAGGACCGCCTGCGATATCTTTTTTTGTTTTGTTTTTTAGCGGCTTTCTCATCCCCCAAGTGCCCCGCGGCACACTCTCCGCAACCTCCCCAAAAACGACAAGATTTTGCTCCCTTGCAAAACCTTCTCCTCTCCCCCACGTCCTGCCCCAGCCAGGACAGCTGCTTAGGGGGGGGGCTGTTCCCAATCTGGACGCCCGTCCAGGCAAGGAAAAAGGGGGGCCGGATCGGAGCGTCCGGCTTGGAAGAGCAGCAGGACGGAGCAAAGAAAGGGAACAGGTGTTGGTCTGGGTTTGGTGCCAGCAGACACCCGGGGTCGGTGATTGTGTTTGGCTGTTGGCGGTGTTGAGTAAAAATTTCCTTTTTCTCCAACCTAGACGGCTTTTTTTAAAAAAAGAAAAGAAAGACAGAAGCGCGTTGAGCAACGGGAGAGCAGAGCCTGTGAAGGGTGGCCAAATCCAGCTGTGCTTCTCCAGATGCATTGTGAGCCGGCTTGCTAATGCCACAGGTAACCCTCCTCCTTTCCTCGTGTGGGCACGCCCCCCGTCTAGAGGGGAGCAGCCTTTGGCTTGGGCGGTTGGAAAGACCCAGCTGGATTCGTTACGGGGAGTCCTAGACATACAAACCTTCGTTGAGTGACCGTTCGGGGTTACGACGGACATTGAAAAAGTGACTTTAAGACTGGTCCTCGTGTTTATGGCCACTTGGCAACGGACATGTATTTAGAACTGTTGCTGAATCCTGGGGTTACGGAAGAGGAGGGGGAGGGGAGGGGAGGGGAGGGGAGGGGAGGGAAAGGAAGGAAAGGAAAGGAAAGGAAAGGAAAGGAAAGGAAAGGAAAGGAAAGGAAAGGAAAGAAAAGGAAAGGAAAGGAAAGGAAAGGAAAGGAAGGGAAGGAAGGGAAGGGAAGGGAAAGGGAAGGGAAGGGAAGGGAAGGGAAGGGAAGGGAAGGGAAGGGAAGGGAAGAAAGGAGAGAGAAGGGGAAGGGAAGGGAAGGGAAGGAAAGGAAAGGAAAGGAAAGGAAAGGAAAGGAAAGGAAAGGAAAGGAAAGGAAAGGAAAGGAAGAAGAGAAGGGAAGGGAAGGGAAGAAAGGAGAGAGAAGGGGAAGGGAAGGGAAGGGAAGGGAAGAAGGGAAGGAAAGGAAAGGAAAGGAAAGGAAAGGAAAGGAAAGGAAAGGAAAGGAAGAAGAGAAGGGAAGGGAAGGGAAGGGAAGAAAGGAGAGAGAAGGGGAAGGGAAGGGAAGGGAAGGGAAGGGAAGGGAAGGGAAGGGAAGGGAAAGGAAAGGAAAGGAAAGGAAAGAATAAAAAGAAGGGAAAGGGAGGGAAGAGAAGGGAAAGGAAAAAGAAAAAGAAGGAAAGGAAAGAAAGAAAAGAAAAGGAAAAGGAAAAAAGAAAAAGAAGGAAAGGAAAGGAAAGAAAAGAGAGAAGAGAAGGGAAGGGAAGGGAAGGGAAGGAAGAAAGAAGAGAGAAGGGGAAGAGAAGGGACTTGGAGGTGTGGGGACAAGGCCTTCTTGAACCCTGGACTGGATCCCCCACAGAAGGCCGAAAAGCCATTGATGCCTTCCAGTGTCCAACTGCATGTATAAAAAGTGAAGCTTTGCAACGGGTAGCACAAAAGGGAAACACTCTGCACATCCTCAGAGGTTACCCTGCGCGCACAAAAGCACCAGGAAGAAGGGCCCAAAAGCCGGACTTCCCTGGAAAAATGTCTCTGGCAGACTCCAATCCGAAGCCTGAAGGAGTTTGGCCCATAATTCAAAAAAGCATTTTCTGTTTGTTTGATGATTCATAACTTCATTTGACAAATTCCAGGGCTCTGCACAGGCATGAAAGCCTTGGGGGGGGTTGCAGCTGCCAAGACCCTGAGATGGAAAAAACTCCCCCTCTTCAAAGGAAAAAAAAAGCGTGGCAGGGGATGATGGGAGGTGGAGTCTCAAGAGCAGGGAAAATGTGGGTTAGATTTGGGGGTGCCCAGCAGCAAAGCCTCAGTCACCCCTAATGTTGAGCCTCAATTTACAACCGTTCATTTAGTCACAATGGCACTGAAAAAACTGACTTGTGACCATTTTTCACACTTACGACCGTCGCAGTCACCTGATAAAATTCAGACACTGATCGGTTCAACACTCGACTCCTAGTTATGATGGTCGCAGTGTCTTCCTGCGGGGGGGGGGTCACGTGATTTCCCCTTTCTGGCAAGCCAAGTCCACGGGGAAGTCAGATTCGCTCAACAACCGTGTTCCTAACCAACGATTTTGCCGGAATTCACTTAACGACGGTGGCACGAAAAGTCATATACAACGAGGCCAAACTCACTTAGCCACAGAAATTTGGGGGCTCCGTTGCGGTCGTCGGTTCGAGGACCACCTGTACGCAGCGGGATTGTTGTGGTGGTGGGAGGGAAAGGGGGAAAGTTTCTAAACTTTCTTTTTTTTATATAAACTATGTTATAATAATAATTTTAATTAGCAATTTTATGATGTTTGTGTATCTATATTTTTCTTGCTGTACACCGCCTTGAGTCCTACGGGAGAAAAGCGGTATAGAAATATAATAAATAAATAAATAAATAAATAAATAAATAAATAAATAAATAAAAAAATAATAAA